TGCTGGACAATGCTGATCTTTGGGATTGGTATGTAAAGGTAATGTAGTCTTTTTTCTTGTCAGATCATCCACTAACATCTAGTCAGGCACACAAAGATGCAAAGCCATTTTGCAATTCTGGGTTCCCCCACTTCACCAGCATAGAGCTCCTTCTCCCCTCACATGGCCGAGGTTGGTTTATCTACCAGCCACATGCCACTACTGCACCTTCTACAACCATGACCTCTGCCTTCGATACTCCTGCCTCTACTGCACCCCCTGCCACTTTGACTATTCCTACCCCCCCTCCCTCCCTCTCCCTCCTTGACATGATGCATGCTCTCAATGCTCACCATCATGAGGACACACAGTCCATGGATCCAAACTTCATCCCCCCTTCTGCACCATCAAGTTTTTTGTTGCATGTGTCAGCCAGGTTGTTGTTGTCATCAGTCATCACCAGCATCAGTTGCAGAAAAAGGAAAGCCAAGTCTGTTGTGGTGTCCAAAGGTGGATCAAAGTGCTCTTGGCCCCCATCAGCCAAAGTGCATGCTGAAGAAGATCACAGTTCATTCATCACTGCCATCACCTCCAGGCTCAATAACTTCATGCATGTGATCGCTGCCCCATTGCCCCTGCCACCCATTACCAATCCCCTCATTGACACTGCCATGGACTACATCAACAACATGCCACAGCTCTCAACAGATGATCAGATCAACATTGGCAACTACTTCCTCAGCATGTCTCCAGATGAAGTGAATATTTTCCTCAAGCATCAGGAGCCAGTGAAGCAGATTTGGGTGCAGTGTCAGCTGATGAAGTACCAGGATGGGCAGAGATAGGTGTTTTATATATATATATATATATATATTTTACAATATACAAATGTACCCCCCCCCCCCTTATACAAATGTGTACATAATAAAATGTATGTGACTATGACTAGCTTCCTTTTGACAATGGAAGTTATTTTTCTACATGAGTGTGAAACAATTGTAAGAACATATATTTGTACACCATGAAATCTGAATGTTCAGGCTCAGAGAAGGCCCCTAATTGTAAGCTGGTGCTGATAGTCAATCCACATCTCCTCTGCAATGTTGCCATGCCTATTATCAGCCCTTCTCCTCTCTGCAGCATCTGCTGGTCCATCACCAAGGCTTCCAATACCATCACCCTCTCCTATGTCCATGGCAAGTTCAGGGTCAAAGACCTCTTCTGGATCATAGTGCTGTATGAAATTGTGGAGGGCACAGAGAGCAGCAGGTACTTGAGTATGGGTGTGGATGCTATATTCAGGGGGAATTTGAAGAATCCTCCATCTGTGTTTTATAACACCAAATATCTGTTCAATGGCATTTCTAAGTCCAGCATGGCAAAGGTTGAATAACTCCTCTCAGTTTTGAGGTCTATAAAATAGAAGTTACAGGTACACTGAGCAGGATGGAATAGCAACTTACCTTAATCCAGCCTGGCACCATTCTTTCAGATGGTAACGAACACCTTGATAGGGAACCAGAAGTGCATCACAGGTCCCAAACCCTGCATCTGCAAGAAGGTACTTCCCAGGTGGCATGTGCAAGTCATTCCTGTGTGCATCATGCCACATAGTTGCATCTGCAGTTGACCCATCAAAGCCAGTGAGGGCATATGTGAAGAAGAAGTCAAAATCACAGATGAAGAGACAGATTTGAGATAGGTAGCCCTTCTGGTTCCTCATGTAAGGCTGGTCCTCAGCAGCAGTGAATGCTTGAATATGAGTGCCATCAACTGCACCAATACAATCCTGGAAAAATCAGAAGCATGGGTCACTAGTAATCATAGTTGATATGGGAGTGTTGTTGGTGGGGAATTGCACTTGGGATGCATAGAATTGTCCCCCAGAAAAGAAAGCCAACATTGCTTTGAAATATCTAAAAAATTGTGAGAAAAATATCAGACAGTCCAATGAACTCCCTACCTAGTGATGGTCCCTGGTGAGTGTTGGAACCTCTCAGCAACATGCTGGGATGACAACCCAGTAACACAGGTGTAGAGGAATATCCCAAGTTGTTCCTCCACAGAAATTCCATTGCAAGAAGGCACAAAACCATGATAGGTGAGCACCTGCATCAGGTGATCAAAAACCCCATGGCTGATGCCAAGGCAAGTCTGTATCCTGTCTGGATGACCATTTAGGAGCTCTAGCATCCACCCCTCACCAGTCAGGATTGAGGTATGGTAGGGGATTGGTTCTGAGTCAGAATGAAAAAGGAGGTCATAGAGGCATAGCACCTGGATCATCACTGCTACTACAAGTGCAGCATGATGGCAATGATGATGGTGCTGGAGCTGCTGTGCTTCAAGATCCATAGCAGAGTTGTTTGATCTGTTATCACAATGTTATCTATTGAACTACAAGTTGTGTTGTTGTCTTATATAATCATCACATGACTACATTACTGAAGCAGAAGCCCAAAACTTGGACTTTGCATTCACACAGGCATGCACAGCTTATATAATCATCATGTGACTACATTGCCAAAGTTGAAGTCAAAAACTTCGACTTTGACTTTGGAGGGTGAATGGTGCCTTATGTACTTGCATTTATGTACAATTGTAACAAGCTCAAATGAAAAGGTGGTTAACTCACAGAAGAAGATCAATCAATGGTGGCAGCAAATTGAAGGCATGTGCCCATGTATGGTTGCATGCCTAGACCATCCCCATTCATTTGTTCAAACTCCAAGCCAAAGGGTTTACATGCAGACAAAGACCAATCAATGGTGGCAGTGAATTGAAGGCATGTATCTTTGTACTCTAGTTTGATGCAAGTGCAATCTATGTCACTTTGGCTCTTTCCCAGTCTAATGTCATCTTATGGTCAAGAGCCACAAGCCTTTGGTCCTCTTGTCACAGATATTTGCTTGGATGTTGAGTTGTTGATGCCAGTCCTTACAACATGTCTGCCATTCACAGTACTCTCACATATGCCAATGGCACTCATTACATCAATGTCATTGTCTCCAAGACATCAACTTCTATCTCCCTGCTGTTTCAATTCCACAGCACAGCAGCGATGAATTTCATCAGTGCCAACACCATCTTTTGCAAATATCCCAACCTGATGTTCCATCACCATGTGCTGATCAACCCACATCCCATTTATTATGGCTCAATCAGCTTCAAAACCATGGCAGCCCTGCAGAAATACAGCACATGCAATTTTGAGTTTGGCAGCTGCAAAGAGTATCATCATTTGCCTTACAGTTGCAGGTGTATGCCCCACAATTTGACCAATGGTGGCTGTCTATGGCTTCAAACATCTGATCTCCATCATGATGTTGTGAAGCCCACTGATGTCCTCAAGTGCTTGGGGGTCATCAATGTCATGTGGTTACTGGGTGGGTACATATGTGGCACATATCCTGCCTTTCTGGATGGCTATTCATTCATGTTCAACAACAACATGTGAGTACCTGATACTGACATTGCTGTGTGTGCACTCATTATCTGAAGGGATCTTCTCTCTGATTGGCATTTCATCAAAAGTGAGGAAACTTAGAAGATGGCCACCAAAAGCTCTGAGGAATAATAGCATGTTGTCAAAGATTCATTTGCATATAACAGGGGGATGGAGTCGAGGTGAGGACAGCAGATGGGGTGTGTTTAGAGCATGGGTGGCGACACCAGCATGGTGAGAAAGGGGTGTGACCACTGATGGCACTGCAATGGAAATGTTAGACTGGTACAAATATTGATTGCTAGCCATAAATTATGGGATTTGATGATGTGTCCATAAACAAGGTGCCTGCCATCCCCAACAGCCCTATCCATCAGTAAACCACTTTGTGTGCTGGCAGTCCTAGGGAATATGTCCAGTGCTGGACAGCTCTGGACAGCTCTGGCCAGCAAAAGTAATTTACTGATGTCCTCTAGTAGTTTAACACGAGCCAAATTCACAATGCAGAGGCTAACTTGTCTAAAATAGTGTGATTGCTGGGCAGGAACACAAACATCCACAATCCTACTACCAGAAAATTTTAAGCAATGTGACTGAAGCTGTGAGGGTGATTTCAGCAAAAATTTCACTTGCTGACCCAACTGGCAGACCCAGTCTAAGTAATGTGGGACTCAGTGCATCTAGCCTGTCATTGCATGAGTACCTCGACATTCTCCTGAGGATCAAACCCACTGTGGATGAGATTTCAATATATGCATTTGACCCTCAGCACCCAACAGCAAGCACAGGACCCAGTGTGTCTGGCCTGTCACTGCATAAGTACCTTAAAATTCTCCCAAAGATTGAACCCACCATGGATGAGGTTTCAATATATGTGTTTGACCTTCAGTGTCCAACAGTGAAAATTCCACCTTCTGAGTCAGCTGACCTGGTTTAAGTGCCACTGGACCCAACATGTCAAGCCTGCCATTGCATGAGTAACTCAATATTCTCCCAAGGATTGAACCCACTGTGGATGAGATTTCAATATATGTGTTCAACCCTTGGTGCCCAACAGTGAGCACAGGACCCAGCGTGTCTGGCCTGTCACTGTGTAAGTACCTTAAAATTCTCCCAAAGATCAAACCCACCATGGATGAGGTTTCAATATATGTGTTTGACCTTTGGCATCCAATGGCAACCACAAGATCCAGTGTGTCCAGCCTGTTGACCCACAATGAATTTCGCAATCTGCATGATGTTGATGACATATCTGTCCTGCTCATCTTCTGTCCCTGAACAGCTCCAGCAGGGTTCTCTGCACAGGTGAGCTTGGCCTTCTTTGGGTTCATGGGAAGACCAGGCATGGTTCCATGGGTCAACCAAAGCACAAATGACACATTGTTTGGTGGTGGGATGGAAACAGTGTATGATGGTACATGTAAGCATGGAAAGGGCTCATGCAGAGGACATACTTACTAAAAAATTGATGTGCCCACCATACCACATAGTTCAGCACTGAGCTAGAAGGTGATCTTGAATGTGTGGTGATCAGCAAAATTATTCACTAGAAGGAATGAAACATATTGTAAGAGCACTACAGTCTGACATCTCTAGAATTGATGTTGTGAGTGGAGTAAATGGGGATGAGATGAGCTGCATGATATATTGTGTTGACATGAATAACAACAAGGTTTCTGATGTTGCATGTGCATGGTGCAAGGTAGCTTTGGCAGACTATCCACATCCCTGTGTCGTCATCAGAGTTATCACCTACATGGTTGAACCAGTGGATGATGGTGCATGGGTACACTGTTACACTGGACCAAAGTCAAGATGTAGGGAGAGCTCAAATGCAGACAATGGATTTCTACTGAGCAACAGCTGCAGTAACCTCTGTAAATGACAGAGGATTTAGACAATGCTGGTAAGAGTGGTCCAGGTTAAGGACACTGAAGGCAAAGTTCTGAGAAAACACTGCATATGATTGAGCAGCTCAAGTCTGGGTTTCCAGGACTTGAGCTGACAGACTAAATACTGTACAAGAGATGGACCATGAGGCATCCACATGTATTGAGGTAACTATGCCATTGGTTGAACAATGGTGACACATGTCCTAAGCATGTACTGAGCAAACAACACTAGTAGTGGAAATAGAGAGCTGTCAGATCAGAGAGAAGATGGCTCAAAAAGGAAAAGTAGTCCAACAGGTCAAACACAAGGTGATCATAAAAGGAAAAATAGGGGTGAAATGTAACATTGCCCCCTTTCTAAGCATTGAAGTCTCCAACTTCAACTGCTCTCTGTAAGGTTCTCTGGTCATGTTACTGATGGCAGAGTTGTCAAAGTCAAAGTTATTGTCATATAAGTCATCATCCTTGCTCCTGACAAGGGTACAATCATCCACCACTCCCAGAGTGGTGATTCTTTCTTGTAAGGCATGATGAGGGTGTAAAGATGGGCATTGGACCTGAGTATGCCTGGGATGAGTGGTGTGACAAAGAGGACATTCATAAAGTCCACAATTGACATGGATGTGGTCAAGATGGTGACAGACATAGCATGTCTGATGCTATCATGGATTGGAAGGGGTGAGAGGGTGATCAGCCTCAGTCATGGCATTCAGGACAGGGGATGGGGGTAGCTGGGCAAGGGTCTTGACGATGTTCAGAGTATAGTCGAGTTCTGCTCTTGAGATGCCAAAGGCAGTCTCAGGGTCCACTTCAGATGGGGAGTCATGGGACTCACAAGGTTGTGGATTGATGCCTGACAGACAACAGGTGCAAGGTCAATCAGCTCTTCTGAGAGAGTGAGATGAGTGGGAGGAATGGGAGGATGACAGTGATGATGCTGGAGGTGAAGATGACACAGAGGAAACCAGAGGGGAGGTTGAAGTCAAAGGTCTTCTAGACCCAGGAGGAGGAGGAGTGATCAACATAGGATACTGGCAGACATTGTAAATAAGATCAGCTCCACCCAGAATGTCAAAAAGTCAGAGAAGCAGGGGAACCTGCTCATGAGCAATCCTGTTGAGAATAGTACAGGTGGGGGACAGAAGAGGGTTCTGTCGATTCATGTATCTGGACAATTCTTCCAGCCAAAGGGCTTGGATGGTGGCATGGTAAACGAGGTCGAGAGGAGAGTTCTCATCAACCTCATGATAGACAGTGCTGATGATGGTGGGATCAGTGACAAAAATTCGGTAAGAGGCAATCATCTGATTGCTAGCAGGCTGTCATTGATGATGAGCAAAAGGGGTGTGGCAATGAGAGGGTTCACAAGGGTAAGTGTAGCAATGAGGAGGCATTTCAATGGAGAGTCTTCTGATGGTGTGAGTGGGACATTGAGTGGGTTTTTTCTGAGGGGAGAAGTCTTTGGGGAATTGTTTCTTATATGCAGAGAGCATATAATCCACATGTTCAAGGTGTGCTTCTTTTTGCCATGAGTTTTCAGATGAAGGGTAACCCTTCCACTTGATTAAAAAGGTGTGTCCACAGCTGGACCTTTTACGGCTGACTATTGCCTCCACTTCATACTCCTCTCCTTTGTCAATCAAATCAGGGGGTGGAGCCAGGAAGTTCAGTCCATGGATGTCATTTTCATGATAGGGTGATAAGAGGGAAGCATGGAAGATGTTATGTATCTTCCATCATGTGGGAATTGCGAGGTGGTAGGTGATTGGAGATAGGACCTCAAAGATAACAAAGGGTCCTTCTCATTTTGGGGCAATCTTTCTATTTTCATAGGAACATTTTAAGTTCCTTGCTTCAAGCCAAACCTTATCACCTTTCTGGAATGGAGAGAAAGGTTGTGATGAGCAGTCTTTCATCATTTTTCTGCTAGATCGTGTGCTGCTAGGGCTTCCTCTCTAGCTTTTTGGAGTTCATTGAGTCTGGACTCAGCAGTGGGAAGGTGGGTTTCCACAATAAGAGATGGAAGGGGTTTTGGTTCATACCCATACATGAGGTAGAATGGGGATTGATGCATGATGGAATGAGGACAGTGATTATGTGCAAATTCTGCCATGGGGAGATTGTCTACCCATGAGGCAGGATCATTCTGGCAAAAGATTCAGAGATAAGTCTCCACTTCCTGATTGACACATTCTGTTTCTCCATTAGCCTGAGGGTGATATGCCATTGACAGGGTGAGGGAGTACCCAAGAAGGGAAGCAAGTTCTTTTGTGGAGGCAGAGGTGAACTGGGGTCCTCTATCAGATATAATTCTGTCATACAGCCTGAAATGGGAGTGGACCTTCTTGAAAAAGAGGGCTGTGATATCAGCAGCAGAGGCAGTTTTCTTTGTGGGCATTAGAACTACCCCCTTTGTAAGCCCATGGTCTACCACAACCAAAAGAGAGTCATAACCTTTAGAAAGGGGAAGGTCGGTGACCAAATTGCAAGAGACCTGCTGGAAGGGGCAAGTCAAGGTCAAGGGGATGGGCATAAGGGGTGGTGTTGTTGGGTGGGTGTTAACCTTATTCTGCTGGCAAGTAGTGCAGCCTTCAATGTATTTTCAAACAAAGGAAGCAAGTCTGGGCCACCAGAACTCAGATGAGATGAGCTGTCAGGTCTTTAGGATACCAGGGTGTCCAGCAGAAGGGTGATCATGGCAACTAGACACCACAGTTTGGCAAAGAGATGGGTTGGGGATATAGACCCTATCTTTGTAAAGTAACACTCCATTATCAAATCACCAATCAGAGAGATGGGACTTGAATGGGAGTGGCATATCAACATTTTCTATGGCATGAAGTGCTGTCTGGACAACAGGGACCTTCATTGAGGAGGATGCAACCTTTTGGGTCAGGTTTGTGTTGATGAGATTAACAAACAGTGTGTGTGGGAGGAGGGTAACTCCTTTGTTGTCTTCATCATCATCATCAGGAATGTGGTCAGGTCAGCAGGACAGTGCATCAGGGGTGGCCAGGTCTTTGCCTGGGACATGTTCAAGTTGCAGATCAAAGTCTGCGAGGTCAAGTAGCCAGTGTGCCTGGCAACAATTCAGGTTCTGGGGTGCTTTAAAGTAGGTCAAATTCCTGTGGTCACTGAACACCTTGACTGGGAATGGTGATCCATGGAGATAGTGTCTCCAGGACTTTAATCCATGAATAACCCCTAACAGCTCTCTGTCATAGATGTCATAGTTTCATTCAGTGGGGTTAAATGACTGGGAGATAAAGGCACAGGGTTGCCACTGGCCATTTGAGTTTTCCTGAAGGAGAATGCCTCCAGTTGTGTACTTGGATGCATCAGTAGTGATTGCAAATGGCTGAGAAGTGTCAGGCATTTGGAGGGTCAGTTGTGCCATGAAGACTTGTTTTAGAATGTCAAAGGCAGTCTGGCATTTCTTTGACCATTCCCAAGCAACAGTTTTCTTGGTGAGATCAATCAAGAGTCAGGCAATGTCCAAATAGTGCAGGACAAATCTCCTGTAGAAGTTTGCAACCCAAGAAAGGATCACACATCCTTGACTTTCTTTTGCACTGGCCATTCAGTGATGCCTTGAACCTTGACAGGGTCCATGGTGATGGTGTTTTCCTTGATGATCATACCAAGGTATTCAACCTTGGTTAGATCAAAATGACACTTTTCTAGTTTGAGAGGAAGTGATAATTCTTTCATTTGTTCAAGAACTCAATGAGTTCTGCATTTGTGTTCTTTACAGTCAGTAGAGAAAATGAGGAGATCATCCATGTAGACAATCAGCCATCCTTCAGCAATCATGTCTCAGAATGAGTCATTCATAAAGTGCTGGAAGGTGGTGGGGGAGTTGCATAACCTGAAGAACATGACAGTTGGTTTGAAGAGTCCTTTATGCATAATGAATGCAGCTTTCCATTGATCTCCTTCTTTGATGTGGACATTGTTATAGCCTGATTATACATCCATTTTTGTGAAGATAGATGCTCCCTTGAGTTTATTGATGAGATCAGAAATAAGGGGAAGGGGGTAGGCAACCTTCACAGTGTTCTTGTTCAGATATTGGTAGTCTTGGCAGGGGTGAAGGGAGCCATCTTTCTTTCCTACAAAGAAGAAGGGTGCTGCTTGAGGGGACTTCAAGGGGTGGATTTTTCCCTCATGAAGGTTTTCTTCAATGAATTTCTCTGCAGACTCTCTTTCTGAGGGAGAGAGCAGGTATGCTTTAGCCACCTTGGAAATGAAGTCCTTGGCAAGGTTGATAGCATGATTATAAGGTCATGATGGAGGAAGGGCTCCATCAGAGGGTTTCTTGAAAACTGAGGCAAACTCTTTGTAATCCTCCAGGAGGACAGCTTTTGGTTTCTTTTTGTGCTCTTCTTGGGCCAACTCAGTGGCCATTGTGATTTTTCGAAGAAGACTGTTGTTTGGGTTAATCTTCTTTGCTTCTTCTATGAGTTTCCCAAACAACATCATGAAGTGTGCATGGATGGTTTTGTCTTCTGGTTCTTCATAGTCCATGAACTTGTTTATCCCTTTCTTTTCAGCTGGGGACATGAGGTTTACAACAGGTTCTTCAACTGCAACAGAAGAGATGTTGCATTTCAGTTCTTTTGACCTATCAGTCTTTTCATCAATGGAGAGGGTGCCCATTCTCCAGTCAATGATGGGATTATTTTCTTGAAGCCAAGGGAGGCCCAGGATGATGTTCTCTGTTCCACAGTTAATGACATGAAAGAAGGTCTGATGGATGATCCCTTCGATCTTGAAATAGAGAGTGGTGGAGAACAGGATTTTTCCCTTGGAGTTCTGGGTTCCATCTGTGTTTTTAGCAAGGATGGGTTTGGCAAGTCATTGAGTTGGGATTTGATGCTTTTGCACAAATCCCCAATCAATACAAGAAATTTCTGCACCAGAATCGACTAGTGTGGTGGTTTTGACAACTTTTTCAGTTCTTTCTGATGCATAGAGGGAGATTGGAACTTGCATAGTACAATCTGGAGTGGAAGATACTAGTACAGGTGCAACAGAAACAGAACTGTCCTTAGCTTTGGGAACATCCAGCATCAATGCAGAGTCCCCATCTAAAAATCCTTCCCAAGTGCTCTAGCAATGTTCACAAGAGCAACAGATGGGCCAGCAACTTTTTCTTCATCATTGCTTTCTTCAACCTCCACAATTTTGCAGATTTTCTTTACTTTCTTTTGGGGAGTTTTCCCTTTATTGGGACATTCTTGAGAGAGGTTTCCTTTGTTTCCACAACTGAAACATCTTCCTTCTTTGATGTGATGGTCTCTTTCTTCTTTGGAGAGTCTCACTCCATCCACAACCATAGTGTTTGGATCTTTTTCTTCAGCGAGGTTGTTCTTGGGGTAGAATGTCCTCTTCTCTTTCTTTCCAGAAAGTTCATTTACTTTCCTCCACTTCACATCAAACTTTTGTGCCTGAGTATACCACTTGGTGATCTTGGTTGGAGTGGTCTCCATCATGTGGATTTGGTTTGCAATGAACAGTTTGAGTCCTTGTGAGAAGAACTCAATCAACACAATGTCTTCCATGATGGTTGAGTCAGCAGCATCAGTTCAGAAATCAGTGATGTATCGTTCCACTGATTCTTTCTGTTACAGTGCATCATCCACAAAATAAAGTGCTAACTGACAATAATGGGAGGGAAAGCAATGGCCATGATTCCAATGATGAAGCTGATGAAGACACTTATTTGCCCACCCTATCCAATTCAAAGAAATTGGCAACATCCCTGAATGGTGAGCTTCCTGCTGTAACTTGTATTCACAGCAAACCCTGATCTGCACTCAGGAAGCAAGTACACAACTGAACTACAGGACCACTCAGAATATGCAGATGAAGATGGATTGGAGAGCATTCCTTTCACTGACCACCCAACTGAGGAGGGGTCAATGAGCAGAAAAAGAGGCAGAAAACTGAAATCCACCCTGAAGCACACACACAAGGCAAGTTTGGTCATGTTGAATCAGCTGTTATGGCTAACAAGCTTGCACTGTGTGTTAAGCAGGCTCTGTCAGAATTGTGTGAGCCAGACATGAATCAACATTGACCTGGGGTCAAATACTCATCCAAGTCCAACCATAATGGATCTGTGACCACCAATGCAGCATCTGCACATGTGAAACAGGGCATCCCTGGGAGCACCTGGAAGTCACCTCATGTCAGAAAGGCCCCTGCAAGGCCAGATGCAGATGTTCCATCTCCTGATGCAAAGAGATCATGCAAGCAAACAGGCAGCAATCAGAAGCAGAAGTAGTTGTCAAATCCCTCAAACAGTCAGAGCAGAAATCTTTTTTGGAACTCATGTATGGTCTATAGAGGGCTTAGCCTAGTGTTACACATTAGAATACAAGTGTATGGCATGTACAGTAGCTCATGACACCATGGGGTTGTGAGAGGCATCTTTGATATCAGAGAGAGGGATAGTTAAGTGGGACAGTTGAGCAGGACAATTGAGTGGAGAGCTGAGTGGGACAGGTCTACATATTGGCCATGTGGAAGCCACTGGTAGCTATCTATGTAGGGAGATATTGCTGCTCATCTCCCATGTATTGCTGTTACCCAAAATTTGGCTCTGTCTGCCATTGTCCAACCTTGCTTCCCAAGGTGTGAATGATATTCTTGCCATTGTTCCTACAAGTTTAAATCTTGATTGATCATCAAGCTATCAGTGAACCCATCATTGTCAAATATGTCCACCAAACAGTCCTGCCAAGTTCATTTCCATCATCAAGGTGAGGTTTTCTTCATTGTTGGATCCAGTGACCTAAGCCATCCACAGCTAATGTAAGACCAATCAAGCCAAGGCAATCTAGCTCCCATGTGAAGCAGTCCAAAAATCTGGAGGAGACACTAGTACAACTGTATGAGTTGTGCAATTGCTGAATGTGCAGGAACCATCAGCACCACCAGTCATGGATGAGAAATTAAACAGGATGGATGGGTCTTCAACACCTGCACAAGATGTTACTATGCAGGTTGATCTTCTGGCAGACTTGCAGAATGTGCAGGGACCATCTCCTCTGCCAATCACCCACAAATCATCAAATCTGAGGGACCAATCTCCTTGACCTGATTCTCCAACTAACCTGCTTGCTCAATTGCAGGATATGAGGGAACCAATGCCTCCCCCACTTGTTTCAAATGTACCCATTGAATCTTTTGACTTGGCAGTGGATGAGGACAATGGCACAAACCATTTGACTTTTGGCATGCCTGAATGATCAGAGATGAGGGATCTTTTTGAAGAAATATACAATGGTGAGCATTTATTTGGTTCTATTCATGTGATCAGTGATATCCATCAATTATGTAGGTGAACTTCCATCCACACAGCAATCTCTTCAAATGGAACAATGGGGATTTGCATCTGTTCCATGTTGTGACAGGGTATGGGCATGAGCTTAATCTGATACACCATTAACATTGATAATTTTAGTCCTGTGTGCCTTACATGCCATGGTATCTCACTACTGCAGAAACACCACTCCCAGCAACATGCTGTTTGATCCCACCCTTGATAGGCACCTTGTGCAGGCTGTGAATGCTGTTATGAGAGAATTGGGCACAGCTGCAAGGGACCAGTATGGTGCAGCCTCTCAGGGCCTTTGACTCATCAATATGCTCAATTTGATGGAAGTTGTTCATTTTCCATGTTCTGCCTTTGAAAATTGTCCTGAGCCATTCATCACCAGCCAATCACACCCATCTCACCAGTCTGTGGTAGAGATGGGTATCCTCTACTTGGTGTGCCAGATCAAGGTGGCCTCTGTACATCTGAAGCAGACTGCTGATATTGCAGGATGGCCTGCACATTGGTTTGCAAACCTAGCAATGGACTTGGTAGGTTTTACATCAATTTTTCACAATGTGGGACTGATACATAATTCCTTCAGAATCAGCTTAATAGCTTGATTCTGGTGACAGTGTTGCATGCCGGTTATACTCCTCCCCTCCCAGTGTGCTACCATGCATACCTCAGACACCAAGATGATGAGGTTAGCTTCCATGATCAAATGCAGCTAATTCCCCTTAGCACATTTTGCATAATCAACAATATCAGCACCATCATCCCACATTGGACCCCACACACAGCTGATCCCAATTCCAGCTTCACATTCCCTTGGTGGCTATATTCTTCCAAGGAATACACAGCAGATTCCCAAAGACTGCAAGGCAAGGGATTGTTTTCCCTGGCCTGGGATTTTTTTTTTTTAAGGTATGCTGCTTATTCTCATTGCTGCAAATAGTTGATGATGGCCCAGGGCTTATGGCCATTGCCTGAGGCACCAATTGCAGACCATCTCAATGGCCATATTGAGGAGCAGGTAAACTACTGCATCAAAAATATTTGGAAATATGCCAATGTTGTCAACAGTCAGGGTTGACAAATTGACCATTTCTATGCTAGGTGGTGGGCATTGTGCAGGTTGTTGGGCATGCCACTTCAATAGTTTACATGTTTTTGACTGTGGAGTTGGTTGTATATACATTGCTGTGAATGTTGATCATTTATGAGATACTGCCCATTCACATGATGTCTGAACCCCTGCCCATCCATGTGATGTCTGACAATCTGCCCATCTGCATGATGGCCTGAGTAGTTTTACTTTTGTTGCAGTTTATGATGCACACCCTTCAGCTCTGAGTACCTGCCCAATCTATGATGTCTAAGCACCTGCCCATTTGCAAAATCTTGGCAACACAGCCTATCCAAAGTTTGAGAGCCAGCATATCCTAATAAAATATGAGATCCACATTGCCTACTAAATCTTACATTAAATGTTGCAGCTTCAAATCAACAGTTCTCCAGTTGTGACTGGTCTAGGTAGTAGGTCATCCATCCATGGTGATTGACACATGGGAACATGCACCAACTGATGTACATTGGCACACATGTAGTATGCCAGGCATGCTCTGTCACCATCTACAGCTCCCACCCCATGCTCCAATGCTGAACCTGAAAATGCAATGATTGTCCCTGGGTTGTAGCACAGCTGCAGATTCAACATTGGAATGACAAAGTCCAAGGGTGGGTAGTCACCCATGGTTACCAGCATGTCATACCATGGATCCCATCCATTGATTTCCCTGTGGTAATAAGTTGCCCAATTCACCATCACAGACATGCTGCTACCATGTGGGTGACAGGCTGATGGCACCTTTCAACTCAGCATTATTGCAGAAATATGACTTGTCTGTCCACCATGCCTGTGGGGAAGCCTTTATGCTCTCCCACAGTGGTTCCCTCAGAAGATGAAGGCAGTTCCATATGTCAGCCTGCCATTCCATTAAGTCAGTAGAATATGAGATTCTGCATTTCCTTACCCTTCTTTTTGGGCTGAGAGCATCTGGCAAATACCATATGCAGATGGTGTTTGAGTCAGTCACCAAAATGGATGGCTCAGTCACTTCCATATATCTCTCAGCAGCTTCTGCCTTGCAGGTTTTTCCACCCTGATTTTTCCTGACATTGACTGTGGAAAGATGAAAACTTCCATTGCACCATTATGATGGACTTACTTGGGCAACAATAGCCCTGTGAGATTACTGATGATATGCAATCTGCTTCACATAACACCAGAAACAGAATTGATATATCTGGAAGGGCACAAGGTCCACTGAATACCTCCTCTTGAAATCTGGCTTTCATTTATGATGCAATGCAGTCTGTTAGTTCCATTCACCATCCATGGGGGGTTTTAGATGTGTCCTGTGTAGTATTCATGCTTGGGGTGGATGAGGTTGGAGTTGTATAGTAGGTGAGCCACTTGCAGCTTGTTGGAAAATTATGGCATGTTGGGATGCTTGCCTCAATATTTTACTGTGATCTGATCAATATGTTGTGACACTATATGTGCTATTGGTGTTGGGCCCATCTTATGTTGTGACAGGGGTGGATCTTACTAGATGGACCCATCCTTGTTTTATGGTGATATAAAAGATATTACTGAAGGGCCCATCCATACATTATGACCATATAAATAATACTGCTGAAGGACCCATCCTTATGTTGTGACCACATAAATGATACTGCTGAAGGGCCCTTCCATATGTTGTGACAGGTACATCTTACTATGGACAGGCCTGCCCATGTGTTGTGATGGTATAAATGGTATTACAGAAGGGCCTGTCCATATGTTGTGATGCTATAAATGACAAGTTTCTCCATTACTATGTGAATAAATTTGCTGACCATCATGCATTCAAAATTGCATCCTAACTGCAAGTTATGGTGCATGAAGTCATTCAACTCACCTCACTCTTGCTTCCTCATATGGTGTTCATTTCCCATCCCCCAACATTTCATTGCTCACCTTCTTGTACAGAATACCACCCAATCCCTATTCCACAACCATTTGTCAGTGTCAGTGTTTTTTTATTTGTATACCTAATGTGACTCTGTGAATAGCCATGAGACATGTAATGAGAACATGGAAATATGCAAAGATCAAGCAGTCACACAGGGCAGCGAGACTCAGTGCCAGAGTTGGAGGCTTGGTGGGGTTGAATGGTATGTGATATCATCCATTAACGTGCATGACAAAAACAAATAAATGATGGGCTGTGAAGAATTCAGTGACAGGGGGCATAGAGTCAGAAATGGCAGTGACAGACCTGGCATGACTCATGCTGCCATTGAAGGCTTATCCATCTGCAAGGTGACTGATGGTGTTTGCCATATGCAAACTGGACACCTAGAGTTGCAAATTGAAATGGAAGTACTGCCCTCACCCCCACCATTCACATTTCTCCCTTCTTGCACAGTTACTCAATTTATTGTATCATTTTTTCTTTCTTTGTTTGTCTGGCCATTCTGAGTCAGTATATGGTACTTGTGATGTCTCGTAGGCAATTTGTTTTAATGTTCAATCACAATAGTAATGACTACCCCACAAACATAGAACCATTGCCACTGTTGTCTCTGCTCCTGTCTCCCCTTCAAACCAATGCCATTCCTGCCATGGACTCTGTGTTTCTTGAGCACCCCCACAACCCCACCATTGCTGCTGTTGTCTCCACTCCCATCTCCCCTTCAAGCCAGTGTGCTTCTCTCCATGGACTGCACATTGCTTGAGCACTCCCACAACCCCACCATTACTGCTGTTGTCTCTGCTCCCTTTTCCCTTTGAAGCTGATGTTCTTCTCATCATGGATTCTGTGTTGCTCAAGCACCCCCACATCCCTCGTTTACTGCGAGAATAATGGCCCTGAAACCACTCAAAAGGAGGGAGGACTGGCTGGAAGCATCTTTGCATACCTTTATGTAACACCATGAATTATATTCTCAAACACGACTTGTGTGACTTGTGTACTTTTCTCACTTTTTTGAACACTTTGAGCTATTTACATTGTTTGAATCATCCAGCAAGTCTCAAAAGTCTCAAAAGTCTCAAAGAAGTCCAAAATAGTGTGAATAGAATTTTGTTAATTTCCTGATGACATATGGTTCAACAGAAAGCAACTGCTGCTAATGACCAAGTGGTGCCTCATGCTGGAAAAAGATGATGTGCATGTGATGCTTGTAAGGGCATGGGTGAAAAGTATAGTAGGTTGCAGGTGAACATCAGAGGCGATGAGATCACCCAGATATGATGCCTGAAATATCAATTCAATCCAAAAGCCCCAAGTCTGGCCTGAGCATTCTCTACTTGGCAAGACTTCATCACCCATGTTCTAAGATAGCTGTTCATGTTTGTCAACTCCCCAGTATTCCCATTTGAACTCAGTCCCAGAGTATAAAAGGGACATGGACAACTGCCCATATCTTGCAGAGTCACAACACTGTTGACAACTCACTCACCATGCTGAACCCCCTAAAGCCAAGCAAGAACACTATCATCTACTCCATGGTAGATGGTGAACCCTACGTTGGAATGCCCCCCACCAAACCTACCACTTTACCGGTCCTCCTATATGCGAGGGATTCTGTCAAAGAGCCCCCGATGGTGAGTTTGGTCCTGCATCCACCACTCAAGTACATCACCTAACAATTTTGACAGTTCAATATGGAAAAAGTCAGAGATTGTATCTACATGATTGGTGCCAGGAACCACAAGACATGGGAGGAGCATGGCCTTGTCATTGGATCCATTGAGGGAGAAGCTCAGAAGTGGCATATTGAGTACACTGAACATAATGACACCTATATGTGAGTTAATTGTGGTTAACACCTATCTGCAACATAGTGCCTCATGTAAAATGACAATGTTCTAGCATTGTCAAAGAAAACAACTGTGGCATTGGATGGGTCACTCCAATGAACAAAGAAGAACAGGGAGACCATCAGGTACATCAGGAAAATAACACTTTACTATTTTTGACTTTTTGTGACTAATGTGACTCTTTGGGAAGGAATCTACTATCATTACCCATGTCCTGCAGGCATGGCTGCACTTTTCTTGCTGATTTTGGTCTTGTTCAAACCACCTAATTCATAGCTTTCAGTAGATACCACATACATTCAAATTGATGGAGGTTCCAAAGAGATATTGTGATTTTTCTCTCAGACAGTGTGCATCACACCAATGGCTCAATATCTCTGAATTTTCAGACATTTTCTAGTCTTCTTGGCTTAAATATATCATCACTTAGTTGTCTCAATAGATTCTGTTCTCTTTTCATTCTTCAAAATGCTGTATATGGTCAAAAAAAAAGTACAGATAGTAGGTTCCTTCCCAAAAAGTCACAAATAGTCACAATAGTCACAAAAAAGTCAAAAAGAATCACAAAAAGGTCAAAAATAGTAAAGTGTTAATTTCCTGATGTAGAATCTATGTGTCAGCAGGCACAAAGATTCTGAGCTTACATTTGTCCCTGTAGATCCTGGTCAGGCAACTCATTGTTGGACCATCCAAGCCACCTTTCTATCTGTTGAACCAGTTATTCAGGTTCAAGTATCAGGAGTGATCAGGGGGCTAAGTAGGCTATGTATTGGTACAAAGGCCAAAGTGCCAAGGTTTGTTATGCGAAGTGTTAGTGTAGGATACAAACATCCAAGTGCACAAATGAGATACATGGAGGTCATGGGAAAATAACATTTGTTACATAACCAGTTGGGCCCCCCCGTAGTGGCTGAGACACTTCAAGTTTAGTGTCATTTCACTGTATGCACAGGAAATTGATGAGGTGACTTGACTCATTAGCAGAAGTATCACACATTCCTACTTCCATAGGATAGAACCTTGCATACAGGTGTCATATGATGCTGGAGGGGGATAAATGAGTGTCTGATTGAATTTAGGCCATAAGTGCTACTGGAAGCCACTGCCATGCAACCCCATGTAGTCCATATAGTCACAACATATAGGTAGCCTGCATGCCAAAATGCCAACACTTATATAGACCCCATGACAGGCCCATCTAAATAGATTAGCCATTGTTATGCCCATGTCAGGGGTCCTTCCTTTTTTGTTTTCTTGTGGTCACATGCATCACATGCCTCGTCACATTGCTAATAACTGTCATTGTGCTGGGCATGTCTATGCTCAAGGGAACCCTTGGATCCACAGCAGTCATGGTATTTCCAATACCCTCTGATGCTGCACACCTGTAGAAGATCTGGTGTTCCACCCCCATCTTTGATGAACAGTCAATTTCATACTTCATCTCTGACTCATATTTATTGCTCTGATTGTTTAATTCTTGCTCCAGTGTCAGGCTCCTCACTGCACATTGATTGCACAGCTGGTATAGCCTTCATTTCCTTGGTTACCCCCATTGTGTGACACTGTATGACTCTTTTCTATTTCATTGTTTACTGCTGCAGATACTTACTGTTGCCTTGGTGTGACTTGTATGGTACTCTTGTCCTGAGGTATTTATACAGCCATACCATACTCTGTATCCTCAGTTTTTCAATAGCTTGCAACTCAGCTTCATCCCTTTGCCTTTGTCCTTTTTCTCTCCTTGTTGTGATCTCAGAAGAACTCACCAGTGGAGTGAACCTCTGTCAGACTATTGCAATAACTGAGCCATAGGGGTTATGACAAGTTCAGCCTGTAGACTCCCCCTCACACCACTCATGACTAGTCCATTTGATGAAGTCACTTGGCTTGGGCATAACAAAATTGAAAAACTCTACACAGCTTTTCTCAGGCTCGTTACCCTCATTGTGAAAGGTGACTTGCCCTTGGTTTACTGAACTTCAACAAAACCTGCCTTCAAGGTTGCTTTTGAGCAACACCCCTTTCCACTTAATCAATACCACCGCTCTACAGGCAGCCACTAGGCTTTAATAGATCACCTCCCTTGAGCTCAGGCTTGTGTCCCCCTACACTCCTCTCACAACCCTTGTTGTCACTATCTGTAAAAGTGTCTAACTCACAAAGGCCTAAACTGCCAGTCCCTGCTAGACCACCCACAAGAAGAGGCCTTGGAGTAAATCCCCCTCTTCCTCCTTTATGTCAATCAGGACTTTTGGCTACCACCACAAATCTGTGTTTATCTTATCTTAGTTGGTTCCAAGAAACCAAGGTTGCACTTAGTTCAGAAGAAGAAGACAATCAGAAGTCCAAGACTTCTTTCAGATCAGTCCTCAAAGAAGAACAGGAAGAAGTGCAAAAAGGTATGTCCATGACCCCAAGGTCACAGGGAGTCTGTTCTGGAAATGCTGCTGAGGCAGTATACTGAAGAAGAAGTGGACAAGTACAGGTTTACCCTTGGGTGACCAGGCTTCAAGACTGGGTGACAGGGGCTAAGTCTGGTTGACCAGAGTCAAGGCCAGAGGCCAGGGGCCAAGTCCGAAGGTCTGGAGTCAAGGCCAAGAGTTAAGGGTGAACTCTGAAGGTCTGGAGTCAAGGCCAGGAGTGTGGGAACAAGTCCAGTAGCATGGGAAACCAACCAGTCTTGGAGTGCACACAGGGGAAGCTGGTCCAGGGTTGGATCTACCTCCCTTGGTCTCAGCTTATGTGCTGTACCCTTATGCAAGCCAGGGAGAGGTCTGGGACAGGGGTCAGGGATAGCTTAAGGCTTGGCCTTAGCTATAGAGTAGACTTGGAGAGTAGTACAGGGTTGAGGGTAATACTTAGTTGATATTCTGACTGGAGTGCTATGAAGTATGTATAAGGGTTAAATACATGAGGCTGGTCCAGAGTAATGAACATGAAGCTGGACATGTTAGTAAGCTATTAGGAAGATGATTACCAAGGGGCAGATAGCCACAGAGGCTGTGCTGAGACTAGTAGCCAAAGTCCAGGTGACTGGCATGACCAGAGTTGGACACAGGATTTATACAGTAAGCAGAGATCAGGCAAGAGGACTAAACTAAATATATCACAAACATTGGAGAACAGACCAGAGTTTTGTCTGAGTGACCCAGACATGGACCTGGGAGGACTGGGGTGGAGAAGCATGAGGCCAAGAGGCCAAAGGGGGCTGGAGATAGGGGTAAAACACTGGACTTGAGTTATTTAGGCTGGAGTTAGGTTATTTAGGGCTGGAGTTGGGTTTCTTAGGTCAGACTAGGTTCAGACTTGACTGGACATAGGGGCTAGGGGTCCAGGCTGGACTGGGATTGAGTCCGAGAGTCATGGATATGACACCCTGTCCTTTCAGAGGTATATGGATAAAACCTTTGAGTCTTAATGCAGAAAACAGGTTGGATATATGGATGATGTTGTGGTCCATGCTAAAGCCTTAGAGGAACTTTGACAATGTGTCTGGGAGTTCCTGGAGATCTGTGGGAAAAAAGAGTTGTGCCTCAAGATTAGCAAGTGGTGTTTCAAGGCTGAAGAAGTAGAGTTCCTTGGAATGATTGTCAGAAGAGGATGAATGGAAACTTTGCCAATGAAGACTGATGCCATATCGACCTGGGAAGCCCCTGACAATCTTACTGGGCTTTGTTGCTTCCTTGGATTTTGCAATTTCTACCACAAGTTTATCCCTTCCTTCTCAAGTATTGCCAGACCTCTCCATGACCTTACCAAGAAAGGATTGTCTTACCAGTGGACTCCCAAAAGGAATGCTGCCTTTGAATGGCTAAGTCTTTGTTATGCTCATCTCCAGTCCTCACAATTCTGGACTTCTCAAAGCCCTTCACCCTTTTTATGGATGCTTCAAAGCTTGGTACCAGTGCAGTACTCACACAGAAAGGCTTGGACAACAAGTGACATCCCTGTTCCTATCTTTCCCAGTCCCTGGTTGGGGCCAAACAGCATTATCAGGTCTATGACCTTGAGATGCTTGCAGTTATTCATGTGCTGAAGGCTTTCTGCCCCTACCTTCTTTCCCCCATCAAACCTACAGTGGTCTTTACTGACCACAAGAACCTGGAGTACTACTGAGAGCCACAACAGCTGACCCCATGACAAGCCTGGTGGGCAGCCACCATTCAGTCCTATCCCATCCATTTTTCTTGGCAGGCTGGACATTTACAGGTCCTGGCTGATACCCTCTCTCGTAAAAATGCCCTGGAGGAGCCTGCCCCCATGGCCATGGTTCTCCTGGGGAACCTTTGGCTTTCAGAGGGGGTGGATTCCCATATTCAACTTGTTTTGCCAACTTTTTCACTCACAAAAATCCAAAAACAACTAAAAGTCAACTGTCTTACTTGAATCAGTCATCTTCCAGCATGGATACAGCATAGCAAAAACAACTTGAAGCCTTATTCTCACCCATCTGAGGAAAGGTCAAATGAGAAGAGGCTGCCTGACACTTGCCCCCTGAGGAATAACAACAAAGGAGCACAGGGAGTTTATGTGATATCCACAGAACTGTATGAGCAGGTCAAGAACCATATGCCAAAGGACTCTACAGGACTGGAACCTAAAGACAATGTGACTGTTGATGAAGACAGAACAAAACAGTTTGGAATTACAAGGCTGTACATTCCCCCCAAAGACCATCACCATTGCATGTGTTCATACCATGATCATGAGTCTGCTGGACACCCTGGACAGAAGGCTATGTTTGCAAAAATGCACAAGGAAGTCTGGTGGGAAGGTATGGGAAAAGATATCAAAGCTTATGTCGCAGGGTGTCCACTGTGCCAAACCACCAAGGTTGTAACTCATCTGCCAACACTGCCTGTTACCCCCCATACAACCCCTAAAGCCACCTTCCCATTCCAACAAATATCTATGGATCTCATCATGGATTTCCCTGTTTTGGGAGAACAAAAATATGACTCTATTCTCATGGTTGTCGATCAGGGCCTTACAAAAGCCACCCTGTTTGTTCTGTGTCATAAAAAAATTGACTCCATTGGGATTGCCCAACTCTTCCATCAATTCATCTATTCCCACTTTGGTATTCCAGAGTTGGTGATCTCAGATCAGGGCCCCCAGTTCCCTTCTTCCTTTACTAAAGAACTTTACAAAGCAATAGGGGTAACTCCCAAACTTTTGACCAGGTACCATCCACAGACCAACAGAGAAAGCAAGTGGGTCAATCAAGAGGTGCAAGGGTACCTCCAGCTGTACTGTGTGGAGGTGCTGAACTCATGGGCTGCCAAACTACCATCTGCAGAGTTTGTGCACAATTCCTGTGTCCATTTGGTTCATCAAATGACTCCATTTTTGCTCCTCCTTGGATATGACCCATCCCCCTACCCTGAAAAATGACTCACCTCAGTTCCCTCAGTTGATGAAAGGTTGGAAAGGCTGGCCATGAATTGGGATGTCACCATTCTTGTGCATGGGAAGGCACAGGAATTGATGCATTCACACAGAAAGGGTTCCTACATGCTGCTGAAGGTCAGAGATCAAGTCCTCCTTGATACCAGACACCTTAGGATCAAGAACCACTGTGACAAGATTGTACCCTGATGTCTTGGCCCATTCAAGGTGACTCAGGTTGTGTCACCAGTTGCATTCTGATTGGAGTTACCACCCACTTGGAAGGTTCATCCTGTGTTCCATGCCTCCTGCATCTTTCCATTCACCAAGAATGATACTTATGGTGCTGCCCCCACAGTGCCTTTACCAGAGTTGGTGGATGATGAAATTGAATGGGAGGTCAAGTCAATAATCAATCACAAGGTTGATGGGCACAGAGGTAAATGAAAATATTTGGTCAAGTGGAAGGGGTTTCCTCATTCATCAAACACCTGGGAACCCAAAGAACATATAAAAGACCATACCTCAGAGGCCCTTGACCAGTACAAGCTTGCCCATCACCTCAGAGACTGATGGACTCTCCCCACTCCATTAACACTGAAAATGACTATGCTGACGTCCCCTGTGAATCCCTTTATGACCCTGCAAGTGACTGGCCTGAGCTGCTCATACCCCCTGTCACCATCTATGCACCATCCTCTCCCCCAACAACCACCACCTGTATTCCTGACTTGCTCCCCTCATACCCTGTCTTGCAATCTCAAGGGCTATCACCCCCTGTCACCTGCTCTCTCCAACTGCATTCATTGCAGGGCTTCTCAGTCAGAAGAACCCCAGTCCCCAAGGCCAGAGTTCCCCCTAGCAGGAACAGTAACCAGTTGGGAAAGGGAAAGAGTAAAGAGATCCCTGCAAATGATGCCAGTCTGCAAGGAACCCTGAGCAGGTCACCCTGATGCTCCTGAGCCTACCAACATATGCACTGCCTTCACCACCTACTCTGATGGGAGCCACCATGCTGCCCTTGACCTCCTTGCCTCAGCAGCCCTTGCCAGGGATGATGAGCCACAACTACCAATCACAGCAAGTGACTACCTGGACATTGTTAGGGCCCTTGATGTCTTCCACAAAGGGGACAACATTGATGGGTGCTCACCAGAACAGGTTAAGTATTTTGGGCTGCTGTCTGAAATATACAGAGCATCAGACATAATTGGATGCTCAATTAGCAAAATATGCACCTGAAAGCTAAGCAGCACTGCCCCTCTCTTGGAGGTCATCATGATCAACATGCTGGAATGCAGCTACTTGGAAGTTTTAAAGGCAGTTACCAGTGGTGCCTATCACCATCATTCTTCATCAGCAGATCAGCAATTTCCTAGTGCCACCAGCTTCTCAACTTCCTGATTGTATTAAGCTGAAACAAGAGGAACCATCAGTTTTGGATGACAAACCTACAGATCAGGAGAAGGAGAAGGTGTGGTGGGATTTGGAGTTGAAATATGTTGATGGAGGCAACTCTGTATAAAGAGGTTGGTGAGTGACTTGGGACTGGGACTCACAACTCCACCTGGGAGGTTCTGTTGCAGGATGCATCATGGGCTGGGTTGCACAAGCACTACTTTAATGCCCTCCACTCCTCCAACCCTCTCCCTGTGACTCCCTTCCTCCCTGTCCCTCTCAATCAACTTCATTTCTACCTCAGAGGTCAAGCCCCCATCCCTCCCAGGCATGCTTTATACAAACACATGTGTTTCCAGTGCCATTACCTGGGACATTGGTCATGCTGCAACAGATGGGGTTCCAAATATACTCTGGCCCTTGAGGACCTGCCATCTCCATTGCCTGTCTCACCAATCACCACTTGTACTTGTTCCCACATGTATACTACTTGCTGACCCCTTTCCTTGCACCCTGCTGATGCATCTGCCTCATCCTCATGGGTCTGAGGACCTTGAGGGGGGGGGGGTGACATCAGGGGACCTTCCTTTTTCATTTTCTTGTGGTCATGTGTGTCACATGCCTCATCATGTCACTAATAACCATCATTGTGCTGGGCATGTCTATGCTCAAGGGAACCCTCAGATCCCCAGTGGTCATGGTATTTCCAATACCCTCCAATGCTGCACACCTGTAGAAGATCTGGTGTTCCACCCCCATCTTTGATGAACAGTCAATTTTATACTTCATCTCTGACTCATATTTATTGCTCTGAATGTTTACTTCTTGCTCCAGTGTCAGGCTCCTTGCTGTGCATTGATTTCACAGCCAGTATAGCCTTTGGCCTTTGTCCTTGTTCTCTCCCCATCATGATCTCAGAAGAACTCACCAGTGGAGTGAACCTCTGTTGGACTATTGCAATAACTGAGCCATAGGGGTTATGACAAGTTTGGCCTGTAGACTCCCCCTCACACCACTTGTGACTAGTCCATTTGACAAAGTCACTTGGCTCAGGCATAACAGCCATGACACATGGACAGGCCTGAGGGCCTATAGTGAGAGCAACATATGTATGGGCCTGTAAGCACAATTCCACAACATATGGGAGGGCCCATGGAGGGTAAGGATGCTGCCACATATAGACAGGCCCATGACCAAGTAAGTATGCTGAGCTACTGTAAGACATGGACAGGCCTGTCCATGGTAGGGTGTGCCCCAGTCACAATATCAGGATGGGCCTGCCTATTGTATCATGAAGAAGGTCACAACATATGGATGGGCCCACCTGTCATATGCTTTATAGGGTCACAACATAAAGAGGGGCCCCTCTATGATAGATTACAGAGTTGGCAACATATGGAAGGGCCCATCTTTGGGATAATATACCCCTGTCACAACATATAGATGGCCCCATCCATAGCAAGACATATGCCTGTTGCAACATAAGGACAGGCCTGTCAGTAATATCATTGACAGCATCACAACACATAGATGGGCCCATCTAGTAAGATGCATCCCTGCCACAACATAAAGATGGGCTCATCAGTAGTATCATTTATAGCATCACAACATATGGATGGGCCCTTCCATAATATCATTTATACCATCACAACACATGGGTGGGCCCATCCATAGTAAGATGTACCTGTCACAACATAAAGATGGGCCTTTCAATATATATCATTTACAGGGTCACAACACATGGACAGGCCTGTCTAGTAAGATGCACCCCTGCTGCAACATAAAGACAGGCCCATCAGTAATGTCATATGATTCATTAGGCTTGATGCTCGCTGGGTCAATTTGGTGGTTCACATATACAGGAATGAGATGAGCTGCATGATAGATAGTATCGATGTGGATGATAGTGATGTCTTGGGTGTTGCATGCATGAACTATCCTATCCACATTCCTGTGCAGGTATCTGGGCCATCTCCTATACAGTCAAACCAACATATGATCGCACAAGGATGCTCTGTGCCTGGGTACTTAAAAGAAAAAAAAAAACACAGGATGCGAGCAACATCCAGCCCAAGCATGCCCTCTACATGAGGATTAGTCACAATGAAAACACAGTCATAATGGGGGCCTTCATTCCTCCACATAGGGGAACAACATATGTGTTTGCAACACATGCTGTGGAGGCCACTCATGTCACTGGATGCATAGAATGTCAAGGATGCAGAGTTGTAGACATGGATACATCCATCATAAAAGGGACATTCGTCCAAGGGGACATCTTCCAGATCACAGTCGTCTTGCTGAAGCTGTGATTGAAGGAAGCAGCACAAGATACTGAGGAGCTGGGGTATGTTAAGTTCAGTTGCTAGGTCCCTCATATTCCTCACATGCATCCATTCTATGATTAACTGATTAGAATTCATACAAATGAAACCATGAGCAAAGGCATACAGTAGGTATGGGCCAACAATACATGGGCCTCAACTGACATAGGAGAGTCATCCATATCACCTGGGTCTTCTTCGAAACTTGCTGTGGGTTCATCAGCACTGTCTTTGCAGTCCTGATTGTTTGACACATCATGGTCAGTCTCATTACTAGTTTCATTAGTATATTGTTCTAGAATACAGTCAGTGTCAAGAACAATGTCTAAGAATGCTCACACCTAGAGTCACAAGCACATGTGACAGGCAAGTCCCTCTCAACATGCCACACTTTTCAAAGTCTGCACATGCCACAGCAAATTTGTCAAGCCTCTGGTTGATCACAAGCATCAGTCTGAGAGCCTGAAAGCAGTTAGTACACCAATAAGGCCACTTGACTGCTTTGATATGTTTGGTCTCAGTAATCAATGAACAGAGCCCATTCAGCATGCTGAACTGGCATATAAGATAGGGATAATGCTTCATAGCATGTTGCCAGGGTAATGAAAATGTAGCAACTACTTGAGCATTCTGGAAGACTTCACGATACGAGTGGAAGTGTGCAAGTGCATCCTTGATCACAGCAAGAGTTGGTTCAGTGATAGCATTTCAGTGGACAAGGTAACAAAACTTGAGAAAGGCACAAAACATGCAGACAACATCCTGCAGGACATAGCCTTCAATGGCTGCAATATATACCTGTAGAGGACCAGTCAATTGTCATATGGCATTTAAAAAGGATCAAAGAACCTTCATGAGGCCTTTGGAGTCATCGCCAGTCCATTGTTTAAAGTGTTGGCCTTGAGGGAAACATTGCAGTCCAGTGAACAGGGCGATAGCTGCAATCCTGGAATTCAATGAGGTCAGTCAGTGCGTGATGACAGAGGTCAGGCAACACACCTTTGATCAATATCATCCAGTATTTTTTCTGTGGCACTCCTTCCATGAGTATGGGTGAGATACCTTTCCACCCAGTCAACCAGATGATCTTTGAATCCACCCTTGATGAGTTGATGGAGAATGTCCAGCAAAATCTGGATGTCTGCATTGGAAACCCACTTGTAAATGGCTGTCCTTGATCAGTCATGAAAAAAGAAAGCAGTATATTGTACATACCACTATATCTCCATCAATGCCATATTCATCCCAAAGTGTCAGAGGGCCCAACTCCCTGATGATCAATTCAGTGTGCTCATGGTGATGCCAGAGTGCATCTTTGTCAAGATTCTCCCAATGTGTGAGACATTTCAGACACCATTCACACACAATACACAACAAGAGGACCTGCTCTTCATAGTCAGCTATGTAAACTGCAAGTGCATAGATGATGTGTCAGTAGTACTGATCGCTGAATAGTACTGTTTCCAGAGCTGTCATTGCAGGACCAAGTGACTGAAGAACACTTGCCAGCAATGAATGAAAGAGCTGCTTCTTGAATTTATGGAACACTTGTGTATTAGCATGCTCCCTAGTCACTATTGGGCTATCAGTGGTTGTACAAAGTAATAGAATTTGAAGTGCTTACTCTTTGGCATTGCAAGAAATCCAATGAGCACTACTGCATCACAGTGTGCATGACGAGCAGTGTTGCACACATTTCCAATGGAAAGATAGAGTGGGTAGTAATCCATTTGCCTAGTTGCAACAGAAAACAGTGGTCTTGTCACTGCCAAAGATGATGGGAACCAATGTTGCTCTGCCTACCAGTGGGTTATTGCTGATAATCTTGTCCTAGAAGTATGAGGTTAGTAGGACCTACATCAAGACAAACCTAGTACATACCACTTCGTCCCAGGCCCAGTCACCTGACATAAAATCCTCCCAATGCCTCTGGTCACTTGTGGCATTGTACTCTTGTTATGGTACAAAGTCCATTTTGTCCTTAATGTCAGCATGTCTGAGGAGGTTGTGGATAACTTGACGAGGGTCTCAATACCATACATCATAGATGTCAAACATCCAAGGGGCCTCAGGTTCATCCTGGCCATCTTGACCATCCTGACCACCTGGACCACCCAGTTCAATCACTTTGTCCTGCTCATCCAGTTCATCCTGTCTGTCCCACTTGCACTTGTAAGTGATTTTGAAGTTTTCCCACTTGACTGCACCAACAGACATGCTGTCTATTACATAATAGAGATCCATGTGGTTGGTAAATAGTGGGTTGCTGCCTAACTCAAGCAACGATGCAGCCCAGATTTCAAGCAATGTGTTGATTTGGTTTGCCAGCATTTCTGCACATTTAAAAAGAAACTTGGCAAGTTCAAATTCTATTCAACTGCAGTACAGAGCCCAATCATCCAGTGATCCCTGTACATGAAGTGGCAGTGGAGCATCATCTGTTAGAAAATGGCCCTGGGAGTCACATCTTCATGCTGTAATAAAATGTATGAGTAGAGGCAGAATCATGTATATGTAGGCTTACCATTAAGACCTGCATGATAATTACAGTAAACCTTGTTACCACGACCGACGAAATTTATGATCATTCCATCCAGTTCTTGATCCAATGTTGTGCTATGGTTGAAGTCATGTAGACCACCATCATGATCTACAATGTGTTCAGCTACTGGGGGTATGGCATTTAAACTGTGGTCCTGTTCACAATAACCAGGAGACCTTTGAAAGTGGTTGAGCTTGCACAGATGGCTGTGCTTGTGCTGAGTGAGCCCCAACTGGTTTTTGAACCAATGGTTGCAGCCTGGCAAGTCACAAGGGAGATGGAGAGCACTGAATTTTGACTGTTGAGAGTTTTGGGTGCTGCCTCTGCACAGCAGCATTTTGATGCTAAACAAACATGTTTGAGGACCCTTGTGTGATTGGTAAATGATTAGAAACCTAAGTTAGGCAGAACTTTGTGTATTTGTTTGCAAGGAACAAGACTCTATAGTGCATTTATTTGGAAGAAAATTTTCCTGCATAAAAATGACAAGTTCAAACTCACCTTGTGCTGTCTTCGTCTCACCCCATGCATGACAAGTATTATGTCAGCTTCTTCTACTAATCATCCATGACGAGAGAAAGCCAACCTGCATCCAGGGAGGATCATTCTTGAAGTGCAAACCAAATGGTGTACCCCAGCCCAGAAGAAGGCTGATGACTTGCATGCACAGGAAGTTATCAATGCTCAGGCAACTGCTATCCAGTACTATCCAGCAGGCTCATGCCCAAGTCAGCAAGATGGAGACCACCATGGAGGCCAGGCAGGTTATCCAAGACACTGCCAAAGTGAAGCCAGTCAGACCGAGACAGGTGCCTGCCAGTAGCAGGTCTACAAATACACCCATCCAACCTTGCATCGAAGGTAAGAACAATTATGTTGGTTGACCACAGAAACTGATAACATGACACTAGATACTCACCAGAGAATCAGTCCTCCTGTTGCAATGGAGGCCAGACAGACAATCCAAGTCACTGCTGAAGCAAAGTCAGTCAGACCAAGATGGGGGCCTGTCAGCCTTCAAGGAAAACCTGGAAGTGTGGCCATCCAACCTCATGTTGAAGGTGAGGACATTTTGATTATGTCATCCTAATCACAGACACTGATAACTTATCAGAAGTTGCTGATATGGAAGGTATGGAAGTCGATGCTCACCAGGTAACTGCTCCTGCTATTGCAGACTATACAAGCAACAAGCCACAGAGTGGGAGAACAGCTACCCACATGTTGAGAAGGCAAGGTGCAGTCACTGACCTTGATCTGCTGGCACATGTGGTGTCGACATGTGGATCCAATGAATTCTCCCAGCAAATGTATGCTCTTATTTTCCACTGTTTGATACCACAGATTCTGCTACTTACTGAGTCAACTTTTTTTTTGGCTGAACCTCACCTGGAATGCTCTCAGTACCCAAAATGATCCAGGTATCAATTTGGACTGCCAGGTCCATCATTGGGTCAAGGACATCCCAACTGTGCTGACACCATGTTCCAACAGATTATCAACCTCCATCCCTTCCTTGACAAGCAGAGCTACTACCACTGTCAACTCCAATGCAAACCTAGCATACCAGGTATGTGCTACATTATCAAGTAGGATCAGTCATCTTCAACATATTCAGTTAGGGAAAGATGCCTGCACCAACTCACAACATGGACAAAGAGGAATTAGAAGACCAACCAGCTTTCCCTGTCAAGGTTGTAGGTCATGACAAATTCAAGGTATGTCTCTTGATGCAAATCAACTTCTGTATTCTATATTGCTTCTAGGTGGTTGCAAGCATGGCTAACGATGTACAGAGTGACAATGAATTCAATCAGCTCATTTTTGAGGAGGTGCAGGCTGGCTCAAAGTGCAAGCATCCAGATTGTGATGATGCCAACTATGTCACCTCATCCAAGGTTGAGGACTTCAATGATGAATACTTCAACATTGAGGATTGTAATTTGAACTCTTGTATGTTGCCTGCTAAGGAATTGTGTGTCATGATGGTATGATTTTAGTCTATTTGAACTCTTCATTAATTCTTTTGGAATCACAGACTGACAATGGAGTGGACAAACCAAAGACATCAAAGGTTGACAGGGATGCAGACCAAGAACCACAACAGACAAGCACCACAGAAGGTCAAGTATCTTCAAAAAGGACCACAGGCAAGGCCAGCAAGTGCCCTCATTACTGAAACCAAGATCTGCCATCTGTGCTGATAGTGGGCAAGTTGTGGACAAAAGCCATCATACCCACTCTCCTTGTGTGGGCTGGAAGCTTAGCTGACTCTTGGACAATCTCAGATGATGAACTCATACAGTCGCTGCAAATCATTATCCTAACTATTGCCCCAGATTTTGAGGACCTGAATGACATTCATCCTGGGATGGTGATCTTTAATATTGTACTGTTAGTATTATTTACCTTGCTACCTGACTCATGCTTTCTTGGGCAGGTGTGTCAACAACTCTGCCAGTGGTGCAGCAACTTTGGATCCACTGCAATTACTCCTTATCACTCACTTCCTTGTCTTGGATCCAGAAATTGGTGTGCCATCTCTTGCCCAGGCTCAGGAGCTCTGTTCTAAGCTGTTGGAAGGCTTTGCATTTTTATATGTAGACCAAGATTCTCGCAAACCAGAGAACATTTTCTGGTCATACTTCATATTATTCCTCCTTGGCCATGCACATCTGCGACCCTGTGCTGATTCTCCTGATGTTCCAAAACTGAAGATCAGGGAACTGAAAAAAATTGGTGTCAAGGGTGTGCTAGCCCTCTGCTGTGCAGTGGTATGTATTTCATTTTAGCCCTAGACAGTCAGCTAAATCATTTTCTTTAGTTGCACCATACCCTTTCCCTGTTCAAAACCAGCAAGCTGCAAATTGATGTGAAGTACATGTCCTTCAGAAAGGCAGTCATCAAGATCCCCCTCAAGGTGAACAAGATGACCAGGAAGGAATTGTCAGCTGTTTCAGCATTCTCCAAGCAGAATTGTGGCCCCCACACCAGGCAATATGCTATAGCCATCAATAAGCATGATAATGCCATGCTCCATGACATCATTGTGGGAGTAACTATCCTCATGCCATGCAGTATGGATGCTGTATCAGAGGAAGGGAGCTTTCAACATGGGGAGGATGATGTTGATGATCTAATTGCTGCTCTCTGTAAGTTATTTCATTGTTTATGCACACTACTGACAAGTCATCGATAGGATCTCATCATTTGGATGTGATCTCATTCTCTCCCTCCCTCTGTCCCAAGTCACTCATTGGCAATTACAGTCATTTAACTAATTGTGTTTGTTTTTGTGTTTCATCTTGAGTCACCTTCATTTTGGATTGCTGTAGGGCTACGCTCATTTAATTTTTTGTGTCGCACTTCATCCCAAATGCATTGTGTTTTATTTCCTACCTGTGAGCTGAACAAAAGCAAAAAATAGTGAAAATAAGTGCGAAGAAAGTTTCATTCGACAACAAGTTAAATAGTAGAAATAGTAGGTAAAATAGCACAAAAAAAAGTATGGATAGAAAACGAACCTACTAAAATGACTATTATGTCCTTTTTGACTATTTTGGTGTGAATAGTACATAAATAGTCTGAATAGTACAGAAAATAGTAATGTGTGAATTTGCTGATGCATCTCATCTTTTGCGGCCTTGACTGAAGTCAACGCACTCAAAGCGAACATAGCCCCTGAGGTCTCAAGCAGAGTCAGTCCTCGGCATCCTCTTAGGATGCTCAAGAACAGGTCAGCCCCCATCGTCAATCGCTCACTATCGTTAGGCGCGGTTGTCATCCACGTATGGATGTGGCACAATTTTCTGCCACTGAGCATGACATATACATTTCCTTACCCGTTTCCTCGTCCTGGACATGAGGGAACTCGAGATCTAGGAACGTTGGAGTAGGGAGGCTTGGGTTCGGAAGGCGAGGACACAGCCATGTTGGGCCTAACAGATGAAGGTAGACGTGGACATGCACATGCTCAGTTAGATACATCATCCTACGGCTTGCCTCGAACTCAGCTCACTACTCGTGAGGCTCTCTCCCACTGTTTCAATGTAAATGTCTTGATAGTCCATCACTAGTGCGTGTTGGGTTGGTGGCTTTAGTAGACTTGTCCTCGTCAGACCTTTCTGCCACAACAGCGTCCACACACCTTTCTAGACCACCAGAGCGTAACTGTCAGAAAGAAGATGGATTGTAAGATCCAAGCGACACGTAGTAATACCCGTTACATACATATGTCATCACAACCACGTAAGTACTCTCGTACCTTGGGACAACACTTACACCAAACTTAGACGACCTACTTGATCTGACCAAAATATCATCCACCATCACGATCAGGAAGTTCTGGCTTTCAAATATGATTACCCCTTGTTCCTTGACCGCACTAGTAGCTACACATGTGGACACCTTGTAGCAAGGAAATGAGTTCTGCAATATACTGACATTACATGTCAGCATCTCCAATGAGATAGGCCTAGTGCTTCGAGAAGAGAAGTCAGTGTCTTCTTGAACGGAGACCGTGCAATGGCCAAGTTCCCGGGAAATCGTCGAACCATGACAAGTCTCAGGAGAGCTAACCTGAGCTGGAGGGGCCAGCCGACGCAGATGTATATAGATCATACGGGGACCTCAGGGCATGCTCTGTTTAGCCTGGTGCATGTGGTAAAATGACGCTGAGGCTCAGCACTCAGCACTCAGCCACCGCGGAGAGTCCGTACTGATCGACAAATGATGCATACGGTGAACCAGGTAAAAAAATAATTGAGCAATTAGTGTTACGGCCGAAACCGATGAGCTTCCAAGCGAGACGATCCCCGAGCGCATCAACCCAAGTGATGCTGAGCTGGCAGGAGTGACGATCTTCCTCATACCTATATCCCAGACAACGGGTTAACAATAACAGAGTCACACTTCAAAGTTTCATTGCCTAGATCGCAATCGTGTCAAGCATGAAGTGACCGAGCTTCAAGCAGACCACTTTGGAGCGTCCAAAAGCAAAAAGTACATTATTCGTCTTCAATGCAAATACTGGGTGTAGAGTTGTTGTCCAAGCTCTGATGCCATCATCACAGGACATTCATTGTGCTACACACATGTGAAAATGGACTCGTACTCTCCTTATCTAAGTGTCTATTTCTCGAGGGAGTCACTACCGGCGCATGCCCTCATCTCAATTTATGCGTTCCACTCCACTGACATCCCCACTATTGATGTCTGACTCTCATCAAACTCTTCCTGCATCTACTCCATGTCTCCTTCGGCGCAATACTCAAGTGTGGGCTTGGAATGCCTAGAGTGGCCGATAAACGAAGGGAACTCCAGATCAGTGGCACTCTAGGTTTTCATTTCTTCATCTGAGGAGATTGTGCCAGTGGAACGGGATCCACTACCTTCTGGACCTTGCCATGGACTGAGATAGTTAGTGCGTCTGAGTCTTTCATTTCCAACGCTGGACGCAACGCCATGTTATAGGCTTCCAATGTCTTCTGGACTCTGTCTGGTGTGCCTGAGCATTTCAGTTCAGATTGCGGGCGCAACACCATGACACACAATACTGAAATATAATGGGTGCGCCCGGATCTTTCAGCTCAGAAAGTGGACGCAACGCCCTAAGCCCGGAACCCTCATCACGTTCGTTAATATTTTCCTTGACGCTCGGTCCCAGAGTATAAAAGGGACGTGGACAGCTGCCCACATTCTGCAGAGTGAAGACACTGTCGATAACTCATACTCATCATGCCAAACCCCCTCAGGCCAAGCAAGAATGCCATCATCTACTCCATGGTAGATGGCGAACCCTACGTTGGAATGCCCCCCACCAAACCTACCACTTTACCAGTCCTCCTTTATGCGAGGGATTCTGTCAAGGAGCCCCCCATGGTGAGTTCGGTCTTGCATCCCACGCTCGAATACATCACCTAACAGTCTTGACAGTTCAATATGGAAAAAGTCGGAGATTGTACCTACGTGATTAGCGCCAGGAATTACAAGACACAGGAGGAGCGTGGCCTTCTCATCGGATCCATCGAGGGAGAAGCTCAGAAGTGGCGCATCCAGTACACCGAACGTAATGACGCCTATATGTGAGTTAATCAGGGCCAACATCTATCTACAACATAGTGCTTCATGTAAAATGACAATGTCCTAGCATTGCCAAAGAGAACGACCGTGGCGTTGGATGGGTCGCCCCGACCAACGAAGAAGAACGCAAAGAAGACCGTCAGGTAGAATCTACGTGCCAATACGAGCGCAAAGATACTGAGCTTACATATGACCTTGTAGATCCTGGTCAGGCAGCTCATGGTTGGACCATCCGAGCCACCTTTCTATCCTTCGAACCAGTTGTTCAGGTTCAAGTACCAGGAGTGATTAGGAGGTTGAATAGGTTGTGTATACGAAGGCCAAAGTGCCAAGGTCTGCAATGTTGTTTGAGGTGTGTTGGTGATATGTGCTAGTGTAGGATACGAAAAATCCAAGTGTAAGCGTAGTTCCTGTGGGTACCAACGCGCATGAAAGTCGTTGGAGGATGTTATCTGCCAACCAGTGGCTGAGACGATTCAGGTTCAGCGTCATTTCTCCGTATGCACTGGCCAGGACGTCCTGAACTATCCCGCGAGCGATATAATCTGAATTTAGATTGCAGGACCGGGCTCTAGCACAATTAATTTTAGCGGAGCAACTCAATCGAAGGCCGGGTTCTGGAGAAGGAGTGGCGGTCTCGAGGGGATGAACACAATAGACGTCGCCTCGCCGATGGTCCTTTGCGGATCTACGTTAGTCACAAAGTCGACCTTGAACGCTTAATGGAGCAAGCACAGTTACCATTCAGCACGTGAACTCATCGTCTCACGTGACTATATGCGTCTCGACTCTCAAATCATTCTCCGCTCGCAATACCTTCTCTTCTCTTACCACCAAAGTATCTTGTGTGTAAAATACGATGGCCCCTCGCCGTACAGCTCCTGAGGGAAGCATTCCCCCGCCGAGTCGCGCTTCCTCACCACCTATAGAGCAGATTGAGGAGGTGACACGAGTCTTGTCTGCTGACTACAAGATTCATAGCTAACCGTACCCAGGCCCCGTTTTTTGACAACATTGACGAACTGCAGCAGCATGTGTGTCCGTGTCGACACGAGACTGAATGACAGTCCTAATTGAAACCAGGGAATCAACGTGCAAGACATCCTCAAGCTCAAGGTAACGCATATACGTGTCTGAAGTGCTGTCTAACGCGTCTTTAAGGGTGCCGCCATCAACACGGTGTCTGGAGTGGTTATGACGACGCGTAGAAATCTTTTAAAGATCAAGGTTTGCTGTTCTTCCTCCATTGTGCGGTTTGATACATGGCGTAGTCAGGGTATGTCAGAAGCGAAGGTAGAGAAGATCAAGGTAAGTACGCAGTGCGCACACAGGTAAACTTGTAGGCAGAGGTACTTAGTTTTTCGACGTAGGAAGCCGCGCAGAAGATCACGGTAGCCGTTGGTTGCAATTCATGCTCACCGTCTCACTGACAGCTGGCAGGGCTCCTCTTTCGCGACGGGGATTGAGATCCAGGATCGTCGGCGGCGCGTGCTCGTTATCAGCACAGGTAGTAAATCTGTCGACTCTATTCTTGGCGGTAAGGAGAGGTTATGTAAATAAGACTGAAGACTGGGATAAATAGGCTTCTCTCAGGCGGTCTCACGTCGCAGTCTATCACTGAAGGTTCGTGTATCTCGAGCTTTAATAGGGGTAATTTGACTGGGATATAGTCTATGGCGAGTATCGCACAGGGAAGACTCAATTGGCCCACACAATGTGTGTGGTGGCCCAATTGCCACCAGATCTCGGCGGCGCATCTGGAAAGGTACGTCTAGTAGAATGATTTGAGGACTAACGCTAAGGAGAGAAGGTTGCATACATCGATACAGAAGGTGCGACCCATACCGTTTCAAGCGGTTTGAACGACGTTGACCAGTCCCAAGGCACTTTTCGTCCAGACCGTATAAGGGCAATTGCAGACAGGTTTGGCGTCGACGGCAGCATGGCTCTGGAGAATATCCTCTATGGTGGTTCCCTATGTCCTGTATCCCAGTGGTGGCTGACTTCCCCTGCAAGCTCGTGCATTCAACAGTGAACACCAGGTTTGTCGTACTTGTCTTTGGCGCATCTGACTTATATAGATGTGGTTAGATGGAACTTATCAACGAATGTTCTATGCGCTTTGCAGAGGACAAGGACTTCCGACTGATCGTAAGGAACACCAATTGCCCGCATATTAGCACTGACCTATCCAGATTGTCGATTCTATCATGGCTCTTTTCAGAGTTGATTACTCTGGGAGAGGAGAGCTAAGTGAAAGACAACAAAAGGTGCGTACTGACACTAACAGGAATTCTAAGTGAACGCCAACCACGACATCCAGCTGGCACAGGTGAGAGTAGCGGGCACTGGTTACCCTTAAGCTCACTTCGGCTTCAGATGCTCTCAAAACTAGTGAAGCTGTCTGAGGAATATAATGTACGCGAACACTCACCGAAATGCTTAGATGTTCGATTGCTCTTCCTGCAGATCGCGGTGCTGATCACGAACCAAGTACAAGGTAATGCTCAATAAACTGTCTATCGTAATCACCCCGTAAACCTTCTTCCACAGCTGATCCCGGAGCAACTATGACTTTCGTAGCAGGTGGTGCGCTGAAACCCGTGGGCGGACACATCTTGTCCCACGCTTCCGCGACCCGGATTTTCTTGCGCAAAGGTGAGAAACAGCGCCGTCGCAGGCTGCCACAAATCATGGTAGTGGACTTCATGAATCAGTCTCCAATAATCCTTCCCGTCTATATAACCAACTAATTGTACGCGTGGTTCAGGTCGAGCGGAGGAACGCGTCGCCAAACTTGTAGATAGCCCTGATAGACCCGAGAGTGAGGCCTCTTATAAGTTGGACGAAGGGGGGTGGTCAGACGTCTAGGGTTGCCTTGCAATCCCGCATGACATGGACTGGAAAGTACGTGATTTTCGATCGTTGGGAGATGATTGCCCCGTCGTTTCCATCACACCAGCGAACGCTCTCCCCCTTCACTTGTAGATTAGATGAATGTGCCGTAAATCAAGGACGGTACCAAGTTGTTGATCTTGTTTATCATTAGGATGTCATCGTCTCCCTGTGTAAAGCCTGATTATTCATAGTATTCCGCACGTTCAGCGGCGTTTAACTTACACCGCAGGAGACTCGAGGTCAGTGGAATGTGTTGCTACAAACTATCAGGAATGCAACAGAATGGCACAGAGACGAAACTGAAACAGTCATCTTCGCACTGGACACCGGTGATCGCTAGCTTAGTTCTCGCCTGAAGCACAACAAGAGACTTCCCAGTCATGCACAGCGCGCCAGTGCGGGTAACCCGGCAGAGCCTGCACGCCGATCAGTGAAACCACAGCCCATGTATCGTACTACCTACCAGCGGGATTCATGACACAGATGGGTTACAAGTGTGCTGAGTGATCGTTGCGCTGACTGACTCCAACGTGGAGTGACCCGATCGCATCTGCGGTGGAATAAAACCGGGTTCGGAGACGTGTCCGTGGATCCTCTTGCACATGGTTCGTATATCCACTACCACTCACGCTGATAGGGCTGCCAACCCGTCCTCTGATAATGCCATTCTTGCTACGTTTGCATGGCCTGGCAACTTTTCCTTGCAGGGGTGAGAGAGTCTTCCGCATCTCGGCGGATGCATTTGAATTTGAAAATTGGGACGAACCCAACTAAGATGGTAATACATCATCTTGCGACTCTCGCCAACAGGCATGCGGACTTGGGCAATGAGAACGATAGCACATGCTACGCCGGCGACTCCAGTTCTTCGCTCATGTGCTTTCGTGGTGTCTTCGCGCGTGGTCCTCCAACCATGCAGGTGTGTTGAGGATTCCTTGCCAGTCCGAGCAAGCTGACGCCACACAGTAAGGTGACAATCTCAGTCCTTGACGCACATCATTCAGCCCTCGTAACGTCCGAGTAGTCCCACATGCGTGACATGAAGCTCGCAGACTGTGCCATGTTACCACACGAAGGTGAGTTGAAGGTGGATGTACTGAGTGCGATATATCCTCAACTGGCAACTGGCCTGCTCCGGATTTGGCAGCGCTGTGCGTCGCAACGTGATTATTACCCAGTCAGCCTGTTTCTGCTTTAGCGATTCGCCACTGTCGTGCATTCACATCTTCCGCGTCGGTCGACCACTTAATATGTAAACTAACGACATCCGGATGAGCCGAAACTGCTGCGAAGATCGCCGCAATCGGGCTCTCCCACAGTAGGGTAACCGATGGCGGCCTAACGCATACTTCAGGATGTGTGATGCTCTGATTCGTGCGCTCGTTCCCACCTCTCTCTTCTCCGTTAGATATTAGACCATCCTCTGTGGAGGGCATTCCACTCCTTCAGCAACTCACTTCCACTCGTTAAGAACTCGTGCAACTAGGCATGGCTCTCGCCTTCGTCGTGGCTGCACTTCTCGCAGCCTGCGCCCATGCCGCCGTCCCTAACGCCATGTTGCGTGCCGTCCCCGCACTCCCGCCCATCACCGCAGAAGAGGGACTTCGCACTACACCAAACGGCACGACAGTCCCATCTCTCAACACTGTTTATATCTTCGACCAGCTCATCGACCACACGAACCCTAGTCTAGGGACATTTAAACAACGTTACTGGATGGACTGGGAGTACTACAAACCTGGTGTGTTTCTGTCCTCGAGGCGCTCCAAGCTGTTTTTCATGCATAGCGACTGTGCAGGAGGCCCCATCATCTTCATGACGCCGGGCGAGGCCAATGCCCAAAGTCAGTTTCCTATTTTCAATCTGGCCACCTTGATAAGCATGGAACTTTCGGCTGCTAGACTATACTGGCTACCTTACCAATTCCACCATCAACGGACTAATAGCACAACAACAAAATGGCGCCACCGTTCTCATCGAGCACCGGTTCTTCGGTCTATCCAATCCTTACCCTAATCTCTCGTCTCAATCTCTTGCTTTCCTTACCATACAACAAGCTATTGATGACTTGGTATACTTTGCTCAACAAGCCAACCTCCCTATGCCCGGCGGTGACAATGTCAAACCCAACACCACCCCATGGATTCTCATTGGTGGGAGTTACTCTGGTACGTTCGGTTTCCACACTTCGCATGGGTCGGAAGCCGAGGTTGCGAGCAGGTGCACTGACGGCCTGGACAATGGTCAAGTAAGCCATCTGGTTTACTCTATTTAGTCTAGAAACTTATTTTGGTTAAGCCGACCTGGGATCTTCTATGCCGGATATTCGTCGTCAGGCGTCGTAGAAGCCATCACGTCAGCGACTCCCGATCCTTGCCACACGACAACATTCTAATGGCGCATTCATGTGCTTCTGGCCCTTCCATAGGAACTATTGGGCATACTTTAAACCTATACAAGAATACATGCCTCAGAATTGCTCGGCCGATGTCCAAAGGGTTATTGCTTACTTAGACGGATTATACGCTACAAACGATACCCAGAAGCTCCAGGAACTCAAATCAGCATTTGGGCTCGGCGGGCTATCACACATCGACGATTTTGCGGCTGCCCGTAAGATTTGCCCACGGCTTCCTGAGATGTGATGCATGCTGTTAATGATCTCCCCGCTACAGTGCAGTATAATCTCTTTGACTGGCAAGAGCTCACGCCATTCATAGGTCCCGGAGCGATGTTCTTCCAGTTCTGTGATGCACTCGAAGTCAAGGACGGCCAGATTGCAGGTCCTGGTGGTTGGGGTCTCGAAAACGCGATCCAATCGTGGGGCGGGTTCTGGAACAGTACATATTACCAGCACGGTCAGCCATTCTTCTGGCTCGTTTTCAGAATTCAGTACGGTTGATGCTTATCTTTCTAGTGTGTGGCGACGCGGATGCTGAGTATGTCGTCGCACTCGATCCCGTTCGGATGCACCATAATCTCACAACTACCTTGTACAGAACGTGTCTCGGAACCTACAACGTAAGCCAATCATACTGGACTAGCACCGCCATCAACAACAATGAGCGTTCGTGGTTCTGGGTAGTGTAAGTTGCTCCTACACGCCACACGTTGAACCCTATTGCACTGCGTACAGGTGCAATCAAGTGGGATTTTACCTAGGAGGACCCCCTGTTGGCCAACCTGCAATTGCGAGTCGCATCCTCACACCGGAATACTCCGAGGTAGATCGCCTTTCCTCCAACCAAGTATGTTGCTTGTTGTGCTGAACACGCGGTCGATAGCGGCAATGTGTCAATATGTTCCCTCAGAAATTCAGCTCCCCGCCTCAACCTGCAGCCGCGCAAGTCGATGAGGAATATGAAGGATGGGGTGTCGAAGTCGATAGACTCTTCTTTGCAAATGGACAACGTACGTCTTATTTTACTAATTCCACCTACCTCGGCGTTAGTCCTGATGCGCATATCAACACACAGGCGATCCCTGGCGTGAAGTCACCGTTTCCTCGGATTTCATTTACAAGTCCAGTACGGACACGCAACCAATCTACGTGGGAAATGGCTTTCACTCTTCCTGATTTGATCATGGAGAGTGGTGTCGTCGACGCTTCTATCGCAAGGGTGCAATCTGCGGCTCTTGGGTACATGAAGACGTGGTTGGCAAGTTGGACGCCATCCTGGGCCGTAGTCGCGAATGGAACTACTTGACACCGGAAGTATATTCGCATTTCATACATTATTAGGTAGCTTTGGAAGGGAAACAAGTCTGGCCAGATGTAAAGACACTGCCAGAAACTACCAAGAAATTGGATCCACGTCATCGTACAAGGAAGCAATACTGCTACAAGTAGGGATGTTTCGAGGGATGATCAAAACACAACGGGGGCCGAGACACTGCATTTGGAGAACCATGGGAGAAATATTGGATGGTGGAGGGGAACGGTAGGTTGCAGAGAGTAGAAAGATTATTATTCGACTGGCTGAAAGGAACACCGGAAGTTCAGAAACAAGAAAAGAGCAAAACCCGAACCCGAACGCGTACGTACCATAACAATACGACATTCTCATGATCATGCCGTCGCAGGCCTATTTTTATTTTCTGAGTCCTTGTCCGGACTTTTTCTTTCCCTTGGGCTTGAAGTGAGCGTCGTAGTGATACTTGCAGTTGTCACGTCGACTGAACGTTTTATTACAAGTGGGGTACCCGCAGGCGTATGCTATGTGATGAACATTCTTTAGTATACGAATCGTTTCCAACAAAATTGATGGACCTACGTTTCGCAATGGAGTGGAGAGTTGCGATATGTCTCTTGACGTGTTCTCCGCGGCAGAACCAACAATCACACATCTTGCATTTGATCTTCCTGGTTGGATCCGGAGATACGTCTCCTTCGCTTACGGGCACCTTCCGACCACGAGATTTCCTTGTGACCGGGGTCGGAGGATCGGCGGGCAGGATATCGGATCTACGTTCGTGTTGACTACCATCTGCACTGGAGGAAGAATTCCCTGGAAGCAATGAACGGAAGTACAAGGTAGCATCCGTCAATGTGACTCACCCCCATCGTTGTCGCTCTCGGTCACCATGGGTAAAGCAGAGGACGAGGCTTGGGGTTGGACATAGGATGGCATAGAAAAATGGTCAGCGGGAAAACCTCCCCCATAGGCCGTGGGCACCGCGTCGTAATTTGGTTTGTCGATAGCCGGGTGTCCGTACTCGTCCTACCTCAAAGGTTTGGCCTCGGCTTAGCTCTGATTCGCTCAACAAAAGTACGGAAAAATCGTTATACTCGTTGGCATCGTTCCCAGAAGCGTATGGTGTCATGGTAGGTGTGAACGGAAAGAGAGAGTACTCATCCATGCCGATGGAAGTCTCAGCGGGAAAAGTAAATAGAGGGAGTGTGAACTCCGGGGTGGAGTCAATTGGCAGGCTGAGTGAAAGATCGTCGGGGGATAGAAGTGAATCCGGGAGAGGCAGAAGAGTATCTGAGAAAGATGGGGTGAAATTTTGTGTGGATGACGATAGCTGAGTGTTCAAGGGTTGTGTACAGACAATACTGGAGTCAGACTCTTCATCCTCGTCATAGAACATGTCGGAGGGTGGCGAGGGAGTGTTTGTATCGCGCGACATGGCTAGACGAAGTGATGGTAAGAGAGAAGGAAATTCCCCCAACGTACCTTGAGGGGACCGAGCTACTTTAAATACTGTCCGATTTGTTTTTGGTTGCACTCAGGCCTGCCGGGCCATACATGAAGATGACATCTAGGGGAATTACCAGATATGGTAGTGTGCCAAATCGACCACTTACGGCACTCAACAACATACGCAAAAAGAAACACGTGAAATTCGTCATTGGGGGGAACCTGCACGTGTCTGCGCCGTATCCTTGCCCTCCTCCTTGTTATCGACCTTGCCAACTAGCTGTAGTAGGATTCGTGGACGGTAATGCCAGACAGTCCTCCATCTCACCCGCCATCTCCGCCCTCTCCGTCGCCTGCATCTCCTCAGACCATGAGCTCCCTCGAAAACGAGGACGAGAGCGTCCGTATTGCCATTCGAGCACTGGGAGATATGAAAAACGGTGCTCGCGCATCGTCGTCATCATGCAAGTCTCGTTGTCACCTCGTGTTGTCATTTAAATTGGCTCTTGACGTCGTTTTACACATATCTAGTCACTACTAATCATGCTAACACGGCCTCTTCATCGTCCCCCCAATATGACGTCTCCCCTGACTTCGTGTCACGGGTCTCTAATCTGCCAATAGTAAATACCGCACTGCGGGCGTACGAACAAGGAAAAGCTAGTTCACGAGTCGTGAAGGTATGTCCGTGGTGATATGCGATTTAAAATAGCAATGTATCTTACATCTTGGAACTCTCGATCTCATCTAGTATGGAGCGGAGATGATGGAGTCATCCGTTAAGAGTATATCCCGGCCCGTAATCGAGCGACTGCCTGTCGAGCAACTCGACGAATTTGCCTGCAGACAATTGGACAAGGTATGTAGATCTGACTTCGTGTCCGTCCGCAGTCGATTTATCGAGTATTGCGTAATATGTAGTTGGAGAGATACCGCCGACCGTCAAGTGTCGATTCAGACAGGATGCAAGTTGATCAGATTGAACATCATCCTCGACACCAACGGCATTCTCAGTCCCCGAGCGATCGTAAGTCCCTCTCTGAGTCTAAATACAGGTCTTTCCTAATACAGCCAAGATCACGCCACAAACCCCAACGAATTGCAAAGTGGTGGTAGCCGTACACCGACGCCCCGATCACAGGTTCCTGACGCGGCGCCCCCGGACCAGGATGGGCAAGCCGTCGTACAACGAAGTCGATGGCAAGCTGTTCTCCTCGAAGCTGGGGGCATTGGTGCGGCCGTTAGTGAGGAGAGTATGCGGAGACTGAAGTATTGTCTCCAGTGGCTTCAAGTACTTTTTTCGTTGTTAATTTAGGGGTCACGTCATGTACTGATGACGGCATTTGGATCCGCAGTATGCGACTGCCCATATTGATGCACAAATCGTTATCTTGCGCGACTTCATCGCATCGCTCCAGCCGGATGGGACCGCCGCTTCTGATTCGGCCGACTCATTTGTATCTCCAACACACATGCGCACGTTGACAGATGTGCGCCGAGACGTCGTTCACACCGTCAGGCAGGTCGTAGGCGTAGTGAGCGAGTATGCCGGCGGTGCGCTTCCCGAACCTGCACGCGTGCGCGTGCGAGGATTCATTCTGCATCTGCCTCAGCGCTGGGCGAGTGCAAGTGCGTCTGTGCCTCATTCGCAGGGTATACCTGATGGTGCGCCGGGTGCAAAATCGGTAGCGGGTGCCTCTACCGGGAGTGCGGCGCGTCGTGGACGGAGCACTCGGCATCTGAGGGAACGTAGTGCCGGCGGTCCGGATAGATCGATATCTGGTACGCCCGCATCGAGTCGAGCGGCGTCGCCTATCACAACGCAACGTGGTGGACGCTCTCCCACTGCAAGTGCAGTCACTCGGGCTGCTCGGCAAATCTTGACGCTTGCAACGGAGAGCTTGGATATGATGAGAGGCGTGACGGGCGTAGTAAAAGAGTCACTCGATCGTGCTGATGCGTGCGTGAGGTCATCTGCCGTCTCGTGTCATGAATTGACATGTCTCTTTGTTACAGATGGGTAGAAAGGTTACGTGTCGTTGGCTTGCAGCGTCAACAGGAGTCTCAGGTCACGCAAGAACGGCTGGAGTATCCGTCCTCATTCACATCCATTTCTGGGTCGACGTCCACTTCGATATCTATCGGATCCTCGTTGCTTACGGACCATCGGCAGTCATTGCCGGGGTTGTCATCGACACCGTCGACGCCTGCCCAAGCTAGTACGCCGTTTTCTGTACCGTCCACTCCAGCGGCGTATGCTTCACCTGATGGGATGGCACGGGGAGTTCAACTTATGGAGGGACCCTCGCTCAGTGACCTACGATTAGATGGGGACAGCGAGCACGATGCTACGAGTGGAGGTGGGGGTCAAGCTCCGAAGAATGGAAAAGGAAAGGAGCGGGCCTGGTCGCAGGCCTCGAGCTCTGAATATGACTCCGCACGATGAAAACGATCGAGTTCTACTTATGCTTATGTCCCGTGCCTGGTCGAGTTGACATGTTCAAGGTGGATGAAATTTCCGACGGTGCTTTTTTTATGTCTGAGGCCGTTAATTTGGAATATCTCAAATTCCGCTTTGCTCAAGGGGCTTGCGGTGGATGAGTTTTGGCTCCGCAGGTGGGGATCACTGATAGGGGTAGTTTGTAATTATGTAATCATCGGATCAGCTTTGTGCTTATTACGACTACCCTATGACATACGCAGAGACATGCAACTCTTCGACGTCAATGTCGGGAATGTGTCATGGCCGTCTCTATATAACCCTATCATCGACCTGATAGGTGGTGATAATGCTCCGCCTGTTGAGCCAGGAGGAAAGTATCTCACCCAAGCAGATGGTAAGTGGGCCTATCAGTCTCACGTCCCAGCAACGCACCGACGCGGATACCCCAGACATATTCCGCTTCACTCTCTACTGGACGCTCATCTTCCATGTGCCTTTGTACGTTCTCGTTGGGACGTATGCCTTCTTCAACGTGTTGTTCCCGCCTGCACGAGGGCGCTTGCGTCGGTCACGATTTCGTACATTGGCGCGCACGGGTGTTAGTTCAGAAGGAGAATCGGTGCCCATGAACCCTCTGCCGAATCTACATCCAAATTCTGCGTATATGACAGCACCGCCGGCCTCCCATCCGAGTGCAGAGACGTTATCAACTTCACCTAGACGAGTTGGTAAACGGCTCAACGCGGGGCGCACGCGATTGATGTTTGCACTGATCATCTTTCTCTCGTTTGTTGGTCTGGGCATCGTCAGCGCTGTCGCTGGTGCTGCGGTGATGGGTTTCGTGATTGCGGGCGTATACAAGGCGGGTGGGTTCTGGGTTTCGACGTGGGTGTTGTTAATCTTTGTTCCGCTTCTCGGACTAATTGCTAAGTAACGTTTGGGTACATATATGTACAGATGGGTCCCATTTGTATGGGCTGTTATACATGCCTTAGTGGGACTACTCGGGTCTGTACTTTCTTTGTCTTGTGTTTATACCTTTGCTAGCACTGACGCGTGTTCGTTTGGCATGTCATAGGATATGGCCTTCTGTTATCGAGATCATATGATGACGCTCATTGCGATCTTTTCTTTCCCTCGTGGATCTTATCCGATACGGATGGCGTACGTGTGCGTACGCGTGTACTTTCTTACGTTAGTTGGAGCGATAGGTTAAGAGGTACGTTTATAGGTGTGACGATAAAGTTATAAACGCACAAATGACGCACATTTCCCATGCAGGTGTCCTCCATGGTAATAGTACTCGATGGAATCTAGAAGAAATTACCGGAACTGTTGGCATTTTATCTAGGGACCCGTTCTGTCTTATCAGACTCGAGCGTAGATCGACGGCATGAGCACTTCGGCTATTGGGTTTTGCGGTGATGGCATGTCGATAGCCGGGTTTCGCCGGAGCGGCGTTAAGCACCAGAACAGAAGGGAAGTATGTACATACTTGTACCAGATTGGATTGGTGAGCAATGTTAGCTCCGTGGGCTGCGTTATTTCTTTGGCTGCGCAAGATGGTGGCTACGTGGGTGGAATAAGGTTGGATAACGTAGTTGAGACCGGAGTTGCTGTATGTTTGGTTCAGTGACAGCCTCGTGATCGTCATTGGAGTCTGTTGGCTGCATGTTGCGGGGACTTGGGGGGGTTGTATTCGTGTCATGCATGTCATGAGCGGAGATGCTGCTCGGCGACGATTTTAGTGGTCTGCGTCATGACAGTAGCCCTGGGTCTAGACCGCCATTACCCGACCGATTGGCTGAGAGCGGTCAGGCGTTCAAAAGGCGTGCTCTGCTGGATATTTGAATTTCGATTATCTGGGCGTCTCTGCGAGAATACATATGTATAGACAAGGTTCAGTGATTTGATGATTCATCACTGGTGAATTCTCTTCTATCAATTTTGAAAAATTTCCTCCTCTTCTTCCGCGGACACAAATGGAGCGTTAGGGCAACCAATCTCCGGGGAAACATTCGACTGCTGTCTGATTGAGTAAAATTTTTGACAGCCGAATATCGCGACCGCTATTTTTTTTCTGACAGGGCGAACGGAACCAAGAACGGAAAATTTAAGGTGTCGGAAGCAAATATGGGTTGGCTGACGCTGACCAGTGCTGTACTTTGCACTATCTTATCTCCAACAAGAAAAGTGGCCGACGCCGCGCGTCTGATAAGTAAGTAAACGTGGGGTAAAGCATCAGGGCCACCGCGATGCACGTCCCACGAGGCTGGATACTATCGCCTGCGTCGACCCGAGGCGTGTGCGTGTGCGTGCGTGCGACTTGGAGCATGTTGATGTCGTACTGTACTTACGCAGGCGGTGTTTTGTCAGCACAAAGGCCGAGCCTCCTCCTGACCGATCGTCCGGCATATGAACAGCTTCATTTATCCCCAGTTCCCAAAGGGACACGAGTACGCCACTGCGATTAGTACCCTACCAACGGAAGAACTGTTGCTAATGAACGGATGATAACGAGTGGGAAACGCGACTGGAGTGGGCGGGGGGGAGATAAGATTTGCCTGGTTAGGTAATCAGCCGCACCTGAGACCATCACGTATGCGTCTTATGTAATGGGACACGTATTATATCCGCTGATATTTTTCCTAGTGGTGAAAAAATATAATCTGAGCGGTCGAATGTTGAATGCAGGGCCAGATACAAGTTACAAGTGCAGAACAGATGTGAATTATGGGCTGGCTAAATTGTGTGAAGACGGCGGACTCGAATAAGGAACAGTGGTTATCTTTGAAACGGGTGTGATCTGATTGGTCGGCTGGGGACTTATCGGCTCCCATTCAAAAATCTGGCTGTGGTCCATCCAAGTTGCCCCGCTCTCTCTCTCCCTCTCTCTTGTCCACCCCCTTCTACCGCTATTACTGCCACCACGGCTACTTAGTACTACTCGTCGCCACCTACCCCGTCGTCCGTCTTGTCGTCTGTTCTTGACTTGGATTTGTCCAGCTGATCCTCGCCGAACAGTGTTCCTCTAATCACCAATCTTAACTTCTACCCGTAATCGTATCTGATAGTGCCCCGCGAAAAAAAATGTCGCCAATCGTAATGGAACAACCCCCCGCTTTGAGCATGCACCACCTTTCTCGTCTGCAGCAGACGCCGTTCTCTCCGAACGGCCCTGCCGACCAGCACACCGCGTCGTCTCTCCAACACGACCACGTCCTCCAGCACGCCGACCACGCTCACCCCCTTCACCAGCGTATCAGTTCCGCGGAGTTCACCTCCTACGAACAGCTGTTGCAGCACCAGAAGGACCGCCAGCATCCCGACGACGACGCGCTGGGTGGCTTGGACCCTGCTGGCTCGCCCACCGTCGATCCACCTCAGCACCCACCTTCACATCATTCGCCATCTTCTCAGCAACAGCCTTCACCTCAGCATCAGCAACAGCCCCAGGCGCCTACTCAACAGCCTGCTGCACAGCAGCAACAGCAACCGTCGCGCCCACAGTGCACAAACTGCGGCACTTTAGACACGCCCCTTTGGAGACGCGACACTGAAGGCAAGACCATCTGCAATGCTTGCGGTGAGTCGTCCTCTTCGTTTTCATCTCATCTCTCTGCTCCTGTTTCATTTCCTCCTCCATCGCCGTCACGTGCCTTTCATAACGCTTTTTGGGTCCCGGGTACCCATTTTGTCAATAACACGCACCAGACATCCGTCCTCGATGCTATATCGCGTCTTTCATCATCGTCATCATGAACCTTGATGGTGCACCCTTGCGGCTCCATCTGCACTGCGTGTTCTCGGCATGTTTCTTGGTCAACGTGATGGCGATTGGATTTTGGGCTCTCTTTTTCCTACGCTTCTGTTTCCCTCGCTTCCTTACCTGCTTACACTAGTTTCCTTTTCCCCTTTATTTTCCGCTATCTTACCCTTACCTTGCACTTGCCGTGCTGGCTTGTTTATGTCCTCCGTCCGTCCGTTTGGCTTGTTGTCCGTCTGTCTGTTGAACGCAGTGTGCTGATGATGAGAATGATTGGAAATGTGTCCGACTCGTGGGCAACTTTGCTTGGGGGTTCTGGCTGTCCTGTTCTCTCTTGTCGATAGGTCTTTACCTCAAATCACGCAAGGTGGCTCGCCCCACTTCTTTGGCCCGCACTCCAACTCCTACCGTCGTTGCTTCATCTACTAACGCATCGACTGCTACCAACTCCATTCCTACACCCAACTCCCCTGTCCCTTCCTCAAACGGTACAGGCGACAACATGACAAATCAAAATCAGCCATCTCCGTCATCGTCGTCTAACCAAAATCAGCAGTCCCCCACTAAACCTTCGAATGATCAATCCGTCTCATCGCATAAACCGGAAGGTGCGAGCAAGCCTTCCAAATCCAAGACATCGTCCACATCGTCACCGTCAACCAAGTCGACGGGTAATAACACAGGTGCGCCACTCTTGAATGCTGGGGGGGGCACGTGCCCTGGAGATGGGCGGTGCGATGGCACTGGCGGATCCAGCGCGTGTGCGGGATGCCCGACGCTGAATAATTCGCTTGCAGTGGGCAGAATGGAGGTTGATGCCGTTGCTTCTACCGGTGCTGGCAGAGAGGAGGGCGCTCCATCGCCGTCTGCTGCTCCCCAGTCGCCACCAGCTGGTGCCGTGGCTGTTAATATGTCATCCCCTGGAGTAGATGCGGAGAGCAGTCCCTCTGCAGGGCCTGCTGTCGCCACTGCTACTGGAAGCGGTGGAGGTGCGGGGACTCCCGTTGGTGGGAAGAAGGGGAACAAGACGGCTGTTGGTGCCTTGAGTTGTGCGAACTGCGGTACGAGCACTACGCCGCTTTGGAGGAGGGATGATGTAGGGAACAATATTTGCAACGCTTGTGGTGAGTGGTCGTTTCTCTCACAGATCCCCCGCCATCTGTCGCGGGACTTCGTTTTTTTCGTGTTTTTTTTTCCTTGCTGCTATGTTTTTTCTTTCTCTTCCTCGGTGTGAGATGGGGTCGCATGTGGCTATGCCTACAGGGTGGGTTGCGGGTGGGTTGCGTGGATATCGCCACCCGTTCTCCACATCGCGTCACGGTCCTGTGCCGCACGCTTGGGTAAATGTATCTGACGCTGCACGCACGTTTTCTGCGCGTCTTCGCCTTGTTCCAACCATGCACATATCTTTTTCCACTCTTTTTCCGGCTTTCCTCCGCTCGCCCCCGTTGCCTCTGCTGTTCCAATTCTGGCCGTCGCTCGCGGTTTTCACTTCCCTGGGGCAGCGAGATCGCGAGTAGTCCCTGCATGGGAGGCGAGCAGACGATTCCCACGTTTATCTTATCTCCGATAATGAACGGAGAATTCCTTGCCTATGAGTGGGCGCTATCCATTTGCGTATTCCCGCACTGTCACTGCTTTCTGTCTTTTTTTTTTCCCTTCCGGGTTAACCCGATCCGTTGGCGATCGACTGACGACACGGGTTTGCACTTGCAGGTCTGTACTTCAAGTTGCATGGCACACATCGGCCGAATTCCATGAAGAAGACGGTGATAAAGCGCCGTAAGCGAGTGCCCGCGGCTGCGGGCATGTCCTCCGCGCGGATCACGGACCACCAAGCTGCCGAGGCGCTCGCAGGGCTCGGTCAATCTGGCGGCAGCCAGCATACTAATACGGGTGGTGAAGAGAGCGATGCTGATGGTCTTGAGGAACCGCAACCACGCCGGAAGCGCGCGCGGAGGGGCAGGAGCGATCGTGAGAAGGGAAGGCTTAGAGAAAAGGATGAAGATGAGGATATGGGCGAGCCAGAAGACGGGGATGAGAACCTGAGCGGAAGTATGGGGAGGGCACGCAAGGGTGGTGGTGAGTGATTGATTTTTTTCTCCCTGTTTCGGTAGATCATGACAAGAATGCTAACAACGTTCGTTAGTCGGGCTTAGCATACAGCAGATCGCGGAGGCACTTGGGGAGCGTGGACACTCGTTAGCAAGGGGTGCTGCCATGCAGTCTGGCGCTTCTCAAGCCGATATGGACAGGGTTGCACATCAACTCGCGCGTTCGGGCCATGGCTTCATTGCCGCGCCGCATCCAGGCCTCGATCTTCCCCCGCTCAACGCAGCGCTCGGTGAGCGGTATGGCTACGGCCCGCTGGGACTCGTGGGTGCGCGGGACTTTGGCGGTGCACCGTCGAGCTATATCCGATCTGGTTCGAACGCGCCCAGCCGCACCCATTCGCCCCTGAACCCAGGGATCGCAGCAGCGGCCGCCGCCGCCGTAGGGTACGTGTTACCCCCACCGCACGCGATCGGCCATCCATACTATACGCTGGGAGGCCATCACGTACATACGCCACCTCCCGTTCTCCATGAGGCGATGATGAACGGTATGTTGGGAAGTGGTGTGCCCACGCTTAAGGAGTTACAGCAACACTATGTCGAGTTGCAAGAACAGCGGAGGAAGTTTGAGGAGATGATCGAGAAGACAGATCGGATGATGGCAGGTGTGAAGAGGGGGATTGATGAGATGTTGAATGCCTCTCAGCCGCAACAGCAATCGCCGTCTCAAGCACCTTCACAAACCCAAGCCTTGACGTCCTCTCCGCAGCCGTCACAGCAGCAGCAATCACCAGTGTTACAGCCACAACAAGCTGCGTCTGCACACGCTTCCACTGAGCAGCCATCTGCAACCCCTGTGAACGTTGGTAGGCCTGGAGATCGTAGCCGCGAGTCGATTTGGCCCGTTTCTCCTGCTGTTGGCGAGACTGCCCCTCGCGAATGAATGCTTCGCTGATCACTATTTTATTTTATTTTTCTGACTACGTCTTTTGCTACCCCCATGCGTTCCCCCTATGCTCAATATGCACGATGCCGATACCCTCCACGCTTCAAAAAACCAGTATGCCCTTGCTCTCGTTCCACTCGTTTTCCTATCTCTCTTTTGCTATCGTTACCACCGTATCATATTTTATTGTTCGTTTCGTTCTGTTTGCAGCCCCGCTCGCACCTCTCCCATTTTAGCTTTCTTTATGGACGTTGCTTCGTCCGTCAGCGGAGCACTTTTTTTGTTTCTCTCGTGGAGGTTGATCTTTTTTTTTTTTTTTTTTTTCTTTTGTCTCCCGTTTCGGACCTCCACTGCTACCTTTTCCATCCCCGTCTCCTTTTTTACACTTTTTTTCTCCCGTCGAACATAACTTTATGACCCATCATACCTATATTACTATGCTCCTTTTAAACACGCCTTTTCTCATCACATTCACGGTTTTTCCTTCCTTCCCTGCCTTCTTCGCCCCACTCTTACCCCTTTCATATGGATCCGCGTTACCTTTCTCGTCTACTAGCGACTCACTTGTGACGTCTATCGCGTTTCCTGTTTTGCCCGCTTCTTTCATCTGTTTTCCCCCTTGCGATATGGTTTTGGTCTCTCCCGTGATATATAGTGTCTATTATTTGTGAATGCGTTGGCATTCTCTCTCCTTTTGTCAGGTCGATGAATACGTTATAGTGTAGATCACGTTTTAAATGTTATGGAGTGTTGCTTTCTCATTTTGGACGTGGCTGGAGTTCTCATATTTGAGATTGAGTTCAGATCTGGTGAGTGCAGGGATACATACGTAGCTAACTGTATGGATGTGATTTTCATCCACGTGCGCAGAACACGCTGAGAGTGAGATGCCATCACGACGTCATTGCAGCCAGCTGAGTACGTTCGACTTGGTGACATCGTTCACAAGGTTAAGGGGTTTTGGCAGGCCATGAGGTCACTTGCAGTGCCTCCACATGCGCCAATGTGCATGTCTGGATGTGTCTGTCGGGCGCTAGGTGGATCAGCCTCAATTTCCGACGCAACCAGCCATGCAAAGTTCCGTCCCTGTTTGTATCGAGCAGCCAACCCCCAACTCTTCCCTCCCCCCATGGCTCCTGTGGATGAGGGCGGCGTGAGACTCGGCCGACTTGTGAACGAGTGTACTAAGCTATACCACAAAGTTTCAAGGCCGCCTACCTTGAGCTATCGCTTTTACGTATGCCTGAAACTGATTCGATCTGGCTCTCGATGATTTGACCCCACTTCCAAGGTAATTCCCCCTCTTCCCCCTCACACATATGAGTTCAGAGTGGTCGCACTCAAGAACTTTAATCGGGGTTTGGACATTGCCCGGACGAATTATGCATGGGGCCTGCATTGGTGCCGGCGGACCCTCACTATCCTAATAAATCCACACCACTGTCTCTATCTCCCTGACGTACCCTCGCACATCGGTTCTGATGACCCCTTCAATTTTATCAGTGGCCATTTCGCATCGCTCTTATAGCGGACTCGACAATTGCACATAATGACAAGGTTGCGTCTGCATACCCATTTGAATCTATATTACCCGATGTTTGAACGCCGTTGCGAAGATCCTCCAATGGTGCTACCAGTGGGGGTTCCCTAAGGCCATTTGGGCGAGTTCCCAAATCCTCGACATACACCCTGATCAAGCTTCTTTTATAATGCCAAATACGTGAGTGCTGGATCTAGAGCCTTGTCAGTGGCCGCCCCCTCCCCTCCTCCTTTATAGGTGAATTATCGGTGAAGTAGGTACGATGGCCACCTAGGGACAAAGTCAGTAGTCTAACTTATCCAGGTATGTTCCCCACACACTGTTTACTTCCATTCGGCCTAGCTGCATCGAAGGTGGTTACATACCACGAATCAAAAATTTAGCTCGGCACTTAGAAGCATTAAGTTTATGCTCTGCAAGGTTCGGATTTGAAGTGTACTAGCCGAATGGTCTCCAATTACCATCCTTATGCCCAGACTTTCTGGACGAATAGAGCACGTGCTTGCCGGAATATTATCGCGAGCCTCACTGACTTTTTGCAGCGCAACGGCCGGTCCTGTAAGAAGTCAACAATCTTTTCACACTCCTACGAAGTAGCTCTACACGAATACGTTCAACCAGTCTCGTGAGGTGCAAGGATCTAGAGGGGAATCAATTCCGATTCCAAGACTAGTCCCCCAGATCGTTGTGAAATGCACTGACGGGCAGCCTAAACACTCGAAAGGCTGGAGGGGGGAAGATCGTATTGCTATGTCTTTAAGGTGCGTATCAATGGCGGACTCGCAAGCATCTCAAGTTCCTTGGAAAGCCTGGCAAGATTTCAGTGTGTTTATGCGTACTATTTGGACGTGAATGGCGACGCCAAAATCGATAAAGTCGACGTCGTCATATGTGTCCCGAAACTGTCAAAGTAGGCTCCCAGAAACCAAGTACTTGTGGTTATTACGACGATGCCGAGTCGGACGCTTTCCATTAGGCAGGACTGACACGAGGTTCGCGTGCGGATTCTGAGGCCCGTGGTTCGTAGAACACTGGGCGGTGCCCAGAAGAAACTGTCACTGTGCACTTCCGGTATCTAGATAGCGCATCGTGGAGTGCGATGTGCATTGGTACGGTTAATTTCCATTCAATTAAGTTTCCTCCTCCCATTCGTTACATTTCAAGGATTCGCACCAGAACTGAATACTACCGATTTCCGTATAACCAATCCGGAAGTCGACTACGCCATTCTTGGATTTTCAGTGCTATTCACGAGCGAAGATGATCCCTGGTATGAGATCCAGATGGACAGTGAAGGCAGTACGGCGTGACGGACTGAATTTGTCTCTACCGCGACTTCGAAAACACAGCTTAGAGACTTTCTCGGGAAGAATGAATTGTCACCAAATACGTACGATGACGAGCCAGGAATGAATTTGGCCTGAACTGGTGGATCGATTTAACAAAGATCTACTCAGACGTGCCACGGGAGTGTGGATGTAGTGGGCAGGCTATGAGAAGCACCAGTTAATCACGTAAACCGAAATTCGAATTAGTATAAACCGCTTAGTCGACTCAAGCTCAGAGCACTCGGCCGACCATGATTATGCACGAAAGAATGAGCATGGGAAGGCATAATCATGTATTCGACGCATGCAATAGGGTTCGATACTGCGGAGAGAACATAAGGCAAGTGATAAGCTTGAGAATGATACAAACAGCGATGATAGGCAATAGAAGGACGGCTCCTGCGTCCGTCCCACTGGGGAATCGGGGAGGTGTGGTTCAGGAAAGTGGTAAGCCTGTCTGTCTCTCAACCGCTGCCTCCTCTCCCATTCTCCTCTTTCCCTCCCGTTAGCCTCCTGACTCATGCCTCCGTGGTTTTTACGGTGCGCTTCTTGGCGACGGTGTTTTCTCTGTGTGACACTGAGTATGAATCCGTGGGCGTAAAAAAGAAATGTCAAACCTAAATCCGTTCTTGAATCGCCTGGCGACGGTCTTGAGGTAGCGCATGCGGCCCGTGCCAGTCGTCTTTCGGCGCTTAGCCTTTTGTCCCCACTCATACGAACGCAGCTTAGCAGAAGGGTATCCACATTGGGCACAGGCTGTTCGTGTGCACATTTCGTCAAGTCGCAGTCAAGGACCACACGAGAATTGATACAATTGAAAAAAAAAAAGGTGATGAGATCACCGCATGGAAGAAGACACGGAAAGGTCATTCAGATGCGAGTGTGACAGTTAGTAGATTACGCACTCTTGTGTTGTTTATGGAACGCGCGGTTTCCACATCGCCGGCAGAGCGTGTGGGTCTTGGTGTGCCTCTTACTGTTGTTGGTGTAATCCAGTTAACCATTCGTCCCGCTACACAACCCAAAAACACGGATAGGAAGGCTAACGTACCCAAAGGACGAAGTACCTGATTACCCCCGCAACCGAACGAAAAATATGAGTGAATGGTGTAAGCATCAATGGGCCTGCCAATTGTCGGGACGATTGAACGAACCTTTCGTCTACAAAAACAACACGAAATCAATGTCAGCAATACAGCCCATATGACGGAGTCCGTCCCCGCCAATGTGTATGCAAGGTCATCATGCGATGATGTCGATCAAGCCGTCCCAACATAGACCCATGTACATCCACCCAACTCAACCTGCATCCAGCACCCCATCCCCTAATTTCACCCAACGAACCGCATTTCCAGCATCCCAAACACCGAAACCACTGCACGAGAAGCAGAATGACTCACCATGTCGTCGTTTTCTTGAGGAACTTGTGTCGGAGGGGTAGTGCCGGTGTGATTGCTTCCTCTGCGTCCGTTGGGAGAGGCTGACGCCGTGGGAAGTATAAGCAGGTTGTGGGAAAATGTCATACACGTGATTGACGCTTCCAAAAACGGGCTTCCCCTAAGTATCCGAAAATGCTCGTGTATATGGTACAGTATGCTATCTAAGTGCACATTAGGTCCGGTCTAGTAGCCGTGAGTCTAAGCAACGAAAGCAACAATCGGTCACCATCTACTCGGAACCACACTCGGATACACAAATACCGGCTGTCTATCAGATCCATACCCATGGGGAACAGATGGCGCCAAGCCCGAATTGAACTCTACCATCCCAGGCGCACCACCAGGGGCGCCAGAAGGTGGCATTGTGTCCCACAAGTGCGCCCCCGCCCACGCATCCCACTGAGGGTTCCAAGCTGGTGGTTTATGTACAGGTGGTGGAATCGCATCGAGAGCGGGAACAGCACCAAAACCAGGGGTAGCATAGAAGTAGGCTTGAGGAATGGGCTCTCGGGAATTGTACCACGACGACGACGACGTCATGTGCCTTCGTTTCTGTTCCCGCGTCCTGCTGCGGTGCGTTTGGGATGGTACATATTCGTCCGCTATTTGGTCGGCAGAGGAGAACGGGAGTTGGTCGATATCACGAATGAATCGTTTAAAACGCGAGAGCTGAGACAGAAATGTCGTATTGTGTGAGAAGTGAGCATGGCCTGAAGGGTCGTAGAGACGAGAGTTTGAGGTAATCGTTTGTGATGGTCCAGTAGTGGCAATGAGTGGAGGGATGACTGGGTCGTAGGAAGGCTCTCCAGAGCGGGGCTGTGGGAAGGGTGCGGGTGCAGGAGTGGGTGGACGAGGATGGCGATGGCGATGGCGGTGCACAGGCGTGGAAGTGCGGGGTGGAGGCACATATGGCATGTGGATGTTATCATCGTCCTCGGATAAGCTGCGATCATCATCCTCGTCCATCATGTCAAACGCATGCTGAAGGTCCGCATGTGATGGTGCTGCCGACCGCTCGATCGGAATTGGATTCGGTCCCATCACTGGGGTCCCGATGGATGAAAGATTGCCACTATGAACCCGTGTGGCGGGGTACGATGGCAGCGATGGCTCAGGCATCTGAACTGCTGGATCCGGGGACTGCTACACGTGAAGCGACCGAACGCTCTGGCTCTGGTTCTAGCTCCGGCGGTGGCCCAGCTGGTGATGGCATAGACGTAGCGACACGCTCGCCCTCCAGTTCAGCCTCCTCCCCCTCCTCCCCCTCCTCCTCCAATTGCGATTCCGGTATCGGAGACGGTGCTTGGACGTTTTCGTACGACCGTCGCCTGAGGCGCTTCCGCCTGCCGAATCCTGGGAACTTTTTAAGTGTGCTGATAAAACCTCCAACGAAACGGTTCTTGGGACCCTTGCGATGGGGAACGTATGGCACTTCTTGATAACTACCAAAATTCCATATCATTTTCATCCGGCAAAGTCATGTGCTCCCCAATCGCGGGAGTCGGCGTTACAGTAGGTCGTCCTATGACGGGCGTCGGGAGATCGATGGGCTGCGGTGAAGGAGGAGGTATAAATGGTTCGGAATGGGGCATTACAAGTGGCGTTCGGGGCGTAGCGTTAGTGAGAGCAGCGGATGGGATGTTTAGCTGGGGTGAGTTAACAGGGATGTTCGGCTGGGAAATGTTCGGCTGCGAGGTGCTAGGCTGTGAAGTGTTGTTTAGAGACGTGCTAGACGAAATCCACGTTACGTCTCTGAGTCTGCGTGATTGGCCTGGCCGGCGACTGTAGCGGTCCCTGCGGACCGCTGGAGTATAGTACTCGCTTGCACCACGATCATCGTCTGCAAGCGGTGGTTCATGATCGTCGCGAAAACGTGTATCCGCGAGTACACCGCGCCGATAGCCACCGCTGTGCGCTGGCATTTTCTGAGGCTAGTATGGCGGCCCTCAACACCGTGACTGTCGAGCAGTGAGTCTGGGTGTTATCGTTGAGCTGTTAGAACGGTTGATCGACACGCATAACGCCCTCTAGCACACACCCAACAGACCGTAGAGTGGGTAAGGCAGGCGTGGCGTTCTTCTTACCAGCCTACTGAATTTCCTCCTTCGCCCAATCAGTTGGCTTCTGACCGTTCCTGTAGATTAGCTGGCGTGCCTGGCAGTGCATCGTCTGAGCTCGTTGCATCGGAAGAGACAAATATCACAATTGGACAACAGTTTGCGTGGGGACCACCGAGACGAGTTTGCACAATTACTTGGTGTACAAGTGACTGCACTTATTGTCTGAACAGGCTTGTTGACGACTCACTCATACTCGGGACGCATGCTCGCCGAGTCGTATACTGAGACACTCCACGGCCGACTCATAGTAATCTCGCTGAACATTGCCTACTCAGTATGTTCAACAAATACTTTCACCCTCCCAGGACCGAACTACGCTTCAAGGCATACCAGAACTAGTGGAATGTACGTTCTATTTTGTTAGTACTGTGGACTTTTCGAAGACCCAGATCGAATCTGCTCCCTTGTGGTCAAATTAATTGACTTCCTCTTGGACACAACTGCCGCCGAGTCACCCACGAATGCGGGGACATACCTACTAGCGATGTACGTATCTACTATCGCTAGGTTATATCCCTGCATGGCATTTGGTGACGCTCGCAAACAGAGTTGGATGTCAAATAACTTTGCAGATACTTTGCATCTCGTGTACGAGGAAGGTTACCTAGGTCAAGTTGAAGAGTTGAGCCTTTGGAGAAGCCGAGGAGTACTACGGGGGAACCGGATAAATCTGACCGATGGCAGGCATTCCTGTGCAATCTCGGGCCGAGTACCTTGCGAGGTTTACGTCTGTCCACTTGATGATGGCAAGTAGCTGCGGATATCATCGAACTGAAAAGGTTATCGCCACGCTCACTCCGTAAGTATTGGATTGGGCCAGACTGTGTCCAGTCCGCTTAACCGTTACACCATAGGACAACAGTAAGATCGAAGATCGGCTTCTCGGTGCCTCGGGTACTACTGATACCGATTATCTGGGCTCAGGCATACGCCATAACTTTTCGTATTTGCCTCCGGCAATCGGGTGAACGGGAAATTATACCACGAGCAGCAGCATGCAATTCAAAAGTCAGCGGTAACAAAATTCCTAGTGATATTGAATACAGACGTTTGGCCAATATTCTACCGGATGCTACCAGCCACGAGCGGCGAAAGTCTAAAAGTGTGTCCCTCGTCATCTCCATTACTGAACGATACTTCAGCCCGAGAACGCGCTGCGACTTGGTGGCGCCATACTCGTGTGGAGCTGGATAATTGGAGCCCGGGTCACCCTGTGGTAACGGCCTGGATAATTTAGGAGTGGGCTCCAGCGCGTTCGCCGCGTCGACTTCGAAAGTTATCAGTATGTTTTTCTGTCCCAAGGGAGATCACCTATACATACTGAAAGCTTGCCGAGGAGTCCAAGGCCCTTGGCATTTTGTCAGAATGTCATATTGGAAGCAGAGGTTGAGAAAATTACCTGAAATGATGATTCGCTCACCCCCTGCTTCTTGCGTCTCCAGAGCCAGTCGATGTGCCGTAGCTATATCCCGAACGTCGGCCCAGGAGCCACCGGTTCCCATAAAGGAATTGTTCCCAAGCTCGGCGCTTTTCACGGGGTCCACGATGTTATCGTAGAACCACCGCATGGAGGATCCGAGTGAAGAGGGATCAGTCACATCATGGATAACTGGCTGTTGCATCCCAAACAGTCAAATTGCCGTGTCCTTCAATAAAACATGGTCACATTACCCCAAGAGTCTGAATAAAGGGCAACAATCAATGACTAGTTAAATGGGCCGCCTTGGAATAAACCATACCAGAGGTGGATTTAATGACGTCAAGTCCCAGCTAATTTCGTGCTCGTGGTCCTTTACGAATTTCCGTGCACCTGAGCAGGACAGTAGTGTAAATGTAAATGGTACCAATTCTGGGGGCACTGACTTTGTTCCGCGAGCGTCTTGGAAGCATGATATGTCGTGCCAGCGGGTGTCTTATCTCCTTGCTCCTTGAGGATTTCAAGTGCTCGGACATTCCAATCTTCTTCAGTGAAAACTGTAAAAGCAGGGGATTCACGAGTCTCGGGTCGCACGGCCGCCGTTGAAGAAGTGTACACGATGCGCTTCACAGATTGACTGTAAGCAGGACCGGAAGCCTCGTCGTTCGAAATCAAATCGACCACTTTTGTCTTGTTGTGATCACTCACCCGTACCTGAGCGCACTCTGTAGAAGTCCCGTCGTCCCCTGCACGGCAGGGTCTATCACATCTGTATAGCACTCGTGAACATGTACAGTACGTGGGGAGTGTTTCGGAATCCACCTTCGACCCGTGTGTAGTTCACCGATATCGGGGAGGCCATATGGGCGATCGCCTCTACACCTTTGACAGCTTCATCGAACGCTCCTTCCTGGATGTCCAGTCAGCCAGACAGAAAATGGGTTCGTGAGTGAAGGAGATTGACCTTGGTTATGTCTTTAACGACGACAGTTTCGAATTTGGACGCGTAACTCGCAAAGTAGTTTCTCAGGTGTTCACCTTTCTTTGTAGAGCGAACAGCCCCTCTGACGGAATAGCCATGCTCGAGGAGGTCACGGACGACCCACATGGCAATGAATCCATTGGCACCGGTGACGAGGACCTTACTTGGGGGTTGAATGATGGGCATATCCCAAGTAAGTGGGCTCTAGATGATCTCCTGAGGCATCAATGCATTTATACCAGTCCATGCACCACTTCAACTTGCCACGTCGTTTTGTTCCCTGGTCATTCATCTAGTTGACTCAGTGCCATTACACTGCAAGCTCTGCAATGACAAACGTCAGTCGCACAAATTCCATATCACGTAGCGGGGTGGTGCACGGCTCGTTAACGAACATTGAAATGATGCATAAGTAATGCAATACTATCGGTCACCAACTGACCATAGTCTGCCAAACTCACTTCTTATGGCGTAATAGAGATGACTCACTACTGTCGAACTCGCCGAATAACGAGTAAACGAAATGAAATAAAGCAAGTCCCACAAAGGGCCTACGCGTCTGCTTGACAAATGCTGCTTGAGTCAGTCGTCATCATAGGATGCCCTTTGCTATGCTATAAGCTGTGCGCTGCATCTACCCCCTATGTACTGTATATCAGATTTATAATCCGTGAGTGTACCATACAGAGAATTGCGATGGCAAAACGAGATTATACTTACACGGGTGTATGGTGTTCACACAATCGCGTCTCGTAATGATTCGGCACGCTTAGCCGTCGTTGATCAGGAAGCTTGTGAACTCGCAGCTTGGAACGTTCGAATAAGCACCTTTATTCCGAAACCATCATTGTACAACACGACCATGGGCGTGGAGGCTTTACATAAGTTATCATTGAGACAGATTGCTCACGGTGAGTACAATCGGGACAAACCTATGCAATAGAGCGCGTTTTAGCTTTGAGCAGGTTGGAGGCCAACACTAGTTCCACCTCGCTCAGTCAAACCTGCGTCTGCAAGGGTCACTTATGTAAGCACTTTTTAATTGCAATTGTCCTTAGGTCATCAGGGCCATCCAGGACGCTCATATCATATGGAGCAAATGCACCACTGCTCCGAACTATCATGCAATCATCACAGTCGTCGAGTGTACAGTCGCATTTTCCTTCGCGGTCCCCTCAAAGTGATAAGGAACAACTAGTCTTAATTCCCGACAGGATAGACGTGGAAGAAGAATCACGTCTATATGACGAGCTTGAAGAGGTATGCTCCAGCCTGTACGAACCGCTTGATATCTGAGGCGGGTACTGGAAATGATTAGGACGAGGATGTGAATGAATCATCTGCTCTGCAATCTTCTCCTGGCCCACCTTCGATACACTCTCGCGACATATGGCTCGGAGACCACGTGGGTCAAAGCGCAGTATTTTCTAGAGATGTCAGGATAAGTGGGTGGACTAGTGTTGGAGACCAGCTCGGTGGGGCATTTATTGGTGCGTGTGTCTAAGCTATTTCTGGCAGCCCAAGTTGCTCAGTTCTTTGCAGTGTATGATTGTGCTATCCGCACAAAAGAGGTGAGGAATAATTACCCTCGTCCGTGGGAACTGTATTTACCCCATGCCAGGGAATTACTATTCATGCTCATAAGAGGTTTAATGATTTCGTAGAATTATATCACACCCTAAAACATACCCTACCGGTGAGCGGAAAGAAGAGTATTTCTCATGGCATCATGCTGACAATGCTCGCCGTCTTGCAGCGCCACCTATTACACTTCATACCGCCATTGCCTCCCAAGTCACCATTTGCCCGTTATCGGCCTGCTTTTCTGGACCACCGCAGAAGACAACTACAATCCTGGCTGTCAGTAGTTCTGTTGCACCCAGAAATCGGCGCCTGCCAGGCCGTGCGCCATTGGGTATTGGACTAACGGTTTGGCTTAATAATTCGTCTTTTTATTCGTTATGTAATGAGGACGCTGGGCTGCTCGAGTCGTTCTCTTCGTGTGTTTCTTCGTTTGTAATGATGGCACGTACCACCTACATCCATGCCGCGCTACTCATTACTATTGGAATTAGCATCTCGGGTCCATGCACCGCTCTTGAGCTATCAAAACTAACGGTCGAGTTTGGGATGGAATACTTATTATCCAACCTTCCTAATGACGACGGTCGTGCTTAGATGACGGAGGCGAAGTGGAGCCTTGCGCGGCCACCAACCAGAGCGAATAAGAGATGCTGTTTCTCCTTTCTTTGACACTTTTTTAAATCCGTCCCGGCTTTTGTGGGAAGCCTGGATGGCGAAAGTCCAGGAGCGGATTCCCAGCTATACACGGCCGTGAATCCGAAGAGAACTTTCGAAACAGAAATCCCCCCTCATCCGACTGGCGTCATGAAGACCGTGGCCGCAATTACGCCATAGCTGACGATGGGCGCGTTATCACGCGGTGTTTGGACGGCTGCTCCCAGTGGAGCGTGCGGGGATGAGGTAGGCATCTAAGCTTTTCGCCGTTTACTGGTTTCACCGCGCAAAAACCTTCCCCGTGTATATCTGTGTGCTATTGATGGACACGGAAAACCTGGAACTATGAAGGATCATTCATTTCTGTGGCAGTCGCAGGTAGATCGTGCGCTGTGAATGTGGATAACTGTTGTCCGGGCATAAATTTGATACCTTACAGCCGATGGATTGCGTTCTGGTGCGTACTCTAATTTCCTAACCGCGAACGTCACATCTGATCGGTTCCCCGCTCCCGAGTACACACAGTAGGTCCCGTATCAGACCTTTCTTTTCCCCCCCTTCTCGTGATTCCTATGATTAGGGTTATCAAGCTCACCTCCGGATCAAAAACAGGAATGACAGTCCCATTTGATCGGATGACATCTAGTGTGCCCGGTCACGCTGGGAAACAGTCACGGAATCCGTGTTGAAAGGTAGCAGTAGAGACTAACCAGATGTTGAGGCCGGTTATCAGTCGTTAGTGTGATCACGATGATGAGCGCGGCTTCCGTCGGCCGCCGTTGTATGCGGTCAACTACTTCTCAGGGTGAACACCGCGACCCTCCACTGGTTATCAATGGTTGGAATACATACTTCGACACCAGTGTGCCAGCCCCAGTCCCCCTGACGCCGACATTGTCCTTTCCTTGAGCCCCTCGTGCATTCCCCTGTCTGCCCGTTATTCCACACAATATTTTTAGAAGCATCCTAGGAAATTTTGCCTAAAGGCACCTACAACGACATGAATAGAAACAACGGATGCAGTTGGCCGTACTCCGAGATTCCCGAACGATGTTCTCAGGATTACTTCTTTGCCGTCTTGTTGCGCTGAATTGATAGTTGAGACCGCGAATTTATTGTGGTAGACGTGCCTGGTTCACCAACACCATTCCCAAAGTCGGGCGAACTTGGAATGTCATAGTGAGAAGCTGTCATACTTTCCAGAAAAGCTGCGGTCTTGACCCGCTGCTTCCGATAGTCCATGAATGGAGGCACGACGTTCTTTGCAGGTAAGTCATAGTCGCGGTTACCCTCGAAAACTCCGTTCGGGCAGGTTTGGAGACCAGGATTGCATAATGATTTCTTACAGCCCACATATAGTTCTAACCTGCTCTAACTTGAGTGGCACTGCACTTTCAAGAGCGTAAAAATTGCTCACTATATTCACCGGTATATTGCAAGAATTTATTGCGTGGGAGGGTCATATTACTCGTCTTGTGATGCCTTCCAGACAACTTACCAGCATGAAGGTGCGACGGCGACCACAACTAACTTTGATGGTTTCATATGTATTTCTGATTCATCACCGACCTTCTTCCTAGTTGGTGGCCTGATTGATTGCGAACAATGCTCGTTGATCTAATGATTCACGCAGTGCATCAGATGGATTGATATTAGCTGTGCCACTCGTTTCCTCACCGTCGAACTGATAAGATATTAGAAGAACTTGGCTTAGAGAAGCACAAGGTAGTACAGCTTGCTGCTGCGCGTGACCGATGCCTTGGGTGCATCTGCCATGTACCACATCTCCATCTTAGGTAGCATAATAACTTCCACTGAACCATACCTGAATCAGATTAATGACCCCTGGTGCCTCCTTCACGGGACCCAACTTGAAGAAGAACTTGGTTGTACTTGGTACCTACATACGCTGCAGGGAAGCCACGTGACCGAAGTTCAGTTCCGAGAAAACAACAGCTTCGAAATTGGGAACCTCATAGGAACGTTCTTGATCTATCAACGCTTGGCCTGCTGTGCTATGTGGCTTGATGGTTCCAAGGTGAGCGTTGCATGTTTCCTCCTCGAGCGGCGTCTTTAATCAGAGTGCTGTGTGCGTACCACAAAACGCGCATTTCCATCTGAACTTTTTCAGACAATGCAAGATTTACCGGTCTCTTCTCTTGTCCCCGTAGTGGATGATGTTTTCTTTTTCTTTTCAAAAAAGTTCTAAATTAAACGTTGGGAGGAAGAAAATACAGCGCCTTGGCATGCTTTCAGCAAGTAAGTGCTCTCGTGACCCATAGCTTGGGGAACTCGTGATGTTGAGCTCCTACACTTAATTTAATGTATAGAGCCCGAGATATCGACAACATAGATCAGTGGCGGGGCTTGGGCGCTGTGCGCCGTAAAGACGAGCGTTCAATTCCGTCGAATTGGCGGTCATGAACTCGAGAATGGGCCATGCTGCGGGTGCACACCTGCTTGCATTGTTCGTGACACATACTATTATTGTGGTTGACCCCGAAGCCAAGCAATTATGCGTTCCTTGGATGCACGGAACAGAAAAAGGGACATGTGCACCTGCTTGATCCCTGATCTTAACCACGGTGATCGGATATGCGGGGTCCGTGCAAGATGGCGAAACCTTACACAAAGGCAAGTTATTCAATCTCATGCAGGCGGTTGCACTATCTCCTCGTGTCTCACTGCAAGCATCTACAAGCAGGCGTAGCTTATGCCATTGTACTTCGCATAACAGGAAATGGCAGGTGGTTGGGGCAGACTCTCGGCGGCGCACATACATTGTCTAATTTGGGTGAGTTGTTGGTCAACTTTGATTGCCGCCGGATGGAGTTCTGAGCTGACGGCACCGCATCTGGCTCGCCATCGAACCAAGATCACAATATTCCAGATATGTACATAGGAGCATTGACGTTAGGCAAATGGGGGTCATAATCTGTCATAATATCCTCCCTGAAAGGGGGTTGATGTTGATGGACATGTCTCGGTGGGTTTCAATAATTATCGGCTAAAAATCACGAGGCGCAGGCCAATGTCGATTTCAAGTTCCAAGCGGCACAAGTCGGTTTTAAAGCTCCACACGAATGCGTACTTGCCAAGGTTCCATGCATAGTTGACCACAGCGTTATCTTCATTCTCAGGGTGATACGTAGCTGTCGTCGTACGCCTCCTTGACTAGCCCGAAAAGTCCCGCTGTCACACGTGCGGCGGGAAATTCCCCGTGGTTCCTTGTTTCGTTGCGTCGATCATGATGCCATGGGTTGATGCGCTTCGTCCACGTGCGTCAGCGAAACACGACGCGAAACACTGTTGATAGATGCAGTCAGATAGACTGATCTTCCAGTCTTGACCGTAAAACACAATCATGGGCACAAGTCCCCGTGCATGTGTGCGTCGAAATCCAAACACGATCTATGGCGGAATCAATCATGTCTTGATGCTCCCTTCGCGACCAAATATCAAATGCTGCAGGTTCCTAGCCGAATACCGCTCATGTCTTCTTGTGGTCGCATGAGACAGAAAAGAGGAACCTTGAAAATGCCTCATTTATGTATTACCAACTGATCAGCGGGCACCGTACACTGGTTGCCTAGGCTGTATCGTGGCGACCAGTGTTGGTTGCTTGCACCTCCCTCTCAGGTGCTCGGGCTTCGCGCTGACACGACGCCGCCTGCGTCAGCGCGACGATATCCACATGCTCCAAGTCGCACGCACACAAGTGGTTGCAGGCGATAGTAAGTAGCTCCACCCACGTGGGATAGGGCGTCGCGGTGGCCCCTGATGCTTCAAGCTTCATCCGTGAACCGTGAGCGAACCCGGTAGTGAGATCGGGGTAAGGTATGTATAATTTTTGGTCCAGTAGTTGCTGACCGACTATAAGTTGTTCGGCAGCACGGCAAGGTCCACTCGAGCAATTGTTTAGCAGGGCCACGAAGTGACCGACCGTGAACCTACACTGGGCATCTACGATCCAGAGGCACATGCAATGCGGTCGGAGGTGGCGGCGTTGACGTGGCTAGATGACTGTTTCCTTGTCCAGTTGGAGTCTGCATCCTTGACCCGCGCAAAATGAAAAACGTATCCAGGTACACTAGTTTTTCTTTCGCAAGGCAAGCGGATGCCGCCCGCCTGCAACCCTCGGAGATACTAAGGATAGACGCGCCCTATTGCGACCCCACGGGCACACATGTCACGCCGATAAGTGGCGACTAGTGACGTGCGCTGTCGTTGACGATACAGGTGTACGGTATGCGGAACCTTTCTACTAAAGCCACCGTACGGGTATTCACGGGTCTGCTACGGTAACAGAGGGGCTCTCATTTAGAAGTTGGCTGAAGGGCTTCTTTTTGTGTGAGTTAAGTTCAGCTTCAGCTTGTGGGATAATGCATACATGAAGGTTTGAACCCAACTCCATCTGTGTCTGTTCTGTATGGAATTTAGAGGACGATGATCCATCGACTGACGCCTCAAACGCCAGGTCCATCAATTCAACATCAATGCCGTACAAGACCAGATTCGCGTGGCCAAATGGCGCCTCTGTTCATCGATGGCGCAAGGTTTGGGATCACAACATTTGATCTGACAAGAGTTTCCCCTTGTTTCCCCCCACGGATAGTAACGCATGTGACGTGTGTATATACACGTGCACATACATACTAGCATGAAAAAGCTGGCCGTAACGGCCAAGTACATTTGGTTATGCTAAATGGCATGATTCGTCAGAGCGTAAAGTGGTGGGTGGCATCTGAGAAAGGGGCTGTTGTGCGGCCCTACCAGGTTCCGAGGTGCAACGATCGCGGGGAATGTGTGTGAATTCTGGTCAACAGTTCATCCTATGTCTCAGCAACATCCGACAACTATCACCCACACAGCAACACGAGAAATCAGTTGATCCCGTCCATATTGGTCGCGAAACAGCCACTCAGGATCTGTATGAATCCGTTCCATCTTCCGCGGGTGTTCCATGTTGTCGACGTCAGAAGATTATCACCATTAATGATGATGGCATGCCATCGGAACCCAGAGAACAGAAGTTTCGCTTGCGAATGGGCCAGAACGGGCATGTTTCAAATTATGATGACTTATCATCATACGTCAGGACTTCGTGTGCTTCAGCGTGGAAACGTAACTGTACTGAGGCAGTTACTCAAAGAGGGTGCTTCAGCGCGTGTCCAGAATTGAGACGCGATTGCATGTCACAGGGATTGACCACCCACGACCCAGTTCTACGGACGGCCGATTACCCGATCTGAGAAGCAGGAAGTTCACTTGTCACGACCTAGCCCTTTCGTACGAGTTTCACTCGCTCCGAACAAGCCCCATCTGCGTCCTGCAGATCGCTCGCGGCACAACTAAGCTTGGGTCCTTACTGATGCCGGGGACCGTTGATACCATCACGGACCAAAACCGAATCGGCGCCATAATGCCGTTGGTTTTATTATGGTTAACCTAGCATTCGACATGGAACCCCGCAAACGTGTGTCATCCGAATCGCCAAACCTTGTGGGGCGGGTTAGTTGGTGAGGGTCCAAGTGTCGATATGGGTCAGCGCCGTGTACGTATGTACCCAGCATACTCGTAAACCCTGAGATCGAAGATCAGTTCTTCGGTGGAATGTACACATGGACCGTTTTTGGGACGGCGTAATGAACGCGGGATATCCAATTCTGAGTGATACGAGGACACTAGTACTACGAAGAGTTGCGGTAGCGGGACGCACGCAGATTCGGTGATGGCCGTGGGCTGACATCCATTCATGTCATGATCAGAAGATACCATGCCTTGTATGGGTGGGTGGACGGATATGGGAGGAGAAAGAAGGGGGGATGCTGTTTCGGGTACCCGTTTCTAAAGGTGTCGATAGTGCTAGTGTGTAGATGGCAAGCAAAGTAAGAGGAAGGAACGCCGTATCACGGGACGCACGGATCTGGTATGGATCGGGGGTGTCTTGGCGAGCGGTGGAATAAATCCATATCCTGTGGTTGCTCGTATTTGAGCATGGAAACGCGCGTCGTTATGCATACCGCCACGTCGACGATGGGTTAGGATGAGCGAGGTTCGTACGTGGCAAAAGGAATCCTGACGCAAGGGGGGGGATCTCGAATGATACCAAACAGGGGGTGGCAACCGAAAGAGTGCCAAGTTGTTGTCAGCATCTCAGGTCGTTACCGGGCGTGAATTGAGGCAATCCAAAATCCCTCGTACAGTACTAGTTGGATTCGTGAGGAGCCATATACCGCATGGTGAGAGTGGATCAGGATCCGGGGGCAACAAAGCGAACAGGAGAAAAAGGATATGGATGAAACGACGTGCTCATGTGACTGCAGTGTATGGGAAGGGGAAGGGTACTGTAAAAAGGAACGGAGCGCGTATAGGACAAAGAGGAGGGCAAGGGCGGCGGCGGAACGGAAGTTACCATTAATACTATCAGCCAATTATGTGAATGGCCATACATACGGGGAAAGAATGCTGAATCGTGAGATGCCCATAAAGAGAGGACGGACGGAAAATGAAAGGACAAGTATGTAGTAGTCAACTCATCGGAATGATTCTGACTGATGCACAGGGTCGACTTGATAGGGTACGCGATCAAGATTTGGAACAACACAGACAGACAATGCAATAGGTTTTTGCGCGATGCTAGCACAGCTAGTACCCACGAGCATCGTGGCAAATTACTTTTTGAAACAGCTTTGTTTTGATTCCGAGGAATGCCAGCGAGCGACGAGCCCAGCTGATGGAACGATAAGCAGAGCTGACAGATCTGATCGAGGACAAAAACATCCATCGCTGGGGGTTTTTTTTTGATATGTCGCCGATTTAAATAAGGCAAGCTATGCGCTGTGAGAAGGACAGGCTGTGCCGTGGCGGCACGGAGAAGGCTGGGATTGGAGCTCCGCTCGCGGAACCCAAAAGGCAGAAAGAAAGAAAAAAACTTTATAATATAATATAAACGATACAGAGGAAAATGGGTGGGGGGTCGAGTGACGACGACGACGACGGCGACGCTGTTTACGCCGAGGGGAAGTGGATTAGTTGGGTGTGCCTTGCGGTGCCATTGACACCCACTCGGACCTTCTCCCCCGCTGGACCACATATTTAGCAGGCACCACAAAAAAGGGCAAATCCGGTTACTGGCAAATGCTCAAATACCGCGTCATAATGCAATATTAAGCCTCGTCCCGTCTCGTCAGCCTGTCCTCCCAGAGTTGCGGTCCATAACTCTTTGATATCGCCCCAAACGGTGTTGGCCACTGCCTCGTTGATTGTGGTGGTGAGTGTGGGTTTGGTGTATCGGAGTGCCATACGAGGACTGGAAAGCCAAATAGACACTGGATCTGAGACGAGCTTCCTGATCCCTCTCTGATCAGCTAAACTGTTCGTCCTTTGTTTGCTTCGATGTAGCGCCGTCTTTTGATCTGTTGATTCATTATCAGCCTCCAGTCTCGTTGATATATTATCACTCGCGTCTCCCCGTCCCTGCCTGCCTGCATATGCCCCACCGCATAGACTCCTCCTCACCCTCCACCATGTCCTCGTATGTCCCAGCTGACCGGTCAAGGGCCCCCCCAGCACTCACTACAACAACCCTTAGCCACAGGCGCGAGTACGACTACTCGTACGACCACTCCTACCGCCGGCCGACCCCCCCGCCTATTGCCACCCTCACCCACTCCCCCTCCCTGTCCGTCTCTTCCGTCGACCGCTCCTCCGTGTCCTCCCCTGTGCCCCGCCGCTCCCCGACCATCCGGCCCCTCGACTCCCACTCCAGCTACTCGGATCCGTACTACTCCCAGGACCACTCCGCTCGCCAGTCGAGACCCTACCCACACGATCCTGTCCGTGACTCCGAACGGTCGTCCCACAGTTATTCTTATGCCCCGCGCACGCACCCAGACCACAGGTATTCCCATGATAATACCCATGCATACCATACCCCCTCCCCCTATACTTCCGCCCTCTCACATGGCAGCCTGGGCACACGGGACGCAGGCTCCCTTTCATACCCTCTGCCGGGCCAAAACAATTATTCCATCGTCCATACTGACGATGCTGCCACAAAGCTTAGCGACAGAGTCCGCAGGCGCTGCTTCAACTGCTGCACGACCGACACCTCCACATGGAGGCGGTCGAATCTCAGTCCTGGCAAAGTGGTTCGTACTCTTTTTCACTGACTATATGCAGCCCCACTCTAACGCATATATGCTCCCAGCTTTGCAATAAATGTGGTCTCTTCGAGCGCACACATGGCCGGCCCAGACCCGACCAATTCCCGCATCGCAGGGGACCTCTTGCCACAACTACGATGCCCCGTCCAAAGTCACCCCCCCAATCCACCCAGCTTCCGCCAATCTCGACTCATGTCACCCTGCCACCCTACCATTACAGTCATCCATCGATTGCGCCCCTAACTTCCATCCCCGACTCACGGAAGCCGCATCATTCCAACCAGCTCCCGGAGATCCAGTCTTGGATTGATGCACCCACTCCGCGTACGTCGGCGGTCTCGATGTCGTCGTCGTACCCGCCGCCGTCCTCAGACCACCGCAACGGACATGCTCATGGTCACGGTCACGACCACTTATTACCGTTGCGCCCACGGTCACCCGCGCGCATGCAACATCACGTGGATATGCGGTCTTCTAGCGTCCATGAGGCCGTTGCGTGAGCATCGTGTGCGCGTCATCGGTTTGGTTGGGGCTGGGCTGGCTAACCTGGCCCATATCATGCGCTTTGGTTCCGAAAGCGATGATACCATCAATATATCCCTGTAGACAGGTGCTTCGTGGGAGAAACCTTGGTTACTAAATGGCCGGAGGCCGAGAACCGACGCTTTCCCCCTGGCGCTTTCCATCTGGTGCCTTTTTCATTTGTTTGTCCCGCCGTGTTTACGTGGGTTGGATACGGCTTGGTCTTCTTCTTTTTTTCTTCTTTCTTCTTTCTTGTGCTCGACTCGTTTACGCGGTTTCCTCGCCAAGAATCGATCCCTGGGTGCTTTGCTGGTCCTTGCACTCGTGTCACTCTCGCGGGGAGATACCTATTAAAAATCACTCCCCTCAATCGGCAAATCTTGGTTTGCACTCGTCTGCTCAGAGGACTCTAAAAGTCGCCTGTTCGCTCCCCGAATTATTATTATAAGACGTACGTACGAAAGAAAGAGAGGTGTTCCTATCATGTAACGCTATGTACGCGCCAGAAATGTTTTCTCTTGCAATCTTCGTGTTTCTGCTGTCCCGTTGCTGATCGATAGTACTGTGCTTAAAGGAGTAAACAAGTACTGTATTGCTATGACGTGCTGTTCTCGATGAACCTATAGCGACTAGACTATTTACAATGTGACGTATTTATTCTGTCTTTCTCTTGGGAAGACTGAACCTTTCTCAACGGAGAATTGATACAGGTATAGAATGTTTCCATCCCTTCCTTTGATATATCCATGAAAGGTTGGTGGTAACAGGGGCTCGTGCAGATGGCTCAATCTGATACGTGCTGTAGCACCGCACCAGGTTTCTACGCCGCTGCGGTGCCACATATCCTTGCAAGTACTAGTGCGCAGTACGTAGATTATGATAGGCAAGTAGATATTGATGGGATAATTTGATGGATCCATACCCACGGTCTGATGCGGGGTACGTCCTGTACGTATAGCGGCATGATAACGGTTTTACCTATTGCTCTCTTTTGTGGGCGCAGTGGAACTCGTCCACCTGGACGGTGCCGAGTTGTGCGCCCTGAAGCCTTGGCGTAACACATATTCGCCGAGATGGGATCAACTTGGGCTGGCCAACAGCATCAGCTGGGCAGGACCAACACATCCTAAGGCAATGGAGGACAGCGGTGCGTTTTCCGTTCTTCAGGTCTGTAATGGACAAATCGGCGAAACATGGGCGGAATAAATAAGACCATACATCACGTCTAGCGTCCACATTGTCGGTCCACGCAGGTCCAGCCATATCAGGGGCTGCCGGGTTTACAATGACCGATGTGCCTGTTCCGTTACCCACTAGAACCCGTAGAAGTGGTACTGGCGTCACGGGAAAATCTTCCCTCTCCACCGCTCTTCATTCCGGTGAACCTTGTAGGCATGCCAAGGTACACCACCGACAGCTTGATCGATTCGGGAGACGTTTACATATCTGCTTCCGTACTTCCGTAGTCTCCGTGGTGTACGTACAGCTCGCTGGACGTGAATCCAGTTGATGAGTCAGCACGCAATCATATGGATCGTGTATCTCCAACGTAACGATGTTCTTTGTCTACCGCTCCATGTCGAATGCAGGTTTATTTTGCGGAGCGAACAATAGGGGTCGGGGGCCTAGGCTGAACTAATGTAGGATAGCTTGATGCTTGTTGTGCGTGGAACGTCGCGCGGCACTGGTGCGGGTACTACACACTGCGCCCCTCTCTCCATTGTGATTGTTATGCATTATCCTGCAATAGACGAGCGATTACAGCACCTGTCGCAGCAGTTCATGAACAAGTACCAGCCGTGGGGGTATTCCGTCAGATTGGAAAGGTCAGATAGGCTTTGTGAAACTTACCGGCTGGGGAAACGAAGCTTACACACTCGTGCGCTTCAGAAGCATGCGCTCGAAGGATTGGTAATTGCCTATTTTTCTTCCATCCTCTGCAATGGAAGCTCGACGGGATAATATAGTTGCGGTCGGCCATGCGGGGATCTGCAAAGATAACTGTTTGGCAGACTCCTATCCCAGCAGATGAAATCTAGTGCCATACTTGTATAGCGGAGACAATTGGCGAGCTGCGTGACTCAGCGGACGGGCGCACACTCCTATGTTGCAATTCATTTCCCGTACCCACAGCCTACGCATGCGGCCCGAGCGAGAGAAGGCATAATAGCGTTGCTTTGACCAACATGCACCGATCGATGTGTTCGGAAAGAGTGGAAACGGAGCTACTCCGAACGGATGACATACTTGCTAATTGTGCGACCCATCGTGGTGTTTTTGTTACTAGCATAGCTCCAACCTGCCATACTGATTGTCAGCTGCTCTGCGCTCAGTTCTGCGCACCCCCCCCCCCAATGGTGTCAACGGAACATACCAGATTATACATAGACAGACTTACAGCATGCCAAAGATCTGTGGATCAGATAAGAGAAAAAAAGGCAGATGCTGATATTATCGGCCGCCCGCACGTCCAACGTTAACGCCAGTCAAACCGATATACACTGATACAGTGACAGGGTTTGAAGGAACGGGTTCCCTGGGATGGTAGTGATGCCATGATGAATCAGGTGATAAGGTCGCCGTCCTGCTTCCAATGTTCTTTTGGGGTTAGACTGTCGTTCGCGGGCTGCGCAGTCAACGTGGACCCGGGTCTATAGCACTTTTCTACCGCCGTGCCAACATCGCCGTTTGTCGCCTTCCATGACCATACCTAGATACGTCGACCTTCTGCGTTCGATTCTATCCAGAGAGTCTCGAAAAAAATTGGTTCCGTAAGTCAAGGGTTGGGGAGATTTCCTAATATAGATGTGAAGACTTTGGATCGATCATGTCTCCTGATCCGTGGGGGCTTTTCGGACAGTCCACGAATTTTTACTTCCGTCCTCGTTGGTTGACATATCCGTATCATATCTGACCAACTGGGGTCATATCGATTTCATTTCCTGCCTGCAACCAGAACACACACCTGCGTAGAAGAGAAATGAGCGCTGGCGGCTGTGGGTTTGGACTGACTTCTAGTGTGGGCCTTCCTAGTTTCATTTTCCCAGATGAGTATGAGTCTTGTTTAGCTGCGAAGTTCACCCGTTCTGGCAGGTAAAACGAGCAGTTTATTTTATTTTATTTCCAGTGCGCCAACGAACGGAGTTCTACATGCCAAAGACATCATCTCCTGGCGAGTTAGCACGCCGCAAGGTTGCCTTCGCGCTATTACATGGTCTTGGCACTCTGACCTGGTCAAACGACATCCACTAGATGAACCCCTGACCTTTTTTTCGACAAGATAAACGCTGCTGCTGGAGCCTGTCATTGCAAGCCACCATCAAATAATCGGAGTAATCCGACTGACAATGCGCGGAGGTGTCTAAGAGCGTACAACCCTGAAGCCCCCATGCTATTCCTGACATGATACGTGCGAAACATCGTGGCCTGTTTCTGTTCCGGCCATGCCATGCTGTGTCCGTTAGACGGACAACTGGTATAGGGTACGGAATCCCTATACCATGCAACGAGCCACGGTTCTAGCCACTTGGATTAATTCTGTTCGAGGCAATACTGTCTCTCACACGCCTACTTGCCATCCTCGCCCACGCTGATAACGACCACGCTCTTCAATCTATCTGCTGTAATTGGCCATCGCACTGTCCGGAGTCACCGTATCCGACCCCCCCCCCCTCCCCCGATTCCTCAACGCCCCAATACAGCAAGGTAGTCCAGTCGTATTCCTTCCCTGGAAATTTCGAATCTAACAGCATGCGAAGGGGTTCTATGTGTTTCATGACCGAATTCGCTTGGTGTGATTGAAATGTATCATGCTCACAATGATACCGAGTTCGTGTGTTATTATCTATACATGTGTAGGCCGACCCATTGGTCGGAATTGCAAAATGGCTTCAGGGAAAACGGTAACGCGGACTCCTGAATGAGAGTTTTAGATTCGCAAGGTACGCTGCCACATGCATTAATCCGAGTTTGCTAATTACCCGAGTTTCCATACCATCCAATAGGTATTGCACTGTATGGGTACGGGTATCCCACACTCCGTGGGACGTGGGTGTTTGTCCCATAGGCTTGGCTCAGACGGTAGGAGACTAACCAGTGTGTGCAATGCAAATTTACAATTCATGCGGCCATCCGCTTTCCTGAGCGATTGCAGTTGACCTATCGCCGCGGCCTGGTGGATCAATCAGATACTAGGCTGAGTCGTCAATTGTTCTGCGTCAACTTCCTGATACATCGAACAGATGATCGTTCCTGCCGATGATATGGTAATGATGCGTTCCACAACGTGTCACAGCATGCGAGCAGCGTTGTGGCATGTGCTGACCCTATACTCTTCCAGTGCCACCTGTTGAGTTACCGTTGGCTTCAGCATATGAACTACCTGTCCCCGATTAGCTGCCCTCGTGCAACGCTGTATGTGGGAAAGATTACCGTGCATTGATAACAGGGATCGCAATGACAACCCTCTCGTTGCACATGGACAAAGACCCAAAGGTGTGGCAAATTAATGACGCGACAGACGGAGATGCAAAACGCCCCGCGGACGGCTCGACGTTGAGGCAAAAACGCCAGGGGTAACGCGTGTCGCGTGTCGCGTGTCGGCGAGTTAGCAGCAGCATAACCAACACCCCTACCGAGGGTTGACAACCGATGCCGCCCCTCGAAGGCTGGGTAAGCTTTGCCCAGCGACGATCGTCGCCAGGGCCGAGTCACCCCGAAGCGTAGGAACCCCGCGGGCAAGTGTATACTCTCAAAGCACCCCGTTTTACAGAAGGTATTGGTGACCAGTTGCGAATCGTCGTCATAGAGCCGATGAGCTGGATATTATCTCTACGGTGCATTCCAGGGGAGCTTATCGACATCCGTCTGCTCGCCTTCGAACCTGGAGACACGTCTTCTGGCCCGGCAGCGTTAGTGCTTGGCAATGGGTATTATCTTTCAGTTCCTCGCCAGGAGGTCCGGAGAAGTATCGCGGGTTTGTTACGACATAAGTTTTGCCCTGTTCGCCGACACAACTCAACCCTCCGAGAACAGAGTGCGCTTCCGAGTCTTCATGCGTGACCATTGCGACGAACCTAAAAGATGATGTGTTCGCATTACTTGGACGGTTCTTGTCCACTTTACTCGTACTCCGTCGAAGGATCGGCGCGTTCAATCTTACGACCGCCCAAGTTTCAATCCATGTGGTGCAAAGGTGTTTAGGCAATTTTTGCCCAAGTACTTGTCCGTGCGGGATAAATATTTCCTCCAGGTCTTGTCCGACGTTCCATAGGGTTTTCATTCGGTGCATCACTCACCCAGAAATACGGGGAACGGAATAAACACTGGTGGTTATCGTTCTGACCTACCAGGTCCTCAGAATTTTCTTCCGTTGTTTACAGTAAGGACCTACAGCCGTCGTTGTGGCGGCGGGAGAACACTTAGTATTCAATCCCGGCGATTACCGTATGTCGGTGATTCGCGTTTGCTTCCTGCGACGCCCTCTGGGAAATTTTTCGAAGATACTATGAGCGCTACTAACTTCGCACCTCCAAGCTTCTTTGACATCCATGGCGGGAATGAAAGATTCGTGTGCATGTGGTTCACTTTGGCCTTGACGACCGTTAATACAACTTTACTTCTAAGCCCAAGCGCTCAACTGTTACCGAAGACCCACTTGCCACCTGACAGTGAGCGACGCTTTTACTACCTCCAACTCCCAGAGATGAATCGACGACTGTCGGTGCAGGGGGATTTGTTGGTGAGTCGGCATCATAATAGGATATTCCATCTCTTTACTCATTCCCATCAATAGCCCCTTCAGAACGCTCGATCTTGAACATTTTGGCATAAAGAGCGCATATAGTAGCATATTGCCGGTTCTTAGAACCTGCGTAGCCTGAAGATTCGCAGGGTCCTGCTACGTCGCAAAACTTTGGAGTTCAAATTGCCAACGGCTCTATAGTCTACAAAATTAGCCGGCTCGGCGACTGCCCACCGACTCTTGTGTTGCCCCATGGCTAACTTCGTCTTCTTCCAAGAATCTTTCGCGCCAAGCAATCGCTGCTATGTAACAGGAAGGTCACCAGGTGGTTATCTACTTCTCACCGCCCAGACTGTAACGCAACGCACAAACAAGAAGTGGTCGTGGCCCGCTTGTGGAAATTCCATAATCACCCGCTGCATGCTATGGGTTGAGAGAGGATTGAGCTGACTTTGTGGGTGTGTATCATATACTGCAAACTGAAGTTTCTACCAACCGCGAGCTTCGTAATCCGCAAACGTGTCCGTGGTCATTTCCACCATCGAACGATATTTCATGCCGAGGATACGTTGGGACTTCGTATTGTCGAAATCATACATGCATGCATGCTGCGAAACGGTGCCTGGGTGGCCCTTCGGTAACGGCTTTGACAAGTGCGGGGGTGGGTCAAGTAGATTTGCCGTGTCCACTTTGGATACGTCAACGCAAAGGTTTTCTACCAAAGTAGACGTGGCGGAACGTACTGAAGTCTTGCCACCTCCAAGGACCTTGACGTGTTGTCAGTAGGCTCTAGCTTTAGAATGACCACAGAGAGAAACAGACCTGCACTGATGATAATCCGTTCAGCTCCTGCTTCTTGTACCTCAAGGGCTCGTCGGTGTGCCACGGCCAAATCTCGAACGTCGACCCAAGTGAAAAAGGTGTTGATAAGGAGCTGCTCCTCCACCTCGTCGGACTTTGTGGAATCCGCAACGCGGTCGTAGAACAACTTCGCGGAGAAATTGAGTGAGGTAGGGTCCGTCACCTCGTGGATAGACGGCTGTTACGTTTTAGACAGTCAGGTTGCGTTATTTCTCGGGAAGTCAAGATACAATACCCCAAACACCTAAATCACGAGTGGTCATTAGCAACTCAGAATGACTCATGCCAAATAAACCGCACATAAGTTGGGTTCAATGCTGTCATATCCCAGCTGATCTCGTGCTGGTGTTCTTTGACGAATGACCAGGCACCTGAATGCGAGAGCGACGAGACGTAAACAAGACTAACATATCGGAGTGTACGAGTTCTAACCTTGTTCCGCCAGCGTTTTGGACGCACGGTATTTTGTAACGTCGGACGCATTTTCACCTTGCTCCTTTAACAGATCAACTACCTGAAAATTCCAGTCTTCCTCGGTAAATACGGTTGGCCGGTTCATTTCGCCTGGTATGGCTGCCGCCGAAGATGTATACACTATGCGCTTGATAGATTGACTGTGAGTGTGGCTCAACGTTTAGCATTCACTGTTTGCTATGGCGACTCAACGACCTACCCGAACTGAAGCGCACTCCGCAGAATTCCTGTGGTTCCTTTCAAGGCGGGTTCTACCATATCTGACGAAGGGATTCAGCAACCGGGAAAAAGGGTTGTATCTCAAGGCTGACCTCCAGGCATATACACGGGAGAAGCAATGTGTGCGATAGCATCGACGCCTTTGACGGCTTCGTCAAATGCTCCTTCCTGCATGCTTTCAAATCTGATAAGGGTCACATGCTGTTGTGACGAAACTGACCTTGGTTATGTCCTCGACAACGACAATTTCGAGTTTGACGCCATAACCCGCAAAATACTTCTTTACATATTCACCTTTCTTTGTGGATCGAACAGTCCCTCTGATGGAATAACCGTGCTCTAGAAGGTCACGAATGACCCACATTGCTATGTACCCATTCGCGCCCGACACAAGCACCTTGCTCGGAGGTTGGATAGCAGGCATAACTCAAGGCAGGTCAAGTTTGGGATGTAGCTACTGTGTAGCTGGGGCATGTCTTTATACCTGGCCAATCTATCAGCTTCCGGTATAGCCTTTTTAGCGCACTATCGCTGCCGCCAGCTTCGGGTTGATAGACAGGCTGTGCGGAAATTCACGCATCAGGAGTTCTGTTCACGTGCGTTGATCCACGTGACACTCCTCCAGTTTTATTGAAAATTCCATTATTGTTGATCATCTCATGATGAAAAGACTGCAACTTGTGCCATTGAATTCGCATACGAACGATGTGGAAGGTCCGCTTGAACTTGAGGGCTTAAGTTCCACGTTACGGGAAGCGACTGTAATCTCGCTCATGACTCTCCCCAATCATCCACGTTAGGAGCAGCATGCAGGTCAACTGCATCCGATCCGCTGAGTCTTACATCCACATTGCACAAGGGTGGGACTGGATAACACCTGAGGAGAAGAGTACGTAGCCACTAGCCACCGGACAACGCGGCGCCCAAGGAGTCACGGAAGTCGCGGTAAGCGCTGTCGGGCCCCAATTGGCCCCGCTTTCGTGGCCCTTCACGACCTCCGACGCAATTGAACGAAACCCTTAGTCCAGAAGGTTAAAAAGGACCATGCAAACGGTTCTGCCAGGGCGTCTGTGTATCTCCTTACACGACAGGTGCAGTCTGCTACTTAGGGGCCATTCTGCACATTACGGGTTTCAAGGTACTTCTCCGGATGGTCCTTCCAACCTGACCTGGAGTGACCCGCAGGCAGTAGACAAGAAATTCTGGAGTTCAGTGGCTACTAACTAGTATTTTACCAATCACGAGCTTCGTGATCTGTAAACGTGTCTCTGATCATTCTCGCCATTGAACGATATTTCATGCCAACATCAGGAAGCAAAAAAATGGTTTAAACCTGTTTAAACCCGTCACTGACTGGTCGTGACCGCGATTCCGTCATTCCCTGTCTCTCTGATGAAGGGCATCTTGGGATTTTGCATTGTCGGGATCATACGTGGATGGGTGCTGTGGAACTGCGCCTGGATGGTTTTGACAATCGCGAGGGTGGATCAAGTAAATTCGCTGCATCGACTTTGGATATGTTAGTGCGAGTGTTTTCTACAAAGGTGGACGTGGCAGTACGTACCGAAGTCTTGCCATCTCCAAGGACCGCTTCAAAATAACCACAGAAAGAAACAGACCTTGCACTGTTGATAATCCGTTCAGCTCCTGCTTCTTGTATCTCGAGGGCTCGTCGGTGACCTTCGACTAAATCTCGAAGATCAACCCAAGTGAGACGCGTGTTGATAATAGGCTGCTTCGCCACCTCGTCGGACTTCGTAGAATCCACAACGCGGTCCTAGAACAATCGCGCAGAGAAATTGAGTGAGGTAGGATCCGTGACCTCGTGGATAGCTGGCTGTTACGCTCTAGAAGTCAGACCGCATTATTTCTCGAGCAATCAGGATACAATACTCCAAACACCTAAGCCACGGGTGGCAATTAGCAACTCACAACGACTCACGCCAAACAAACCGTACATAGGTTGGGTTCAATGCTGTCAAATCCCAGCTAATCCCATGCTAGTGTTCTTTGACGAATGACCAGGCACCTGAGATCAAGAGCGATGAAACAGGGGTGTATGAGTTCCGAACCTTGCTCCACCAGTGTCTTGGACGCACGGTATTTTGTAACGTCAAGCGTATCCTCGCCTTGCTCCTCTAACAGATTGACTGCCTAAAAATTCCGGTCTTCCTCAGTGAAAATGGTTGATCTGTTCACTTCGCCCCGCATGGCTATCGCCGAAGATGTATACACAATGCGCTTGATAGATTCACTGCGAGTATGGTTCAACGTTTAGTACCCGCTGTTCGATACGGCGACTCCACAATCTACCCGAACTGAAGCATGGGCCACAGAATTCCTGTGGTTCCTTTCACGGCGGGCCCTACCATATCTGACGATGGGATTCAGCAACCAGACAAAAGGGTTGTATTTCAAGGCTGACCCCCGGCATATACACAGCAGACGAAATTGTGCGATAGCATGGACGCCCTTGACGATTTCATCAAAAGCTCTTTCCTGCATGCTTTCAAGCCAGATCCTGAGGGTTACATGCTATCATAATAGAACTGACCTTGGCTACGTCCTTGGCAGCGACAATTTCAAGTTTGACACCATAACCCGCAAAACACTTCTTCACACCTCATGGCGGAAAGAATAACTTCTACCAGTAATTTCGTATATCAATGATGTGAAGGTTCGCTTGAGCATGAGGACTCAACTTACACACCACGGGATCTGCAATTTCGTTCACAGCTCCCAATCGCACACAGCTTAGGTGTCACTGAGAGTTCATCAACATTCGGGTCAATTGCATCCGACCCACTGAGTCTTGTGTCCACGGGAAGGACATTATGACGCCGCAACGGTAGAGGCCTGGACCAGAAAACACCTGAGGAAAAGGATAGTTATTAGCCACCGGAAAACGGGGCGCCCCATGAGCCACAGGAGTCAGGGTAAGTGCTGTCAGATCCCAATTGATTTCACCCTTTTGCCTTTTCACGACCTCTCTGAAAACTGAATAAAACCCTCGGATAAGAAGATTAAAAAGGATCATGCAAACAGACAAATGAACACTAACCTTATTGACTGCCAGTACATCTGTGTATTTCTTGACACGGCAGGTGCATGCTGTTAGGGTACTATGCGCATCCACGACTTCCAAGATGCTTCTCTGCATCATTGTCAGAGAATCAGATGACTGTTCCTACCCGACTTGAAGTAGCCTGCAAGGAGTAAACAGGAGATTCTGGAGTTCAATGCCTATCCGCTGATAAGGATAAGTCCTCTTTTAACAAGGGATTGATTTCACTTTCCAGTGTAAGCCTGATGCGAATCATCTCAGAACATCCTGAAACACCTCGGGAGAAGAGGCCATGAACGTAGACGAAGATTCGACATCAATCTCAAAACGTGAAGGGTCTCTGTGATGAACGTACACGTTTGTATCAGGGAGGGGTAATCAAGGCCATGCTGGCATGCTGGGGGGTCACGTTGTGATATTTATCTTCATCGCTACTCACCAGTCTGGGAATGTGCTTGCGATTGGCCTGTTAACTCCCGCGCTTCGTCGCCTGAGTCGTGATTGTACGGGTCGCCCGATACCTATGAATCGCTAGCTGAGGTCTCTTAAATGTTGGAATAAAAGGAAGGTTTCGCGTACTATGCAAGTAACGTTTGGTACGCCCTTGCGCTTGCCACAGTACCAAGTGTCCATCTTCAACAAATTCACCAAGAAATGAGAATGTCGTCCAACGTTAAGAAGAATATCTTGTTGTGTGTTGAGAGGGACGTCCGTCAAAGTTGGACTGCACGGTGTTGGGAGTTATCCATCGTCACGATTCCTGATAGTACCGAATCATAGGATTTGTTGGACACTGCGGGGGTAGATGCCGTGTCTACACGCAGAAGAACGGCTGGTATCTGGGAAGGTTGACTGTTGTGTTATCAGATTCTAACCTCGCTCTGCCTCCGCAAATGATATCGATAGAGCGGACCATTATCTCGCAAAGTTAATAACCCCACAGCGACGTAATGGCTGATTGTAAAATTACGCACTCAAAAACCTTCAGAGCAGCGCGAGTCCGCATTAACTCCAGTGGTCAAGTCCTTCCACGCATTCTTTCGGTCGAGCCCCATCAAGGCAACAGCCTGGATCAGAACCAGACAGTTAGTACCGCAGTCGCCATGCGTATCAGTTGTCTGCATTGTGTCACGTAACGGGCAATGATGTGGATGGATTTCTGTGGCTGTCCACTTTGATTGAATGAGCCGAGATGATATGCACGATGCAGTGGCAAGAAGATGAGAAGTGTGCCACATATGAATGGTTACCTTTCGCTGCCACATAGAAATGAAAACATGCACTGTTGATGCACCACCAGCAATACCTGGGTCGCATAATCTGCAGTGATGAGGTGATGCATGCCGAATACAACAATACGTATGTAGACATGCCCTCAAGGAGTTTCATCACCACAGTTGTGGTAACCTCTCACGAGGATGGTACTCAGTGTAACAACCATGTTTCTGTGGAAGGCTGCACAACGAGGTACATAGTTAGGTGGGAAGGAAGCATGATAGTATATGTTTCTATCACTTTTCATTTCACCTCTCTCCACTGGCAAGAAACATGGTTACTGGATGGCCAGCGAATTCAATCGTCGCCGCTTCCGCGAAAGAGAAATTATGAAGCCCTGCAGCTTCAAACGCCATACGCATGTCCTCTGCGTCAAAACCACCTTTGTGTGCAACCTGGTGATAGGTTTGTAGCACAGGGTATTCGCCCTTGACCATGTCCACAACGAGTAGAGAACCTCCTGACTTGAGATAGGATGCAAGCACCTTCGTCACATCTACGATTGACGGGAAATGGTGGTAGGATGAAGCGCACTGGATGCCAAATAGTGTGTAACCAGGGCTAGAGAAATTGAAATCGACTCACCACAATCACATCAAATGACATTCCCTCTAATTGTATTTCATTCTCAACCAACCTATCCACCCGCACGGCTTTCCTCTCGTTGGGAAACAAATTCTGTTCCTTTGCATCGTTGTTATAAATATCTACCATACGCTGACTGATATCCACGCCAATGATGGACTTTGCATTGGATGCCAAGCCCTGAGATATGAGACCTGTACGGATGGTGGGACGGATGTCAGATGGGAGCCGACGGGTTCGCTGTCAGAGATAGCGCACCAACACCACATGCAAAATCCATGACCACTGTCTTCAGTTTGTCAAACGGAACCGCTTTGAGCATCGCGGCAGTTGCAAGCCTGGCCGTCTCTTGAGCCTCAGAGGTGTAGAACAAGTGTTCAGTAGTGGGATCATTGAAGAAATCTTCGTTCGCCCTTTCGACTTCGGGATGCATATTGGCATCAGCATTATGAGCCGGGTGCATGTGAGGCTGAACACTCTGTGAACTTGTCATGAGTAGAAGTGTGGAAGAGCCTTGGATTTCGGGTCTGAGGTTTCCCTCGCATGGGTCTGTTTTAAACCACCCCAGTTAGATCGAAGAAGCGACTGCGGCAATACCCTCACAGTGAGGACCGTTCAATGGAAACCGTTGTTGGCTGCCGGACCAGTATGCATCTCGAAGGGGTAACGCTAACCCAAATCCGGGGTGATACCTGCGGTACGACTTACTCAGCTGCATCAATTGCAGTACGAGTACATGAAACTGGCACTAAACCACACAGCTTCCTAGTATAATTATTGTCTGAGACCGGGAAAGTACTCACCGGTGAGTTACACTGTGCGGTCTCAGAAGAATTGGAGCATGAGGGTCATGTGCCAGCATTTGTCTGGCAAGTGTCTGTTCCGCACAGCATGCGCCCCAATCTGTGGACGCTCTCTGCTTGCAAAGCAGCTCACATAAGAGCGCCGACACCTACCATGGTTGGTCTCGTTAAAACGACCGGAATGTGCTTGGCCATTTCATTCCTTAGGCAAGTTACACTCGGGTGTTGTTTATTCCTGGACGCATCCTGGTCCAGGTCTGAAAGTTGTTTTGTTCCCCGAGTTTTTGCCGGACCGAAAGAGCCGGGCCAACTAGATTGGGAATCATTGCTCTTAGGTGGCCGTGTATTGGGGTTCATTTCACGCCTCTACTTGAATCATGACGAGCGACTTGCAGCGATCTCAGGTCGAAATGGACATGGACAGCGGCGCACGTTATTTGGTGGTTGATGTCAGTGATGATGGCGGTTCACGCCCGGTCACCTACAACACCTCTCCATAGCGTTGAACTTTACACTACCTAAGCCATATACATAGCCTCCTGTAACATGCCGCGGGGTTATCTCTCGTGAAACTACTTCTCTACTCGTGTTTGTACTTGCAGTGTCCAGGAGCGCCCGGAGGGCTTTTGGTATGTAATCGTCGGGAGCATAACCACTATCCCTTTTGCCATGGGCGTTTGCAATAACGGGTTGCATTCTTGTCATCTTTCCAGGTCTGAATTCAATGTCTTGTTGCAACCAACTCGAGTAGTAAACACTGGTCATTTTCAGAGTCATATGTTTTGGAACGACCAGTCAAGCCGCTAGTGGGATGTCCCCATATAAGTTACCAACTCACCAATGGTATCTCTCTCGTCAGGTGCAAAGGCAAGAATCCTCGTCAAGGGCGACAACGAGGTGGTTATCGTTGCTGCCGTCCGTTCCGCTCCAACCAAAGTGCCCCGTGCACTGGAAACCAAGCATGTGCACTAGCTAATATATCCCATTGCAGAGCAGGAAGGGTGGCTTCAAGGACATGTATCCTGAGGAGATCTTGTCTAATGTACTGCAAGCAGCTCTACACCAGAACTCACCTGAGTCCAGCTCTCATCGATGAAATCGCCGATGGTAACGTCCTTCCCCCGGGTGGAGGCTGGCGGTGTTGCACTCGGGCGTACCCCACGCTACACCGCTCAAAACTGCAGCGTTCCTCTGGCCTTGCCGATGCGAACCAGGCCACTGACCAAATCATCGGCCAAACTTCTATCGGAATTAGTAAGTAACATGCACACATTTGTCTCTCACGGCAACCCATCCCTTACAGGGGCTGTTGTGGAGTCCATGACATTCGGATAGTGCAGTGGATCCCTACACGATAGTTAGTCAGAGGCTGTTCTCACCGACAAGGAAGCTGACGACTGTCTCATTCCCATGGGTATCACCTCGGAGAATGTCGCCACAGATTTCAACGTCTCGTGAGAGAGGCAAGACGAGTTTGCCCCCCAGTCCTTCCAGAAGCCATGACAGCTCGGGAAACGTTTGGGAAAGCCAAGGACAAGATCGTCCGTCTACAGGTTCAAATGTTCGACCCAAAGACTGAAAAACAGGTAGAGATTGTGGTGGAGGCAGATGACGGGATACGTGACGGCGTTACTTCTGCGAGTCTTGCGAAGGTGAAACCTTCATTCAAAGAAGATGGTTCAACACATGCTAGTAAGCCAAAGATACGGCCCCAACGCGTGTTGTGTTTATCCCCATTAGGTATGCCTCGCAGGTATCAGATGGTGCAGCAGCTGTCATATCAACTCGTAGATCTGCTGCCAAACCGCTCGGACTTCCGACCCTTGGCAAGTGCGTCGCGGCTAGCGTAGCTGGTGTTCCACATCAGATCATGGGCATGGGTCCCATATATGCAATTCCCAAAAGTTCTCAAAAAAAGCTGGTCGCTCCAAGGATGACATCGATTTTTACGAGGTCGACGAGGAATTTGCGTCACAAGCCATTTACTCTATAGAGAAGATTGGCATCCCGTTTGACAACGTGAACGTCAACGGCAGCATGATAGCTATGGTGCACCCACTTGGATGCAGCACGTACATTCCCCTACCGCGGATGGTGAAATCCACCTTACCAACTTCGCAGTCAGGGCACATCAAATCGCCAGATCTCAACATTGCCAGACAGAGGAGTGAGAGGGTGTTTGTTACTAGCATGTGCATTGGATCCGGGATGTGTATAGCAGCTCTTTTCGTTAACAAGCATTGATGTATTACCTTGCGTGTATGACATCTTCGAGTCTGGGGGTAGTGATCGTTCACCAGCTTGCAATCTAAAGAGATGAGGCCGGTCCACACCACTCACCAGGTCCGCCTTTAGTTGAGACAAACATGCATATCTGGTTTCCAACTTGCCCTGTAGTATGTTATACGTATGCCTGACCAACTGGGCAGTACATTCCGACACGACGCATGAAGAAACTGGTCAACATCAAGTCCATTCCCAGTTGTCGTCCGACAACTATGGCCTGGGCAAAAACTTCAGCGAAGTGCCACAATACCTTATGATGTACATCACACCGGAAATTCAGGCGCAACGGGCACACTTTCACTGTGAATATCTATACACATCGATGAATGTCAGTGCAGTAAATCGTGTAGCCTGGACTAGAAGTACAATAGTGAAACTAATGTTAACGAAGTTTCTCTTCCAAACGGGTCGCTACCGACCTATACACTTGCCGGGGCGATCTTGGTGAAAGATGTTACTCTCCCTGAGCTGCATAGGTTCAAGATTCTCCCGGAGATAGAAACGAGGAGAAACCCAAATATCAACCCGCCAGGTGATTAACTTTCGATGAGAAAAAAAAGTTCTGGGTAGGCGCCGTTTATATATGGTCTGAGTTTGTTTGTTTGGTCGTGTGACAGGTCACGTGGTCGTAGTATAAAAGCTCTACGTGTTCGGTTTACTATTTTTCTTCACAGTCGATCTCGGTCGTAGGTAGCAGACGTCCCGCAATTTTTCGGGCGGACGTCTGAACTCCACACGTTTCACCGTTTGATCGAGTAGAGGGAACACAGGAGCTGGGCATGCCGTTTACTCAACGTATACTACCCCACTGATGAGCGGTTAATCAGCTTTTGGAACAGTGGTTTTTGCGTTTCCTGTTGGCCTGAAACTTCCTTTTAAAAAAAAGAGAGATAAAAAGTCCCTAATGTGCCTGCAGTCCTTGCTGCGCATATCTTGTCACCATCGGAGTAGGCCATCCTTCTATGAACTGTCAATTCAAGATTCAGTACTTGGCTTGTTCAGGCTTTGATGAAGTACAGGTTTCTATGTTTACGTCACGCAAACTTTCAATGGGCGTTGCTGGATGTTCGCCCAAAGCATGAAAGATTCAATTGTCTGGAGCAGAGATCTTGGTCAAAGACAAAAAGCCTTCATGAATCACGCGGCACATGCGTGTGCCATTCCGCGGACCGTGTGTTGTGCGAGTCTGACGTGTTTTAGGTTTCCCCCGGCCTATGCGGAAGTCAGTTGTTTGGGTGTAATACAGCAACACCCACACCCTGGTGTACAGCCCAGCCGCTCCACTGGGGCCCTGAACTATTTCCAGGTGTTGTGCTCTTACCATTTCCTCGCGCGCGAATAGCATGATCACAGAGGGGCACGGTCCGATGATTCACGAGAAACACACACGCACTGGTCACCCCTGGCCCGGGAGACACCGTTCTTTTTTTTTTTGTGTAACCGCTTCCGCCTTCATCGCCCCAACAGTTCTCGGAAGGCTTAGCGTCTGCGACATAGCCTATTCCCGACATCCTGTTCTTTGTTTTTTTTTTTTTCTTCCTCTTTGCGAAACCTAGCCGACCGGCTGTATTCATTATTATAAGCCGCCCGGCGTGTATATTCGGCCAATCGAGTTCACAGGATATGAATGTGTGGACAATGGCGGAGAAGTGTGACCTTGCCGCAATCCCACCGGTGTTGCTAGAATGCCGAATTCAATAACATTCTCTGGGGGTTTATTGGCGTGAGATCCGAAAACATGCGACTCTGTTCCTCTTTCTAGACACAGGAGCAGTGTATCGCAATACAGTAGTTTGGGAAACCTCTCGTGGTACTGTGATCCCATTCACCGGGTACTGGATGCCTAATCTCCTTGGCACGGGGAGGTATGAGGGTCGAGGGACCAGGTACAATCATGTATCCAAGGTTTGCTTCTCACTTGAAATGACCCGTTACTATCGCCCATTGGATGCCATTTCCGGAGAGCGCAAGCAACGCGCAGTTTCACCACACCTCATTAGCCCACCATTCAATCGTTTACTCAGCATTCATTTTGAGAAAAATGTCTTCGACAGTCTGGATCGATCAAGAGTAATAAACCCGGCATTAACCTTGTGGATGAAAGCGCCGTTATCGACACGCGCAATTCTCCACTACCACTTGTCTCAAGTCCGCCCACCTCTTCTGGGGGATCTACGACCGACACGTAGCTGTGGAAATTGCGTGGAAGATGGCAGAACCACGTTGGCCCCATCTTTGCCTGGATCACAGTACCTCGAACCTCTCCAATCACTGGTGGCTCGAGCGATAAGTAGGAGGGACTGCGTTGGCGGCTGATGTACCCTCATTCGAGGTTGCCGTGTGGCAGAGGTATCTTAAAGTGTTTGTCAGGTATTCGCAAACGGATAAATTATCTACCCACCAGCCCCACCCACATATATTCACACATTGGCTGGTGTTATTCCAATGAAAAGTAGCAAAAATTCTTACAGTCCATTCCCTGATGCATGTTCCGATGCTAGTGACTCGTATTGCGTCATGAAAATGCAGGTCGCTAGTCGCCTCAATTTCAAAAAAACCAACTGCCGACCCTCGAGACGCGTGAGCACGATATGGAAGAGGGTAGCGATTAATTTACCGATCACTATTCTTCCATAGCGTCGATTTACACGGAACGCACGCCGTAGGATCGAACGGGGATAAGGCCAAGGTCAAATCTCCACCTGTTGTGCCGAATGCAAGAGTGGTTGCAGGTATGTACTCACTTTCATTCTGCCGTCTAGCACATCGTCGTGCTGCGAGGCTTCATTATCTAATTCCCGAGGAGTCGCCATCAACACGGCAGTGCTAAACTGCCTCGTGGATCAGATAAAGACTGTAAAAGGTCAATACAGCGGCGAATATGGGCGAGCAACAAATGGTAACCAAGCCACCTGTATTACGAAGTATGAGTGGAGTTGCTTCATGCTCCCTGCTGACTTTTCGTAGAGCCGGAAGGCCGTGGGGTGGATCAAGCTATTTCGGAACGGCTATCCTTGTTCCGAAGTGACTACGTACGCCTCTCTTCGGTATGTAGTTCGGTCCTGCGGATGTTTTTTTATTGTAGATGGCGTCACTGTGAACACCATTCCCGATCCCGAACGCAGGGTCGTCATGGAAAAGGTTCATCCAAGTACACCATGGTCACCCGCAAAGTCGAATGCTCCGCATACTGATATTGACCCGTCCCACGTTTTAAGGATAGGCCAAAAGATTTGCTCCTACTAAGCAAAGGAACTGCGTTGAAGAATCTATAGCCCATGCGTTCATGCTCCGAGAAGCCATGTAATGGATTGTTGCACTAACACATTCCCTCATGCGATGACCTACTGGTCGAAACGAAGTTGTGCGGGCTGAAATTTCGCGCGACGTTTTGATGAATAATGACGTGAACTTTGGGATATACCGGTCCGTGACTGAAGTTGATTTAAGGTTCATCACGCACCTATACACGCCTGTTAAGGTTGATTGAGTCGAAACGCAAGGCAACCACGATATATGAAGATAGCAGCAGATATGGTAGATCAGCCGTATCACCCTGAAGCGCGTGTGAATTGAATCAACTAGTATGTTGAGGTATAGGCTTTGGTGTATAGCATCGGGTAGTGCTCTGCTGGAACTGCAATCACGCATGAAGTAGGATACAGTGTCCGGCGCTCGAACCTGTTGGTGCATGCTGGACCGTCATCCTAGTATTGTATGACAAGCCGTTGCGCCCATCACGTTTCACGTATAGTATATTCGGACATACCAAAATGGATGTACCTCGTCGGAGTAATATGATTCAGGGGCAGAGGGAAAAATCCGAGAGGTCGCGTCAACTTGGAGCGCCACATCGGATCTCCTACTCGCGGTGATAGAACCACGGAAGTTCCTCCGATGCAGGGTCGACCATGACGCGGAACAATTCGTAATCCAGAGGCCCCAATCGCGAAGCTACATCAGTGCTCATTGAAAGAAGATACGGCAGAGTAGGTTCATACAACACAGCAGATGTGATCCCGGATGGGCCGGTGCGAAAAACGTCGCACGTTCCACTTCTTTCGTTTTCGTACCAAAGTAAGACCTGGATATATGGAGAAAAACTTGAGAGCAGCTCCAGGGGCACTGACATGCGGGGAGCCAACGCACGGTACGATCTGCTGCCTTTGATCTCGCGCCGGGTGCATGAGTGACGGAGATTACGGATCGAGGAGAGCAGGAGTTAGCGGTCGTCGTCGTCGGTGCTTCGTCTAACGTGATAGGCTTTTGCGGACGTGCGGTTGAGACATCTGATTATGATGCATCCTACCGGCCGCCCCAAGCAGAAACTGAGCAGTTCTCACCCTCGCAACCATCAGATTTCACATGGGTATCCACGTTTGCTCGGGTATTCTCTTTTCATAGGACATTTTCGTTCCTCTGGTGTTCGGGAGAGATAGCAACCAGGGGAACAGCCGGGCAACTGGCTGGTGAAAATGAGGTCCATGCGAGCATCCGTCGGGTGAAGGCAGAGAGTCAGGGCTAGACAGAGGCAGTTGATTACCAGCACTGCAGCGGATAGAATAAACTAATTCCGCGAGTACGATGGCCTGCACGATCGCAGAAAAGGGAAAACCAGCACGAATACTAGTCGGACATTACTCGAAGAAACTTTCAGCAACTGCCAGATAGAGACACAAATGAGTGGAAAGCCACTGGAAAAAGATTCAAGTTAGGAAATTGTGGTTCCATGTTGGAATCTGATCAAGGAGGTGATCACCTCATGTTCAACGCACTTCGCTGGGCAAGGACGTGTCATGTGTCAGCACTAGGAAAGGGTGGCGAACCGCAAGGCAAACAAGCGACCCAGATGTGGAAAACTGATAAGACACGAGGGCACAGCAAAGAGCTATGTCGTGCCCTGTGGCGGGCAGTACAAGTGCAGTAAGTAGGTTCCAGAGATCCAACAGCACGCGGGATGTCGTACCGCATCCGGCTATAGCGGACGTACGGATATTATAGTCGCTATCGTGGACTCTGGGAGGAGAAAAAAATTGTTACGGCGTACCTGTGAGATTGCAGTGATGCTTTTATGAAGACGGCGCCAGCGATTTGAAACCGGTAGTAAAAATGTTGAAACCGATTGAAGGGCGGCGTCACAAAACCGGAGATAGACGGACGATTGAATGAACCAAATTCAAAAGCCAAACCACTACCATTTTCTCAAATTACGGAACTAAAATTCGTCATTACTCGCACAGCAACTGCGCTCCAAAAAAGCAGCTTCTGCTTTTATTTTTTCCGTGTGTTGAAATTCCAGAACCAGTATGTTGCTGACAAGGAATGGCTCATACAGGTACAATCTTAAGGGGGAACATTCACCCATTCTTTCATGTGTGGGGTATCTATCTCGATCCCAAATTCACCAACACTAAACAATCGCCAGTAGTGCGCCAAGCCCTCTACTGATCGCGAGCGTGAGGGCGTCCTGGCATCATTTTAATTTGTGGTGGTAACGCCGGGTGGATGTAGAAGAGCCGAACGGGTCAAGGATGACTGTATCATCCCGAGTTTTATTAAGCTCCTCGCAGGTCTACATACCCGCTCCCATTTATAGCTGGACAGCCACGCTACAGTCTCCAAATCTCATCTTTCGATACCTTTAAATCAACGATTGCCATCGGAGTCCGCACTCACATCGCCCTACCGTTTTGTTCCGCCCTGGCTTCGTCCTGTCCGTGCCGACGATTCATCCTCCCTAATGGATGCGGATAGGAACCTGCCAAATCTTCCTCGGAACCCTCCTCGTATTCAGCCACAGTTGATGCCCTCTCCCGATCCCCGTGCACGAACCATTCCAGCGCCGCCGTCCCAGTACCAACAGCCATCTCTACCACCTATCCGCCAGCTTCACCCCTATCTCCCGCCCTCCGGGATGCAACCTCCCCTGCCAACACGGGGACATCCGGCGTATGCTTATCCACCATCGTCTTCTTACTCTGGTCCTCCCCCAACGGAAGCCCACTTTGGTCCTCCAATTCCTTCTCGAAGTGTACACCCTCGCTCTGAGCCCCCGGAATCTGAGGCGGAGGGTGAGGCGGAATCCCAGGGACCCGTCAAGAAAAAGAGACGGAGACAAGCACTCAGTTGCAATGGTACGTTCTCAGATTTTATATAAATTCCAAGCCACTCCTGACAACACACGACGATAACTTGTTCTACTTCACTGTCCCGTGTTTCATTGCTAATCCTGGTTAATAACATGTCCGTATGAAAGAGTGCAAGCGTAGAAAAATCAAATGTGATAGGTTCGGCGTCTGTAGCATTATCGCACAATGTGTTGTCTCATACCATGCTGCAGAGCGCAACCCTGTGGCCCTTGCGTGCGGCGCGGTGAACAGTCAAAGTGTCAATGGCGTACCTTGGAGCCAGTGTATGTTTTCAGACGGCTCCTCGTTTCTATTACCCTAACGTCTGTTCAGGGATAAATATGTCACACGTCAGGAGTATGACGCGCTGAAGGAACAGAGTAGAGCAGAATATGATCAACTTAAGAGGAAATTGGAAAGTTTAGAAGCTGCGGTTCTCCGATTTTTACCTGCTTCACCAGCCGGCGCCCTCAGCGCACCGCTGTACTCGATGCCATCAGGCGTACCGGGACCACCTGCGGAAAATCTCGTCTCTTACCAACCTGGCCCCTCCAGTCAAGTCCTCTACCCACCAAGCGGCCCATCGTCGTCCTCGTACCACGCTGAAGCTACGCCTCAACCTCATTACTACCCCACAACTTCGCCGCATCTTGTCCCTGACAGTGCTCCACATCCACCCGCGTCAGCCACACAAACGGCTTCAGGAAGCAGTGGCCCAGGTCATATCCGACGGCCCTCTGACGCCAAGTCTCCGACGCAAACGAAGCAATCGCCCCTTTCACTTGCTTCAATTACTTCGCCCTACAGCCCAGAGTCCCAGTCAAAAAACTGGCGCGCGCAGACGCTCAGATTACTGGGCGGGCGTCTGCGCCCTAGCACGAGGAGGTTGGAAAGGCCCAGTGGTTCTTCTTTGCGACACACGTCAGCGACGGAACAACGCCCGACAACGTCGACTTCCTCGGATGTTGCCATGGAAAGTATGTCGGCGCCTCCCACGGGACTTCACATGCTCGGTTCTTCGTCTCGAGGGAGGTACGGAGATCCCCCCGGTACACACATGGGAGTAACTTCAAGCCGAGAAGCAGGGGAAGGCAGAGACCGGAGGCAAGGCCCTCCCTCGGACCGATAGACAGGTGCTCACACTAGGCTTGGTCGCTATGGATGATTGCATTTTTCTTTCTTTCTTCGTGTCTCGTTTACAGTCCTCTAGCAATGTAGCCGTATATGTACCCAACCGCGCGGTATAATACCTATGTGGGAATAATACCTCGTATGACCGGAGGAATTGTGTCGATGGCCGCCAAGTCTCGATGAAGAGTTCCATTATAACCCAGAATACTGGAAAAAATAGAAATTCTAGAACCCAGAGCACCGGGCATTAGAACAAGAGTACGCACTGGACACATTCTCCGAGGGCATTCTGTCACTAATGACGACATCCCAAGTCCCAAGATGTCACCCGAAGTACTATTATCCGACCCGGACTCTCCACACCATGCGGTGGATGTTAATACCTTTGCTACCGCATACCGATGCGAATTCTTCTTTCCACGTTTCTGCAACGTTTCCGTCGCCATTGCGTATACAGATACTTCGTGACAGATTAAATGAATTGAGTGGTTGCATGATACTTATTACTGTAACATCGATAGCCCAAGAAAGTGGATACCATGCACTACAGAGAAGAGTGACCTCATTCCCATACTAATTTACCTTTATCGTCTACGATGGCTTGCATTCCTCCGCTTGGACGTTTACCACCACCCGATCTGGATTGCTCGATGATCCGTTGACGCTCCAATTGGCGTTTGTGCTTGGCCAAACCCTCTAGTCGAGTTGCCTCCGCCTCTGCCTTCGCGGCTCTAACAACTTCCCTCTTCTTTGCATTCTGTCTCTGCTTCTTGGTCATAGCACGATCTGGGCTCAGTTGAGGTAAAAGGGGTGTGGTTTGCTGCGGAATCAACGTTGTCCCCAGGTTTCCTGATTCCGAGGCGTGAGGAACAGTGAAGGTGTGGCAGAAAAAAAAATTACTAGAACTCTTTCCCTTAACGATGTCCCATCCACCGTCGTCTTCTCCGTCAGTATCGTTAACAGTGGTACGTGGTGTTGCATCGTCCTCAAAGTTTTCCCAGGTAGATCCTTGCACCTGTAGTCCATCGGCCCGAGGCACCACGCGCATAACTCTAGCTAGAGCAGGCACATCAGGTTTCTGCAACATGCTATACGGAGGCGTGTTAGCACATCCATCGTACAAATAATGGGTTGCCAGACATGCGGACAGCGCGGTGGTTTTTGACTCACTCTTCTACACCTGTTCGGCGAGGTTTGGGAATAAGTTTTTCGGCGAGCGTGCGACGAGTTTCTGCCACATTCCCATCAGTGGGGTCACCAATATCTTCATCCATAATTTCCGCTACAAATGACTCGCCAGCAGCGGAGGCCCCAACATCACTACTCGTGAAGTCAGTCGATACAGCCACGCTCACGCCCGCTTTGCCATCAGATTCCTTGGGGCTATGTGATCCCACACGGGTCCATGAACCATCCGTGTCAAAGGAGGACGACGACTGCAGCTGCGGCTCGCGTTTCAGCGAGGTCTCCGGGTTTAGTAATCGTTCTCGCTGTTGTTGGTGATTGGGCTCGGTGTCCTCAGATTTGACCGTAGAAACTGCCGAGCTCGACCGTCCATCAGACTCCCGCAACATCAGTTGCTCACGAGAAATGCCTTTGGTAGAGTGATCCTCTATAGGGGCTCCCGAGTCAGGATGTACAAGATTCGCCTTGAGCTTCTTCTTTTTCCCCCTTTTGGCCTTTGCGACATCTGGTTCCTGAGAGCTGTGTGCTGCTGCATTGCCAGCACTCGCACTAGTCTCAATTTGTGTCTCAAAATCACCGGGAACGACCTTCGGAGACGGAGTAGCGGCCGGATCTGGCTTAGAGGGCTGTGCCTTGGAGACGACCCGCCGTTCCCCTGCACGGGATGACTTTGGGTCCGACTGTATGTCCTCCGCAGCGCCAGCATCCGTCTGACTCTTGGTACCTCGTTTCTTCCTCTTGGAATTGGTCCCCGCTATCGATGGTTGCTGTGAAGAGTTGGCGTCGGCGAGCTGCGTACCAGAACCGGCTGGGGTGAAACGCAAGGCGAATGTGTACGCTAGCGTAGTACATGCCACAGTGACAATGACCACGACAGCAGTGTCGATGGTGGCGTGGCTCAGGACAGAACCCATAATGCTGAGTACCAGGTACAACCAATGCAATCAGCCGAGACCGTCCCGCTGATACTGCACTGAGTGAAATGATGTGAGCAAGTTCAGGGCAACTTCAGCCCCAAGTACTTAGCCATAGAAGTACCACGGCGACAGGCGCGTCAACAACCTCAAACAATACATTCGGACTCAAAGTGAAGCACTAACAAAGCATTGTATTCGATTGAGCGAGTTTACATTTTTTACAGTAGCAAGTGCGTTTCAACACGACAAAGGCATAAACAACTTGGGAAATTGAAGTAAAAATGAAAAAGAAAAAAAAAAATCCACATTAGACCCAACACTAATGTATAGTCGGTGAATTACTATGATGCATGGCATTCGGCAGGTTGTTCGAGTCGTAGACCGGCAATCGTGGAAGGTCGGGAATTACAAGGTATGGGATTCGTGTATGTCGTGTGCGTGTTGGGTTTTCTCCCACACGGCCAAAAATTTCATGACTCTGAACACGAAGAATGCCGTAGGTTGTCGGACATGAGCTCACCGACACCGATGTGAAGTGTACCGCCCGCCTGCTCGCTACGGGCAAGCAGATTATCCCAAATATCGGCTTTCTCTTCCTCGGTAAGAGGGGGTTTTCGAGGCGCGCCGAGTTCACGGAAGGTCAACTGAGCACGGACAAGAGGTTGATCAAGCGATGGACGTCCCACACTTGAAACTCGCGCAGAACTCGAAACCACGGCATCTCCCTCCCTGCCAGGCTGCGAGGATCTCGGACTGGTAGATGTACGAAGTCTACCCCGAGAACGCAGTGGTGGGGGTGAGAGAGCTACCCCTCCGTCAGCTAGGAGGGCTTGATTCGACGCATCACCATGACTGCCTCCAGGGGAAGCCGATTGCAATGGTTTATCGGTGTCAATGTCGCTCAAAGGGCAAGGAGAGATGGATGATGAGCAACAGTGAGTCGACCGCGGTGATGTAGTATCGGGCCTCGGGTAGTCCTCACCTAACCGGAGCTGCTCTAACGGAGGTATGATATGTCGATCGAGTTCGGGAATAGCTGGAGTTTTGAGCTCGCTAAAAGAAGAAGCGGAAGACTGTGCAGACTGCGGTCTTTGGAAGAACTGGTTAGATGCGACGTCAGAGTTGGGTGACGAAGACACAGTGGTGCCGCTAGGATAAGCTTGTGGCCGTTTCTCGGGAGAAGTACACCTGCGCCGACGTGGCTGTGGTGGGGTACTAGCATTGTCCGCATCCGCGTCGGTGTCCGGGTTAGGCCGTCCGTAATGGTTGATGCGTCCTACGAGATTCTTGGGAATTGTGGGAACAGGCGGTACCGCCGTATCCTTATCAGCTTGAAACCGCTCACGCAAACCACCAGTGCTTATACGTTTCATCAGCCCCCATAGTCTCCCACTTTCACCAGAAACTTTAGTATCTGTATTTTCAGCGCTTGGATCGGTTTGGGACCGCCCGCGTCCGGTGGTAGGACCAGTCAATATGTCGTTTCGACCGCTAAGCATGACCATGCCGTCCATCGACCTCCCGGTACATCGACTGCGCTCCCTTGACCGTTCCGGGGACCATTCCTGCAAACTGGGACTGCCTTTCAAATGTCCCGCTTTAAGGCTAGCATTTGATGGAGACTGATCCGAGGTAATGATGCCTCCAGTCACCTTCTTCCACTGCGCAGACACTTTCCGGCTCAAACTACGGGCATGTCCACCGGTCTGTGTGGTGCGTGTACGTTGCCCTGCGGGTATTTGACCTTCAAGACCTATCCAGCGATCCTCAGGTCCGCCTGCGGCAACACGGCGTTCAGAAGAAGTGCCAAAGACAGTGTAATATGGTATTGGAGAAGGTGGAGGGGCGTCGCCCCGTATGGTTGAAAAAGTCGAGCCGCCGTCAACACGCTGTCCATCGGCGTGAACCTGTGGTCCGCTCCGAGTATCAAGCGAAGGCCTGTGCGTGCCCCCGTTGCCTATGAAAACTTCGTCCAACGTGTGAGTCCTGGAAATCAGCCTGGTAGGCGTCTGTACTCCATTGCTGACACCGTGCCTGCTTTCCAATTTGGATAATGGGAGAGGCGGGGCATCTGATATGTCAAGCACAGGGGAGCTCTTATCCACTTGCAGGGTTGCCTTGTCGCGCCTTTCCTTCAGAGACTTGGCTGAGCTTGGCCGGCGTCTCAAAACATTACGAGGCTTTTCATCATGCCCTCGCGAAAGAAGAGATACCTGGCGTCCCGGAGAATCATAACTGTGATGGTCCGTGAGAGGCGAGGGCGACGACAAAGAGCCCGATCCTTTCCCAGCGTCCCCAGTGTGTCGGTAATAGGCCTCTGATAAAGTGCTTGCCTGAGGAGAGCTGGAGGGACACGCAGCGACATCTAGATCTGGTGGGCGCGACTTTCGCGGCACACCTTGCAGTGGTAATGGTACATCCGAATCCGAAGGCGACGAAAAGAGTGAATGGCGAGATGGCGAAGGTTGTGCAGGCTTAGACAAGAGATTTTTGATGCCCATCGTGAGCCTGTGAGGAATATCAAAGCCCTTCCCTTGCATCTGCACATCTGGGATGGTTCCAGTACTAAACGGATGAGGGGACAGATGTGGAGCGGTAGACGGTCGCAAGTGACTCTGCTTGTTCTTACGAGGCGTGTATTGAGGGAATTGGATATCAGACTCCGTCGTTGACCGAAAGCGTGGGGTTGTGGGAGAGGTCTGTGAAGATCTGAGCGGGTTTGAACCACCTGAGCCGAAGCCGGAAGTTAGGTTCTCAACCTGACACCGCCCGTCTACCAAAGGTGACACCGGGGCAGAAGATGGGTGGGGAGAAAATCTGTTACCAATGCTTGAAGAAATGGACGCCAGTGGGCCCGACGGTGTGGAACAGGTCGGTGCTTGTGGGACATGAGTCGTATAAGGGATGCTGCCGAGATTCGAGACCGTCATGTGCAAGGAAAGAAAAGATACATTGTGCTCTCGCCGAATATAAGGTTGTGTGGAAGGTGACGATGTGGAATTGCGGGCACGACCCTCCACCAGAGAAGGATCATGTGCGGAACGTGTCGGGCTGCGCTTCCGCCTGCCTGTATAACGCGTTGAAAACATGGTAACCTGGGGAATATGGTGAGAGTTTAACGGGGCGGCAGTGGAGATAGCACGGACGAGTTTGTTAGGCCAAACAAGGATCTGAGATGAACAGTCTTTTAGATATAGTTTGGTAGCAATAGCCTATTACGACTGAGGTTATCAGAAGATCGGCGAAGACCCTATATACGATGGGAACTCACATGTTCTTCGAGCCGAGGTTGGGAGGGCAGAGCAACAACCAGCTCCCGGACACTTTTGAGTATCTATGGAGCGCTGGGATATGAATAAACTGACAAATGGGTGTGCAGCCAAGGGGGTCCAAAAAAGGATTCCGGAAGGGTGCCGATGACCTGGCAACCCACGAAGTGGCGTTGTTTATAGAATCAACGACGAAGCGAGCAAGGCCAATGCGCTGCCGCTGAACGAGATCACAGGGAGAGTGCTTTGCTTGAAGGAAAGTGGTCAAAAATGAGTGTCTTGCGAGAAAGAGTGTGAGAAAGGCGATCTCTTTGAGTTCAGAGTATGCTAGACGAAAAACATGAAGTTTGGTATTCCACGTTACACAAGAGCAGACCGAGGCCTCACCTCCGCATATGCCTTTAGTAGAGAGTGGAATGAAGTGATGTCGGAGAAAGAGAAAAGGCGGTTCGGCAGCCTGGCCGGCCTCTGACGGCGTGGGTGAAACTGTCAAGTTAGTACAAGTGAAGGCAACCGGGAGGCTATGGAGGGGGAGACGACGACGAGAATGACTCTATTACCCAGGAATCAAGATATGAAAAAGCATGTGACAAGCGACTTACGGAGATAGCAGCCTGGCTAGTCAGCAACTGAGCACGTCACACCTGTCAAACCGCGGTTCCTCAGTTAGCTAGATCAGCTAGATTAGATCAGTTTGGAAAGATGGGCGCTCTGACGCTCCACGGAGTTGAAACGGTAAGGAGTGTGTTTCGGTTGTTAAAGAACGAGCAAATTACACTACTGCTGGCAAGTTGTTGTCGATCACCGTGCAATGCATCGTGTTGATTACTAATCGATAATCAACTACCGCCTCAAGGTTGCCTAGAACTCGCCCGGCGTTAGTGGGTCCGGTTCTGGTGGCTTGTCGCGGTCTTTGAGGGATGGATCCATGAACACGATACCGAACAACCTCCGCTATCCGTTTCAGCTGTAGCTGTATTTATTACCGCTTCATCCTTGTGTTGGCTTGTCCCCGTATCACTGTCACTATCATCATTCTCACTGTAGCCATGCTTCGCGCCGACGTTAAGCCAAGCGATCCCATCGATGAGCAGCCGTCGATAGGCCTGATCGGCATGGGTGCCATGGGTACCATGTACGCCAAACACCTCGCAGAAGCTGGTTGGAAAAAGTAGATCCGCGGCTTTCTCCCAATTCATATTCACTGATCACGACCTCATGGCAGAATAAATGTCTGCGATATTCCAGAGAAATATGAGTCACTCAAGCTTACTTACAAAGGTAGCCCTGCGAGTGTAAACTTATCCGATCACCACGTTTATTCACACGAAGACGTGTCTTGCTAGATGAACCAAGCATCGCTGTCCATCGTGATGGTCACGGCGTGTCCAGAATTTCAGATTTTATCATGTATCTTGTGGAAGCCGACATCATCCATAAAGTCGTCGCCCAGTATGGACCTTGTGAGTCAAAGTCAACCTCTATCGAGAGTCGCCAGAGACTCATCCCATGACCCGTATTGGACACTGCTCGTGATGTGTTCGCCCGTTCTTCCCTTGGGAATGGTGTATCATTGGAACCCCGCACCTAGCAACCAAAGTGGGCGCTACCGTGTCCGGCCAGACATCCGTAAAGACCCCTGAAAAAGATGCCTTCGAAAAGTATCTCCCACCTGACATCAATATCGTCTCGATGCACTCGTTGCATGGGCCCACAGTCTCGCCCGTTGGCCAGCCCCTCGTGCGTCGCGATCTCTTTTCTCTGGTAGACTTCTTGCAAATGACGTATACAGGTTCTCATCAAAGTTCGTGCGTCCGACGACTGCATGAAATTTGTGGAAAACCTATTCCGTGGTTTCCGCTCCAGATATGTTTATCTTACATACGAAGAGCACGACCTCATCACGGCCAATGTTCAAGCTGTAACACATGCTGCTTTCCTCACGTATGACTCTCGTATCCTCATTGGTCTTTACTCACGTGATCTCCAGGATGGGCAGTGCATGGGCATCCCAACGTTACTACCCTTGGGAACACGGCCAATACGTTGGCGGTATCGAAACAGTCAAAGTCAATATCGTGCTCCGCATCTATGCTAACAAGTGGCATGTCTATGCTGGCCTTGCAATCCTGAATCCATCGGCCAAGATCCAGATTGACACGTATGCTTCTAGTGCAACCGATCTTTACAAACTCATGATTGCGGGAGATGCCGAGGGATTGCGCAAGCGCATCTACGCCGCACGCCAAAAAGTCTTTGGCGTACGGCCTGATGAAGATGGCTGTTCAACCCCTATCTTTCTGACGGAGGATATACTGGACCAATTCTCTATCCAAAAGCCATCGTCGCCCTCTCCAACAGGGAAAAACACATTGAACTCCCATCTGTCGCTACTTGCCATGGTGGACTGCTGGGCGCGTCTGTCCATCCAGCCTTTTGACCACTTGCAACTCGCAGCGACGCCAGTGTTCCGTATGTGGATTGGCGTCGCCGAATATCTCTTCCGCTCTACTGCACGCTTAGACGCGGCACTTGACGTCGCTGTACACGACGTGACATATCGGTCCGACGATTTGGAGTTTGTTGTCGCAGCTCGTGGTTGGAGTCAGTGTGTCGCTTTCGGCAACTTCGATTTGTACCGTGAACGCTTCGAATCGACAGCCGCATTCTTCGAGTCTAGATTTGAGGAGGCGAACAAGCTTGGGACGGCGATGATCAAAGCGATCCAGGAGAGCAATGGAATCGGGAAGTGAAGCTTGAATGGTTAACATTAACGCGCTGCTATAGGACGAGGTGTTGTACGATCAGCCATATCATATCATTCTTCCGATCTACGGGAGCGTTGTTTCAGTTGTACATAGCGTACTCTTCTTCCGACTATGTAGTAAATACACGAATTCGCATTACTGTTTCCACCTCAGGGTTCGGCGGAAATGTCAGGGTCTGCGACACCAGCCTTACTAACGACTGATGTAAGATAAAACGTTACCTAGTACTCAGTATATACATAGTTCCGTAGGTAAACTATCCTATATAGGCCCGCAGGAGCACATGGTGCCAAATTTGACAAATACACTCGAGTTGCCAGATGAATCATGTACACAGCCCCAGCTTGTCTCTGAAGGTTCAAGTTCAGAAGGTATGTCACAGCAGGAATACATCAGGAAGCGAAAAAATGGTTTAAACCTGTTTAAACCTGTCACTGACTGGTCGTGACCGCGACTCTGTCATTCCCCGTTTCTCTGATGTAGCCGACCCCCGCGGTCGCCGTCATCTCGATCAGAGTAACTGTCGAAAAAGACACATAGTGAAGGCAGAGACCCGGCGGGTGTCGCTCCTAATATGTCTAACCTCGTAGGGAAAAGGCCATCCATGGATATATGTACTGATTTTTACCGTGAATATGCATCTCTCCTTTCGATGTCGTGGCACTTTGAATGACGCGAAACCCCGGATGTGGAGTCTAAGGGTCGACTGTACAAGGTACGTAGTGGCGACGTACTAAATGCTGCTAAATCTGACGGATCCATTCAGACCGGGATAAAACCTCCGGCACCTTCCATGAGAGGCAGAATGACCGAACTTTGTTTTGCGACGCACAGTTACCCGGTCTCGATAGGCGTTAAGTATTTATTGAAAAACGAGAGTGCATCGACCGATGGCGCTCCCTTTCGTTGAGGAGTTTGGGCCTCCACCTTCATGTCTAGCCCTTTCGAGATCACTCCTGAGTTCATGTATGAGGTATGGGTGCAGAGGTGAGTACCGAGAGCCCTGCCTCCAACCACAGAAAGATAGACGGTATTTTCCATCAGGGCTGCCGTAGTAGCTGGATATACGCTGCTGGTGTATGACTATTTCCTTACCCTCGGTGATGAGGTGAGCATGGCCTTGGACCGGACGAATGTTGTGCTATAGTCTCGACGTAGGTGGAATACATATGGAATACGCCGTGGACACCGGTCAAGCTTGTTCATTTGGCGAACCGCTATGTTGTACTTTTCGGATACACTCTCATTTGCATCCAGGCAACAGGTTTCGTGGCGGCCATCACTGGCGTACGTCCAAGTGCACCCACGCAACCTGGGTGGTCTGAACTCTTTCCACAGGGCTGCGAGTTTTATGCCATATTCCTCGGGGTATATATTGTGATTTCTCTCGAAACTTCACATGGTATGTCCACTGCAGTTGATGGGAAGGGTTTCTATCGATCGTCTACAGTCTTAGTTGTCTTGCGTGCATGGGCTATCTGGGGTGGTGATCGGCGCATCTTACGGTCTGTGGTGGCAGCATATGTTGCAAGTCTCGCATCCATCGTCGCAGCGGTTTCAAAAGGCGAAGATTTCTCAAACTGTAAGTTACTCGATCGTAGTTTGCGGATCGGAAACTGAGACAGTCCGTTGCACAGTCGAACCTACTGTGACCTTAATGTGTTATAGACCCGTACCAGGTAAACGTCGTAAAGGATGTCGATGTCCGCCACAGTGCTAATTCTCGTGTCTCTTACAGATCGTGCTGTGAGTTATAACATATCTACTATGCTTACCATGACCCTGATATGGTTTACCAGTGGCTTTTCTATTTTGCCAGTTTGGTGGTGGACTCGCTGATGTTCTGTTTGACTATGTCGGGTCTGTGGTCGTACCGTAGAACTTTAAACAATGGCTCCCTCAAGTTAATCCAAGCGCTCATGCGAGGTGGTGAGCTTCCCGATTGCTGAAACAATGCTCCTTGCTAAGGACTAAAATATTCCGTTAGCAACCGCATTCTATGCTGTGAGATAGGTTGCAATTGAAAAGTGAATTATCCTCATTGGAACGTAGGTCAACGTTTGTTTCGATATCCTAGGCATAGTCAGCTGGTGAGTCTGCGCGGTCCGTACCTAAGAATACTCATCCGAGTAAATTTGGATATGAAGGACTAGATACCAGAATGTATGTGGTCACCCGATTGAAAAGGTCTTCAGAATCTCACCATACATTTTTAGAGTCCCACAGCATCTGCCATCCCAGCGTATGGCGTTCCCTGTTATCGCTTTCCCTTTAACATTGATCAATTTAACAGAATTATGACTCCGGTCCTAGCCATTTCCAGCCAAAGAGTGGTGCATGACTTCCGTCAGTTAGCACCGAGGTCGTGGTCTCCTCAAGAGTTGAGCCAAGTGATCAACCAGCAACTCGGGGAGTTCCAATCCTGGCCTAAGTGTGCCGATGAAGCGGTGCCAGGATCCATGGTTCTGGAGGGCAATTCTGAGCTAGCAAGTGAAACAAGTTCAAGTATCGACGAATTCGACATCGAAATAGATGATAATGGTGAGATCCGGATAGGTGACGATGCTGGGCTTTTTGTGAAGAAATTGTCCCCTCCGATCTAGGTCAAATTCGCTGGTCAGTGCGTTCGTCGGGACGACTGCACGACACTGCAATCAATCAGCTTGCATCAAGTGAGTCCTGGCACACAAACTCGGTTCAGCTGGGTGACTGAATCATCTTTGTTTCTTTCCCCACGTCGCTGTGCAGCCATCACTACTAGTGGGGTAGCTTGATATTCCTTAATTTTCCACCGACTTTGCCCGGGTTCGGCTTTAAAGCCATATCCACGTATCCTAGTGGACGTGGTGGCTTATTGGATGTCACCCATGACGAGACGCCAAGTCCCTGCACGGTGGCGCAAGTGTTCTTCCGTCTTCCTCGGAATGTGTCGTTGCCTGCACTGACGTGTGCTTCACATCCAATGTCACTCACCGTTGGACCAGAATACTATGATGCGATTATAAGTACTAGTACTAGCGTATAGCTATCTGTATATTCAATAATTACTGTAACTGTTAATATGGCGGGAGGTTGCAATCATTTGGCTGCACAGGTTCTACTGCATACTAGTAGTACAGTACGATGAAAGAGATGGAGAATTTCATGCGGGGACGAACGCTCCTACTTATCGGTGGCGTCACAAGAATTACCTTGTGCACACCAATACGTGAACGTTTCCCGCGACTCGCAAGCGTGTGGATGGATGTGTGTCCGGCATTGTCACCTCCGGCTGAATATGAGATGCAGAACATGTCATTGAATAATTAACCCAGACGTGCAAGCCCTCTTGTACCTGGCCGCCGCTGGTCGAGCCTGTGGAACACGAGATCAAACCCAGGTTTTTGAACGCTTAGCTTTACTGATGCAGCGGCCCCAATAGTCCGTCCACGGTTAGGTCTTTGACTCCTGGGCAATACGACAGCAACTTCTTGACGAAGCCACGTTTTCTCCTCCGGTCCAGCCGATGGCGCACAGCATCGACATGAAACTCAAAAACAATTTCCTCCTCGAGCTAGCCTCATCACTTATTAATCTAAAATTTTACATGTATGCCGTTTACTCCAGCACCGGTAGACACGACACGAACGCTAGTTCACTTCTAACTTTCTGACCTTAGCGTAATGCACAATCACACGCAAATCTAACGGGCCGAACATGGATGTGAGTGCTTTTGGTAAGACCCCTTTTCGCACACCGTACATAACCCTTAATCAACACAGTGTCTCAGACCCTTGCCGACCTAGACGACCTTTGGACTGCCTCATGGCGGCAATCGGCGTCAAGCGCACGCGGAGCCACCAACCAAGCAACGACATACCTGTTCGCACACTCAAAGACGTTGGTGTCACTATGATGGGACTCGACAGGATAATGGCAACCTATGGTTATGGAGGGAAGAAACAAGGATGCACCGACGACATACACTCATACCATCAACCCGCCGTTCTCTGCTCGGGCGCCGGTTCCATAGGTAGTCTGGAGCACCAGTATCCCTCCACTGCAACTAGTGAGGAACACTATGGTTATGATTACGAGGACGACTCAGACATAGACGAACAAGATCTAACCGAGCGGGGACGAACCAGTACGGATGTCCCTACGGCCCCTGCACCACTCCCCCTCCCCCCCGTCAGTTATGCAATCGAGAACGACACATTAGCTGGTAATCGGGCGCATTTCCCCATTGCGCCACCAGTCCCGGGTGATACATCCGTCTCATTTTCACGTCATTTCGGTCACAGGGCAATCCTTCAATCCCTCACCGACGCGATTCAGCTTCATACCTTCGTTCCGCAGGTCGGTGGCTTCTGAAGCCAGCCTGGCCTGCCCTTTTCCCGGATCGGAGTATTTCATCCCCCAAGCTGAAGAGTTTCAATGGGACTTCCCAGATCCATTCAGTGCGCCTACGACTGATCCCCCTTGCACTTTTGCCATGGCGCACAGCGCTAGGATGAATTTCGGCGACAATATTGCTCCCCACATGAATAATGCCAACAAGTTTTGGGAGCAGTTGCGGTTCGCAAAACTGTCTCCACCTCCACCTCCGCCTCCTTCACCCTCTCCGTTGGATTATGAGACCGAGAGCGTCTCTGCCAGCGAAGTTGAGACCCTCGTAGCCCGTCTCTCGCTGGGCGCGGTGGGAGGCGGTGCTCAGTTGGGTTCGTTCCAGCCGAGAAGTATTCCTTCTAGACCCGCTTCTCCAGGAGATGGTAACGATACCTACGCCACATCTTCTGACGAAGTCTGCTCTTTGGCCCTGCTCCGTGCAGACCTAGAGTACGTTAACGCGATGCTCAGAGTGCAGGAGGCGTACGAAGCAAAGAAGGCCATCGCAGAAGAATTTCGTGAGAGGGAAAACTGTGCGAGATTGGGGTCTCAATCAAAGAGGATCGCCGTGCTTGGTGAAGAGGTGAGATCTACCCCCATGTGGAGTTAGGGGATACTAAATATCTTCCACAGGCCGCGTGACGAGCAGTGTGTGTTCTCTTGCTTATGACCATTAATAATATAATATGATTCTTGAATCTCTCCTTACTGTAGCATGATCAGAATTTATTTGGAATGTATTTACCAGAAAAAACATGTACTTATCTCGGAAAATTTACAGCGAGTGCTAAGTCCGAAAACATGTACTTACTTCGAGTTTCACCCGCACGCGAGGGCTTGAGGACGCTAACCCATCAGCCAAGATCTACACAAATTGCAGTGCGACCGATCTTACCCACGGTTGCGGAAGATGCCGAGGGAGGTGCATTGTCCGACGTATCCCGCGGCAGCTTACGTGGGCCGTGGGTATCTTCCTCTTTTTCCCCGGTCTGTACGGCGCGTGATGCGCCGCCGGTCGAACACGTCCTGACAAATTGATCTTATGGCCCATCGGTTTAGTTTGACCGTGAATGATGCGAAGCTCAGAATTTGCAATGTCGAATTGATGTCGAAGGGTCGTTCCCCAAGTCTGTCACTAGACGAGGCAGTACTCTACGATAAACTTAATGCTTGGGTGGCAGGCGCTATACCGCACCGATAATCGGAGGCAGTTTGAAGCGACGTTCATCACTACTTGTCGGTCTCGGGTGGCGGTGGCGAAAGTCTCGCCAGCAATGGAATGCATCATGAACACTATGCAATACATTTGCAGCTGACTCAGGAAATAGCAAGAATCTAGGTGAGCAACCCCTTGAGGGTTCTTTGAAATCTCTCAGATAGGGATATGTAAAACCTCCGACAACGACATACTCTCCATGAGGGGGAAGTTTCTCGACACAGCGACGACCGGGCTTACGAGGGCTTACGTCACAGAACCGCCAGATTTGTTGAAAAGCCCGGGTACCAACCCAATCGACGGCGCTCCCCTTCCTTGAGGGCATCTCCTGGCTTCCATATCATGTCTGGCGCTTTCGAGAGTGCTCTCGCATTCATTTATGATGTAGCACTGCAGCGGTGAGTAGCCGAGGACCCTGCCATCAACCACAGAAAATGGACGGTATTATCCACCAGGGCAGCCGTAGTAGCTGGGTATTCGCTACTGTTGTATGACTACTTTCTAACCCTCAGTGACGAGGTAAGCCCAGCGTTAGATCGGACAAGTATCGTGCTAGAGTCTCCTACTAACATAGGTCGAATACATTTGGCATACGCCCCGAACACTGGTCAAGTTCATTTATTTGGCAAACCGCTATATTGTACTCTTGGGACAAACCATTCTTTGCATCCAGATAACTGGTATCGTTGCAGCTGTCACTGGTGTACGTCCCATTCTCAGCGCACTCTCGGTGGTCTGAGCTCTTTTCTTAGGGTTGCGAGTTTTATTCAGTATTCCTTGGCGTATATATATTGATTTCCCTGGAAACTGCACACGGTAATGTCAGCCGCAGTTGATGGAAAGGGTTCCCATTGATAGATCGCAGTCCTGGTTGTCTTGCGTGCGTGGGCTATCTGGGGAGGCAATCAGCGCATCTTGCGGTCTGTGGTTGCGGTGTATGTTCTAGGTCTCGTATCCATCGTTGCAACGGTTTCACAAGGCGAAGATTTCTCAAATTGTAAGTCACTCAGCCGCAGTTTGTGGATCGAAAACTGAGACACGCGCTGCTACACAGTTGAGCCCACTGTGGCCTCTGTGTGTCAGAGACCGGTACCAGGTAAACGTCGTAGAGGGTATCAATGTCCGCGACAGTGCTCACTCTTGTGTATATCTCTTCTTACAGATCGTGCTGTGAGCTATGCTATTTCTGTTATTTTTATCGCGACCCTGATGTAGTTTGCCAGTGGCTTTTCTATTTCGCCAGTTTGGTAGTGGACTCGTTAATCTACTGCATGACCATGTCGCGTCTGTGGTCATACCGCAGAACGTTCAAAAATGGTTCTCTCGGGTTAATCCAAGCGCTCATACGATGTGGTGAGCTTCCAAATCACTCAAACAATACTCCTTGCTAAGAATCAAAACATCTGTTAGCAACTGCATTCTATGTTGTGAGACAGGGTTGCAATTGAAACATAAATTATCCTCATTGCAACATAGGTCAACGTTTGTTATGATGTCTTGGGTATAGTCAGCTGGTAAGTGTGCGCAAACTGTATATAATAATCACCTAAGAAAATTTGGATATGAAGGACTAGATACCAGAATGTATGTGGCCGGCCGATCAAAAGAGTCTAAGACCTCACCGCATATTTTAGAGTCCCGTAGCACTTGTCGCCCCAGCGTATGGTGTTCTTTGTTACACACCCGCGTTCCTTCCAATGCTGATGAATTTGACAGGATTATGATCCCGATCCTAGCCATCTGTAGCCAAAGAGTGGTGCATGACTTACGTCAGATGTCACAGGGCGTCGTGCTCCACTCAAGATCTAAGCCAGGTGGTCAGTCGACAGGTCAAGGCGTTCGCATTACATTCTGAGAGGTGCCGATGGGAGAGCGTCTGTGATTCCGGCAGGTAGTTCTGACCAGGAAGGAGAAGTCAATTCAAATACCGACGCCGCCCTCAGAACAGATAATGATAATGAGCTCCGTTTAGAAGATGCCAGGCTCGCGGCGAAGATACCTTCCTTGGAATCTAGGTCATATTCACAGGCTGGAAATTGGTGAGTTCCTTGCGATGACTTCGTGGGGTCATAATTAACCAGCTCCACCAATGAGTGTAGGCAAATCAGTGCCAGTTCAAATGGATGACTAAGCCGTATTTACTTCGTGCACTACGTCGCTGGCCAGCTTATCGGCTCACCCGTTTCTTCTGATGAAGCACCAAGTGGCTACACTGATATTGCAAGCGGGCCTTTATTGCTCTTGGAGTGAATTCGTCGCCTGCACTGTGATGGATCATTCACCTGCGCTTCACAGAGTGTGACTCGCCCTTGAAACAGATTGCAATATTTGTGTCACAATGAGTACCGTATAAAGTTATGTATTTGTACTACCAGTAATCATTAAATGAATAATAATAGCCGTTTACATAATGCAGCCCACATAGACAAGCGATTCCCGAAGTATTCTCACTCGAGTTCTCAAGTCAATCACACACAAAAGGCGCGTACTAGGTGCGCGTTCCGCGCCGGTGCATAATTGCTTGAAGAACCCAAGGTTGTTCCTGGCATGAATGCGTGTTCAACCTTGTGACTTACAGCTGAATATGAGATGCAGAGCTCAACATCAAACGTGCATGCCCTCCTGGACGGTAGAGGAATCCTGTCTGTCACCGGAGTGCGGTCACAATGCAATTGGCATTTGAATGATCAGTTTTACAATGGTGTGATAGGTTACCGGGACAGAGCTCGACTGAGTCATGTAGACGCACTCGGAATTACACCTGCCTTCAGGTACGATCTATTGCTCAAACGGTAAGTCTCCGTGAACTTTGTTTCTGATCAGGGAAGCAGAAGGGTAGCCCGCGCGACCGGAGATGCCCTGCTATTCTTTTGAACTTTCAGTGACCGGGTGAGTTGGCCTGTGTTTAATTCTAGCAAGGTTTGATTATACTATACATCGGGTGTATATTTGTTGAAGGTACCATCACAATCTGCAAAACTACCAGTCCGCAGCAACCTCCGTTTGGAAGCGACTTGTCGTAAGGTTCTATTCACGCTCGCGAAGACAATTGTTGGCCAGTGAGAGGGCTCGCTCAGGTGCGGGGAGCTACAGTATTGACAATCGTATCGCCTAGTTGTTTCTCAGATCGGCGGCCGTCGACGCTCCCTGAGAGAGTTTATTTCACGAACCGTTACGACACTGCTGGTACACTATCGTTTTCATTCTGGAAACCGGAATCTCCGCTGGCATTTCAACATGTAAATCCAGGTGCGCTGCGGGTTCGGTTTTCCTGATTTGTTTGATGTCATGAAGAAAATGAAGACAAACGCGATGATGACGCTATGGTCCCCGTCGAAGGATCGTCAGGGACCACCCAACGAGTCAGCACTGCAGATAGAGGACTGGACCGCATGACCCATATGAACACGTCTCGGAAATTCGATTTCTCGCAAGTCGCCCACGTTACGTGGCAGATCTCAACTCGCCAAGTATCGGTGTTTGTTCTATTCTCATTCCCATCAAAATGTATCTTTGTCGAGTTTGAACACTGGGGATAGAATTGTCAGATAATGGACCATTGAGTTGGAACCTGACGGAACCCCTTGATTGATACGAATGTAAAGTTGAGGGGCAATGATCTGGAAATACCAAGTCTATTATCATACATATCTGCCCCTTATTTCCCAACTCGTGTCCAACGTACGCTGCCAGTCGAACACCCCTCATTTTTCAATACTATGTCATGTCTTGATCCCGTGCCCCATTGGTTCACATGTACATAGCTGTACCGCGAATGACGCGAAGTTCGGATGTCGAGGTGCCTAAGGGTCGATTGTACTAGAGGCTGCTGCCGTGTCACAAGTCGAGACACGGCGGAGGTTATGCCGCCACTATTCCTTTACAGTTAGTGACCTTGGAGTTGGAATGATACACACGGGAAGCCATATCCACATATCTCAAGTGACCTGCGGCAAAAATCTCGCCAGTGGTGTAGTAAATACTGAGAGCCTAGGTGAGCAAGCGTTGCACCCTGTGAGGATTCCTTTCAGTTCGAGATCTATAAAAATCTTGACAACTACTACAGAACTTTGTTGCCATTGCCAAGAACACTGAGCCTACCCGTACCAGACTATTTGTAATACCGTTAAGGTTGGACCCCTTGGCGGGGCTTCGTACGTCACAGAACGTTGGTATTTATTGAAAACCTCGAGTACATCCATCCATGATATGTCTGGTGTTTTCGAGATTACCCCCGAGTTCATTTATGATGTATCTTTGCAACGGTGAGTAGTTGACAATCCCTGCCTCCAACCGCAGAAAACGGACGGTATTATCCACCAGGGCAGCCACAGCAGCCGGGTATACGCTGCTGGTGTATGACTACTTCCTGACCCTTAGTGACGAGGTAAGCCTAGCGCTAGACCGGACGAGTACTGTGCTACAGTCTCCTATTGGCGTAGGTTGAATGCATATGGCATGCACCCTGGACACCAGTCAAGTTCGTTTATTTGGCGAACCGCTATATTGTACTCTTGGGGCAAACCGTTATTTGCATCCAGGCAACTGGCATCATGGCAGCTGTCGCTGGCGTACGTCCCAATTCCGACGCAATGCGTCTGGCTTCTCTAAGTTTTCTTCGCAGGGCTGCGATGGTTACGCAATATTCCTTACGATATATAATATGCTCGCTCTCGAGACTGTGCACGGTATGTCCGCTGCAGTTGCCAGGAAAGGTTTCTGTTGATGGCCTGCAGTCCTAGTTGTTTTACGCGCGAGGGCTATCTGGGAAGGGGATCGGCGTGTCTTGCAGTCCGTCGTAATGGCATATATTGTGGCTCTCGCATCCATCGTCGCAGCGGTTGCCCAAAAGGAACATTTCGATTTCTCAAACTGTAAGTAATCGGCCGTTGTTTGTAGATCGGCAACCGAGGCACGCTGTTGCACAGTTGACCCCTCTGTCACGACTGTGTGTTACCAACCCGTACCAGGTAAACATCATATAGGACGTCTGTGATTGTGCTTACTCTTGTCTGTTATTGCAGACCGTGCTGTGAGCTGTACCATGTCTGCTGCACCTACCGTGAGACTGATGTGGTTCGCCAGTGGCTTTTCTATTTTGCCAACTTGGTAGTGGACTCGGTAATGTTCTGCATGACCATGTCGGGTCTGTGGTCGTACTACAAAGCATTAAACGATAGTTCTGCCGAGTTAATCCAAGTACTTGTGAGAGGCGGTAAGTTTTTCAACCTTATTCAAACAATGTTCCTTGCTGTGAACTAAAACATCCTGTCAGCGACTGCATTCTATGTTGTGAGCCAAACTGGAACTTGAAACACGGATTTTTCTCATTGGATAGCAGGTTAACGTTCTCTATGACGTCCTGGGTATAGTCAGTTGGTAAGTCTGCGTGCTATATATAAGGATACTCACCTGAGTAAATCTGGATATGAAGGACGAAATACCAGAATGTATGTGGCCATCTGATCGAAAGGGTCTTTTAGGATCTCACCACATATTTTAGAGCCCGGTAGCATCTGCCTTCTCAGCGTATGGCGTGCTTTTTTATACACTTGCTTTGCTTTTAGTGTTAATCCATATGACAGAATTTTGATGCCGCTTCTAGCGATCTGCGGCCAAAGAGTGGTGCATGATTTACGTCGGACGCCACCAATGTCGTGCTCTACTCGAGATCTGAGCCAGGTGATCAACCAGCAACTCGGGGCGTTCCCATCCCGGTATAAGGTTTCTGTTGGGGGAGTATCCATGATTCTGGAAGGCAGTTCAGAGGTGGAAAGAAAAAGAGGTTCGCGTGTCGATGAAATTGGCATCGCAATAGAAGATAGTGGTGAACCCCGGCCAGACGATGGTGCATGGTTCTCGTGAAGGCACTTTGCCTTGAATTTCGCTGGATAGGAACCGGTAAGTCCTTTGTGACGACTGTGCAACACCCTAGTTAGCCAGCTCATGCAACAGATTTGGGCGTATTAGCGTCGGTTCAAACGGCTGCTCAACAGCTTATCGATATATCGGTGTTTCCCGTGATAAAACTCTAGGTGATTTCGTTATGGCGCAAGTGTACCTCCGTCATTCTTGGGATGAGCCAACGTTACATGCAGATCGTCATGCGCTTCGCATCGAACGTCACTCACCCTCATGTATGCGGGAAGGAATCTGTTGAAATTCGATGTTACTATGGGCACTGTCATGGAGTAACTGTCTATGTATTCTTTAGTTATTGTAGTTGTGAATGCAATCTAAAAAGTTCGATTGAACAACAGGTATTCGGGCTGGCGGTGACCGACACCCCTATTCGTCGGTGACGTCACAAGAATGCGGACGTTCACACGAGGACGCACTCGCAAATTTGGGGTCGTTCTTGATATATAACTGGTTCTCATTCGATGCTCAATCGTGTGTCTGTTCACACGGCAATTACTGCGCAAAAACGGCCATAACGGCCGCCCGCTAGTCCCTCGTACTCCCCTCCTACGACTGACCAGTAACCCACCCATAGCATCCTGTGTGGCGACGGATGAGGCACGGAATCTACATGTTTATCAATTTAGAAAATGGAATGGTAATGGACATGTCCGGTATCAACCCTGTAGGTGAGTTTGGGTACCATAGACTGTATGCTGTCTGCTCGTCGACTGACTAACGATTCAGCGAATTGGCCTACTGGATCGCGTACCCAAGAAGTCAGCTCTTTGCACCACTACATGTTATCGAGTTTTGTTTGACCCACCATTGTGGCACCGTACAGTGGGAGATTGAACCATTGGGGCATGGTTATACCATTCGCAACGTCGGGACTGGCACCTATTTGTCTGTCGTGGCAATCGAAAACGCCGCACCTATCTTTGCTACTCATTTCCCCGTTGCGTGGTATTTCAGGCGGGTATACGTTCAGGAAGAAGTCGACCCTTGCTACGAGTGAGTGCAGATGTTTCCTCACGGTCCTCGTGTTCTCCAGTTTAGTGGCACGTGTTCCTCCGACACGCACGCGCAGAATATGTTGGCCGCATACGCCGTTCAAGTTTGAGCTTGCACTTGCGGATACAGCAGCCGAAGAGAGACGAAGAAGGGTGAGGTAGCGCATTCTTTCTTCACTTCTGAGAGACAAACGTTTGAGATGAGGCGTGTGCCATCAGGCCATGGACTACGAAGCACTGAGGTTGTACAAGCAACGTTGCAGAAGATGGAGAGTCGTACTTCGTGCCACGTTCAGGGAAGAATCTATGACCCGAAGATGTAGGGAAACGAGGATTAGACTCGGAGATCGGGAACCGGCGAGGGCATGTCGACCGGCCTGTCCACCTGTCACACGCCCTGCTGCTCCAAGAAGAAAAGAGGCAGAAGGAGTACCAGTCTACGTGGTAGCGCCCTCATCGACCACAGAGCCGGGTGAACCCGCTGTTCCGCGCGATACTGCGCTAGCGGGGATCCCCGCCACCACGACCGGTCATCCCTCAGTGACTGAGCTCGAGTATGGATCCATGGAACGCGGGACTACTGTGCCCACAGAACCCCAAGGTGCTTCACCAAGTGTAACTGCCTACACTCCCACTGTTGGGCCATCAGGAATTGAGACGGACGGCCGGTCATTGCGACGTCGGCCCACGCTTGGACGTCGTTTGCGCAAATTCCTGCGGGTGTAAAAGCAGATGCGGGTGGTGTATAGTCTGGGTAAAAAGGTTGCCAGGATCGGTTGATATTGCTTGTCGTATGTTGCGTCTCACAGTACTCACGAGAGTTTGCACTCGGCCTTTTTCGCGTATCTGTTCGAATCCAAGTGGCTATCCACCTACCTTGATTACTCCTGTTATAATTAGGAAGCGGTGATGACCACAAGCGCTTTTACATCAATGGACGGCGTTCGAACACTTGTGCTAAATGGGTTACTACAAACACACGAGGGATGCTAGAAACACACTGGACATTGGATATTTGCTGATGAGGGAAGCGGAGTATTATAATCATGATATTCCTCTCCCAAAAATGTTGTATGCGGCTAGCCCACATGAGAACGAGTAACAGGCATCTAAAACACGCTACCCTCTGGCGGTTGGGGAAGCTTTCGATTGTTGAACGAAGCCATTTCTCTGCAGGTGTGCCCATCAAAGGCCAAGATCATAACGAGGGTATGTGTTGTACGCACCGTCGAATGCTGACCAGAACGGTCTCGATGCTGTTGTCTCGGTTCCATTTGGCGAGGACGGTTAATTTCGACTGTTCTACTTTGCCGTCTGCTTGACTGACGAACGGAAGGTTCACTCGTGAGATGAACTGCACAGTGGGAGGCTCGTCTGGATAAGATATGCCACAGTGGATCTTGAGACTGTAGATGCGGTTCTCGTGCACTGTCTATCGTAGGATCAACATGCAATCGTGTCGTGGGGGTCCAATAAGATGGAAGAGGACAATCGCTCACATGTCCAGGACCGATGATAGTGCCGTTCCAGTTGCTCATCATGATGTCGTCTCCATCTTCTAAGCCGTAAGAACATGATCCATCGCCGATACCCTTTTCGCCCTTCTCAAGCTCCTCAAGGAGTCTGAAATTGCGTGGAACTAGACGTTGACGCTGTCAGCAAGGCCGCAGCGAAGAAAGGAGCGAATCGTACTCTTGGCCATGGTATGAATGGAAGGGAAAGAAAGGGCAAAATGAAATGAAAGGGTACCCCAAGTGCTTGCAACGACAGCCGCTGTGGCAAACCCAATTGGGTGCTCAGGCTGACATGCCCAGATATATCGACGACACCGCCTCCGCAGTCCATCTTGTCGTCGATCACATCGTCGGCATCGACACTAGCACGACGACGCCTAGTGACACCCCTGCATAATGTTCAGAGGTGGCCAGCCAAATCCACTTGACGATCTCGTCAGTAAGTATCTACTCTTGATCCAACTGCGTCGGTTGGCATCTCAAACTGTGGCTTGCACAGCTAAAGCTACGGACGAAAACCTCACGGGAGAGGACTGGGAAACCATTCTCAACTTGTGCGACAAAGTGCAAGATGATGGCGAACAAGGGTACACTGAGTTCTCGTCCTGTTCGGTCCCTCGTCCTGACAGTCCACTCCCACAGTGCACAAAATGCAATCGCAGCCTTGCTGAAACGTCTCGCACACCGCTCTCCCAACGTGCAACTTTATGCACTTTCGCTTGCCGAGGCGCTTTCCAAGAACTGTGGCGTAGTCCTGCACCGCGAGCTCGCCTCGCGTGTATTCACACAGGGACTCGAACGACTCGTTACTGACCGGGTGAGTAGTGCGGTTGTCTGGGCGCACTGCGACGATCTGACACCGATGTTTCATACCCAAGACCACACATGACAAAGTGCGCCAGCGTGCACTTGGCCTTATCGCTATGTGGACTGCAGAGTTCGAGAATGATCCGTCATTGGGTATTATGGAGGAGTGCTATGCCAGTTTAGAAGCTAAGAGTGCGTTTATTGTTTGTCGTCATGCATGTGTTCTACCCTAATCGCGCTCCTTTCCGTTGTCCAGATTACAAATTTGAAACACCGAATGAACCCCCTCCCCCCGCTGTTGACGATGAGGTTCGTCGGCGAGAGGAAGAAGAACTCCAACGTGCTCTGGAAATGTCATTGAATGATCGGGGTGGTCGCAGTGGTTACACTGGTTCTGGTGTCGTATCTAGTGTAGCCGGGCCAAGCACTAGTACAGGCCGGACGCACCCGTCAGGTTATGTCCCAGCAAAGTCACCTCCCGCAGCAGCATCGTCCAATTCTTCTCTCCCTGCACAGACTTCACCTGCACCATCTGCAGCTCCTGCTGCATCAACACCGGTTGTGACGCGCGTCCGCGCACTACATACTTTTGAGGCAACGGAACCTGGGGAGCTTGCTTTCGAACGGGGCGACGTCATCCGTGTGGTTGACCGCGCTTACAGGGACTGGTGGCGTGGGCAGCTGCGCGGACGAACCGGTATCTTCCCAGTGAATTATGTGGTATGTAGATTTCCCTTTACGCCCTCTACCTGCTGCTGCATGATTGCTGACATTCAATTACCGTATAGGAACCTCTCCCCGAGCCTACTGCGGCCGAACTAGCTCGAGAAGCCGAACAAGAAGCCGCGATATTTGCACAAGCTGCAAATGTCGATCGGCTACTCATGTTGTTGCGCGATCTCGATTCTTCAGGTGAGCGACTGGCAGACAACGAGGAGATACAGGTACTATCTACTATTTCTTCCATCCTTTCGTGTGCTGACCAGTTTTATCATGTGATTTGACTGTAACGGTGCATGTCGGCATGGTAATTGCGTTACAACGGTTGATGTGAATGGAATGCTTCTTGATAGGAATTGTATCGGTCATGTATGTCGTTGCGACCCAAGATTGTGAAGTTGATCGACAAGTACAGCCAAAAGCGGGGTAAGTACTTTTGTTTCTTTATAGTAGACGTGATTTCAGTGGACATAGTGCTAACAACGATGATGGACGTTCCACAGCTGATCTAGTTGCAATGAACGAAGCCTTCGTCAAGGCCAGGACCGTGTTTGATCGGATGATGGAGGAAAGTTTGGCTCGACATGCAGCAGGCGAGTACCCCGACGTCCCACTAACCAAGCTCACCAATCTTTTATTGTAGCATACGAAAGTCCTGGGTATGGTTATCCTGCCCCCGTGCGGCACGAGTACGGGCCGCAGCCATACGGACACGGGTACGGACCTAGCCATCCTGAGGTGCCATTTTCTACTCCGCATGAGCTATCGGCCTTCGCCCAACCCTACAGTGGCTACCCCGCTCCTGCGCAGTCGCCATACCCACAACAGCAGATGCCCTACACCCCGGTACAGACTCTATATAACCAAGGTCAAGTGCCGACTCAGCAGCTCCCCGCCCAAGAACCTTTACAATCGCATGAGACACTGCCACAAGCGCAGGCTCAGCCCCAGCCAACGCAAGCGCAGTCCCAATCAGGGGCGGAGTCTCAGACGCAGACTGGAAGTTCTCCGCAATCTCAGGATGGCCCTCCATATGTCTACAATCCGAATGCCACATACGCCGATCCCAATGTCCAGGCGTGGGCACAGTACTATGCACAAGGTGGTAAAGACCTCGCTGGTGCTGTATACTTCGTCTCTGTGCCCGGGGTGACGGACACCACGGAAGGACCGGCGCCAGCAACAGAGCAAGTACAAGCCGTGCAAGGACAGGAACAATGGGGTGCTCCAGAGCAATATGGACCAACGGCTGGGGTCTCAATGACGTTGGGGTCTCAACAGCCTACTGGTCCCACAGGCGGTCCGTTGTCGCCGCAGAGCGCCCACCACGGCTGGCAACCGCCACAGCAGTCACCCTATGGCTACGTTCCTCCACAGACGCAACCGCAGTCTCCGCAACAGTATGCACCATCTGCAGGTATAAGCGGTTATGGTTCCTCGCCCAGTAGTGCAAGTGGGCATGCGCCACCTATGAATGGTACAGGTGGCCATCAGTCGCCTCTGCCGGGTGGCGGCTATGGGGGTGGATATGACTATGGAGTAGGAGCGCTTCAGCATCAGTTTGCTGATATGGGTGTTAGTAGGGTAGCACATCAGACACATGCGGCGTCTACTGAAGGATGAGCTAGGTCAACGTATGTTGTGTAGTAGGTGACCTGAATAAAAGGTGTACAGACTCTAGTTTACTTCACTGTTACTTCACTAAATGTATCTCTCTTTGGCCTACTCAGGAGAAACAGGATGCTACTATTTTTTCCAGGCAGGCAATTTATTCAACAAATACCTTATCAGCGACTCACTTGGCGGCCGACAAACCCATTGCCGGGAATAATAGAAAGAGCCTTTGCGTGTGACTTGCCATGCAATCAGGGAACTGGATAACCAGCTAAATTAAGGGTTTAAATGATGGTCGATGAGGCGCTGGCAGCTGATACGAGATACGACCGATCGATGTGACCACTTCACTCGGTGTTAAGAGCATTGCTACAACATTTGTTCTGCATTTGGCAGTAAGCCAAATGAATCTGCTTTTCAAAAACCATCATAATCGACATTAGAATCTTTACTGTAGTTGACTTCGCTTTCACTAGATTCTTCATCATCTGCTGATTTGCACCAAGCAATATCATGCTCCAAATGCATATTGATAACGCAGGATAGAGCATCCAGGAGATCCTGCATCGTGAAGTTTGGGAGATAAGAACATCAGAGTGGTGACTAAAGGAATGAATTTGCGTACCATGTATGGAGGTGCTTGAACCAAAAAAAAGTCACCCTCGTTCGCTCTGTGAGCGGGAACTGATCCACCTCGAAGGTACATTTACAGGGTGAGAACGAAAAGTTACACGTTCAAGGTCACCCCAGAGGCCACTCTTCACCTGTGGATCATGGAAAGCCCAGTTAAAGATACCTCGATTTCAAATTGTTGTACGTTGGGGAACACTCCGCACACCGTGACGACGGCGTCCTCAGTCGAAGAGTGGAGACAATGAATCTTGTTGAATGCCGGAAAGGAATCTCACCGAAGGCTAGGGTCGATTTGCGAAAATTGGAACTGAAACTGAAATCAAAATCAAAGTAAGAACTAGGATTGCATTCAACAGCATGTTTGGATTGCTGACGTCGAATGTGAGCGATCTCAGCAATGCTAAGTGAATGGACTGTGGTTCGAGTTGCCAGTGATCCATCTCCCCTGGAGCGTGAGTGCCGTGGCGAAAATATTTGAGGACTAATTGTTCAAGGACAGGGTTGTTGCCTGGCATAGGAAATTCAATGTGAACGCATCAGTCACTTTTGGATATTTACGCATTTGAGACAGGGAAAAGCTAGTCCGCTGAGATAAGCCGGCTCTGCCTTACATCTAAATCATGCAGATGTGGAGGTACGATTTTATTTTTGTCTATAGTGCAGTTGCCTGTTTTGAGTAGTCGACTTGGAATGCGTGGGTGGGCGCTCATTGAAGTGAGGTTGCTTCCCTTGCGCTACCACTGAGCCTGAGCTTTACTGCTAAATTCTTGCGGAAACCTGGTTGCAGCCTCCCTTTCTGTACCATTTCTACGTTATTTCTTCGCAGGCGAAGATCTCACTCAGCGGTTTCGTGCTTGGAATTTGCTACGGGTCCCGGTGAGTGTTTACGTGTGCACCGCCTGGCGAACTCATTATGTAGAAATAGCCGTGCATCTCCTCCAGCGGTTGCAACCAAGCAATGTCAGAATATGACAGGGAGGTCACTCGGTTGCGGGCAGCATTGAATCTTCGTCGTCCGGGAGATCATCATCGGTCTACGGTTATTCGAAACCTTTCTGGTGTCTTGGGGGACAGATATGCTCAATACGGTGCAGCGGCAGACTTAGAGGAGTCAATTGTCCTCGGCCGTGTGGCGCTGGAATTGCAACCGTTGGGACATCCAGAGCGGTCCAACTCACTGGATAATCTCGCAGTTCGCCTCCATAACCGGTTCCAGAGAGAAGGTATCGTTGGTGATTTAGAAGAAGCCATTTCATCTGGACGAGCTGCCTTGGAACTTCGACCGCCAGGGAATAGTGACCGACCCTTTTCTCTTCACAACCTTGCTACGTTTCTTTCGACACGGTATTCGAGAGGGGGTGGAATGGATTATTTGGAGGAGGCAATCACGCTCGGATGCTCGGGACTAGAGCTGCACCCACCTGGGCATCCTTTCCGGGCCTTCTCTCTTCTAAGTCAGTTGACTTACCTTCATACATGGTTTAGGGTAGAGGGCAGGATGTCAGACTTAGAGGAAGCGGTTGCACTCAGTTGAGCTGCTTTGGATCTTTGCCCACCTTCTGCTGCAACCTCTGCTCCAGATCTGATGCCACCAACTCTGTCTGCAGTTCTGTCTGCACCTCTGACAGACTCACCATTCTCTGCTCTGCTTGTCTCACTCATCAATGCTGCTGCATATGTCAGAGCCTGTGCTCTCCCTAGCTCTAGACAGTTCTGCTTACAGCTCTCCACTGATGATGTGAAGCTTCATGTGTCCTCTGCTTCCTCTCTGCCTCCTGACCTCTCCTTGGTCCCTCCTGAGTATCATGAGTTTGCTGATGTCTTTAGTAAAGACGAGGCCACCACACTGTTTGTTCAATCTCAAGATTGACCTTGAGGAAGGAGCTTCTCCACCCATTGGCATGATCTACTCTCTGTCTCCACCAGAGCTTGAAGCTCTCTGCACCTTCATTGATGAGCACCTTGGCTATGGTTTCATCAAGCAGTCCACCTCTGCTCATGGTGCCCCTGTCCTCTTTGTAAAGAAGAAGGATGGTTCACTCCACCTCTGCATAGACTATTGAGGACTCAATAAAATCATGAAAAAAGATTGCTATCTGCTGCTGCTCATCTCTGACCTACTCAACTCCCCAAGCCATGCTAAAGTCTATACCAAGATCGATCTCTGCCATGCCTATCATCTGGTCTGCATCACAGACAGAGATGAATGGAAAATGGCTTTCTGCACTTGCTATGGTTCTTATGAGTGGTGGGTAATGCCATTCGGTCTGACTAATGCACCTGTGGCTTTCCAGTGATTCATTAATAGCATCTTTGCAGACATGCTTGATGTCTGTGTCATGGTATACCTCAATGACATCCTAGTTTATTCACAGGATGTGGAGTTGCACCACAAACATGTAAAAGAGGTACTCTGCTGCCTTCGAAAGCATGGTCTTTATGTCAAGCTGGAGAAGTGCAAGTTTCACTCTGACTCCATCAAGTACCTTGGTTATGTTCTTTCTCCCTCCAGTCTCACCATGTCCACTGAGAAGGTTCAGGCAGTCTGCAACTGGCCTGAGCTGCGGAAGGTGCGAGACATCCAGTCTTTCCTTGGCTTTGCAAACTTCTACAGATGATTCATTAACAACTACTCCAACATCATTGTTCTGCTCACTTGCCTCATGCAAAAGGGGGTTCCTTGGAACTTTTCCAAGGAGTGTCACTCTGCCTTCCTCTGCCTGAAGGATGGCTTCAGCTCCACTCCTGTCCTCACACACTGGGTTCCTGATGCTCCACTCACAGTTGAAACCAACACCTCCAACTATGCCATTGCCAGCATTTTGTTGATCACCTGCTCTGATGGTGAACTCCACCCAGTCACTTTCTACTCCCACACCATGGCCACACCAGAACTCAACTACAATACCCATGACAAGGAGCTGTTGGCTATCTTCGAGGCTTTCTGCCATTGGTGGCATTACCTGGAAGGTTCTGCCTTACCTGTTGACATGGTGACAGACCACAAAAACCTTGAGTATTTCTCCACCTCTAAGGTCCTCACTCATTGACAGGCCCACTGGTCAGAGTACCTTTCACAGTTTAACCTTTCCATCCACTTCCAACTTCACTGCCTGGGAGCCAAACCTGATGCACTTACACAACATTGGGATGTCTACCCAAAAGGGGGGGATAGGGACTACATGCAGGTAAATCCTCACAATCTCTGCCCTGTGTTTACACAGGAGCAACTCATGTTGTCCCTCTGTACCACTACCCTCATGGCACCTGTGCTCCACACTGCCATGGTCTTTGATGTTGAGTGCTTGCACTCTGACATCATCTTTGCCCTACCATCCAACCCTGTCTCTGCCAGCCATCTTCCAACCCTGACTAAGCCTCAGTGGTCCCTGGACTCTGATGGTCTACTCTGCCTTGATGGTCACATCTTTTTCCCTGACATTGATGACCTCTGCCTTCAAGTGCTTCGGTTCAAGCATGACCATCCTCTAGCAGGCCATTTCAGGCAAAACCACACCCTGGCACTCATCTGCAGGGACTACATGTGGCCTAACCTCTGCTCCAACATGAAAGAATTTGTCAGGTCCTGCACCACCTGTGGATGGAGTAAAACTCCATGTCACTGCCCTTATGGCCTACTAAAGCAACTCCCTGTCCCAGAGAGACCTTGGAACTCCATCTCCATGGACTTCATCAAACACCTCCCCAACTCCGATGGCTACTCTGCCATACTCATGGTAGTGGACTGCCTCTCAAAGCAAGCAGTGTTTGTCCCCACCCACAACTCCATCACCTCTGCCAAACTTGCTAAGCTCTTCCTTACCCATGTCTTCTCCAAGCATGGAGTGCCAGCTAATGTCACCTCTGACAGAGGTCCTGAGTTTGTCTCACACTTCTTCCACTCTCTAGGAAAGGCCCTTGATATGCGTCTTCACTTCACTTTGGGTTACCACCCAGAAGGTGATGGCCAGACCAAGCAAACAAACCAGACCCTTGAGCAGTACCTTTGTGTCTACTGCAACTACCAACAAGAAAACTGGGCTGAGCTGTTACCTCTAGTGGAGTTTGCTTTCAACAACACACCAAGTGTGACTACTGGAGTCTCTCCCTTCTTCGCTAACAAGGGATACCACCCAAACCTGTCTGTGGTCCCTGACCAAGACTTCACCTCTCCAAGGGCTCATGACTATGTTGTTGAGCTCTCCACCCTTCATGACTTCCTCCACTTTGAAATGTCCGCCACTCAGCAGCACTACCAGGGTCCAGCAGATGCCAGATGCATACCTCTGCCTGGGTTTAAGGTTGGAGAACAGGCCTACATCAAAGCCAAGTACTTCTGCTCCACTCGTCCTTCAGAAAAACTCTCTGAAAAGTACTTAGGTCCATTCACCATCTTGGCCAGGCTGGGTATGCACTCCATCACCCTTATGCTCCCTGATTCTATGCACTTGGTACATCCAGTCTTCCATGTCTCACAACTGGAAGCCACAGTGGTTAACCCTTTCCCAAACTGACAACAACCTCCACCTCTGCTGGTAGACATCGATGGTGACCTTGAGTACGAGGTGTCAGAGATACTTGACTCCAAGGTGGACCACCATCACTGCCACTGTCAACTCTTGTATCTAGTCTGCTGGGCTGGTTACAAGAACACTGATGGGGAAACCTCTTGGTTGCTTGCAACTGAGCTGGACCACACTTCTGACATAGTCTCTGCTTTCCATGAATGCTATCTGCACAAACCTGGCCTGTGTCAACCTCCACCATAGTACTCTGCCCACATAACCCTCCTCTGTGGGTCAGCTCTGCCCCTTATCGGACTACCTTAAGTACTTTAGAATTTTCTCTGCTTATCTGTTTCACTTCTCAGAGTCACAAACAAGGTCACAGGTCTATTTCATAGTAGTACAAAGTATACAAACAAAAAAGAAAAAAAAAAAGTCTACTCTACTCTTCCATCACTTGCTCTCCACCACCCTCCTGTCATTCTCCACCTTCCAGCTCTCTTCCAACTTCTTCCTCTTCCTCATTGTCCCCCTCTGCACCTTTGTCCCTGTCCTCCAGCACCTCTGACTGAGGCCACTTCCATCCTCCTCCTGCACACTCAAGCTCAGCCATCCTGGCCTCACATGTGTCCTCCCTCCTCCTCATCTCCACCCATTCCACCCACTTGCAGTACAGCCCCCACTCATTGGCTGTCTGCTCCACAGCCTCTGCCATCTGCTCTGCTGCTCTTGCCATCCTCTCGAAGGCTGTTGTGGCCTTCTTGTGCACCTCCACATACCTCTCTGCAGCCTGCAGCTCCTGCTCCCACTCCCACTCCACCCACCAGGAAGGGGCCCCTGCTCCTGAGGGTCCCTCGTGCAGTGTCTCTGGCTCCTCCTTGTCCACACCACCTACCTCCTGCTCGTTGTCTGCTTCCTCTGTCTCTGTCTCTGTCGCTCTCTCCTTCCCCTTCCCTCACAACCTTTTCTTCTTCTCCCCTCAGGAACTTCCTGTCCCCACCCTCTTCCACGAGGGCCCTGCCACCATGTCCTCTTTCATCCAACTACACACCTTTTTCTTGTTTTGGCAGGGTACACAGGCCCTGGTCTTGCCTTGTCCCAGCTCACACTGCCCTGCTGTCAGACTTGCTACACAGCAAGAACAGGGGGGCTGACTGGTCATGGTGACCACCACAGAGGTCCCAGGGACCCTCTGGGTGGTGTTGACATCATACACTGCACTGCATAGTCTAATGAAGGTAGAACTGCAAGTCAGCTCTGCCTGACTCATAGTGCTCCACCACTCACCTTTGTGTGGCCTTGTCCCATCTGGCCTGGGCCCTCTCCTCAGAGGCCCTCTGCCTCTGCTTTTCTGCCTCCTTCTCTGCCTCCTTCTTCCTTTGGGCCTCCTCTTCCTCCTCTGCTCTCTTCCTCCACTCCACCTCCAACCTCTCCTCCTCTGCCTTCCACCTTTTGGCCTCCTCACACTTGGCCTTGCACTCTGCCTCATGCTCTCTCTCCCTCTGCTCGGTCTCCTCTCATCAGCACACCTTCTCCATGGACTTCTCCTGTTCAGTGTCAGTGGAGTCATTGGTAAGGATGACCAGTCCATTGTCTGTGACTTGGGAGTAGTCACAGACATGACTGGGGGTTGGCTGGGGGGTTTTGCTCTGGTGCTGGGAGGACATGATGATGTGGAGAAAGGACGAAGGTTCAGTACCCTAACACATGTTTTTAAGCAGTTCTTCAGACTCTGACAGAGCTCCACTGTGGCTAAAGCCATTATCCTCAAGGTGTCAAGGTGGTTTCAAATGATCAACTTGTGTTGATCTTGTCTCATACATGCAGCCTTCAGGGGTTCAGGCCCTAGGAGGGGGGCACTGTCATGGTCATGCATTCATCCTAAGTCCTCACTCACTCCACACCCCTTTCCACTGGTCATTCACTCACTAACACACCAACTCTGCCCAACTTCTGTCAGTTGTGAGCTGTCTCCACTCCAGCTGCTGTCAGAATTGCACTGCTCCCCTACTGGACTGAACAGACCATTCTCTGAGGAGTCATGTGACTACCTTCAGACTCCTCCCTGACAGCTCACAGTCAGGTACTCCACAGCACACGCACTGCATGGTCCAGCACCTGGACTGTTTCCTTTTCTGGATGTTCTATGTTACCTGTTCATATGCCCTCCATCTACCCTTCATTTGTCATCTAGGAAGTTTTACTTGAAAACTGCTGGGTCTCTGTATGTCAGTTCTGATTCCAGTTACTGTACCTCTGTGGTAGTATAAAAGCATGTATCATACTCCATTGTTCCTCAGTACAAATATCAACATAGTTCCTACTCCCTCTGTCTCCATCTTCTGCCTGTTGGAGTTACCTCTGACTGTCTGTCTGTACTCCCCCTCTGAAATACAAGGGCTGAGATCATGCAAGGGGGTAGTGCACGAGCTAAACCTGATGCCCTCACTTTGCTCTGCCCTTACCTCAGCAGATTTTGTTCCTGCCAACACTCCACCAGTCGGAGTTCTACTCTTTCCATTGGACTTGCTCCCAAACCTCTCCCCAGACCTCAGCAAGCATTGGAGTTGGTTGGAGTAGGCCCAGACTTGACACAGCTGGTGACAACTATGTGGGATAAAGCCTATTTCTCAAGTGCCCTCTGGCCAGAAAATGAACTAAAAGAAGGATTCTGGAAGTCACTTCTTGAGGCTGGAGCTTGTTGTGGAAGGTTTGACAACACCCCAGAATCAGCATGGGCAATTGTGGAGAGTCTAGGGGTTCAAAAAAAGGGGCTATTGTTCCAAAGGGAAATGGTGGACATGGGAATTGACCTATTGAAAACATCTGCATTCAAAGAAGTTGCTCATCTGCCCAAAATGTAACACAGTACTTGCAAAGAGACTATTGCTACACACCACCTAGACATCTGCACTTTTGCCAAGAATTCTTGATTTTACAGAAGTTTTACATGAGTGCTCAAGAGCTGAAAAAATTGTTTGGACTGCTGCATGAGGGGCCCTATTATGTGGCTGATAACACCCAGCTAATTTTTGAGGGCACAAATGAATAGAGTTGGGCATGGAGAGGACTGAATCAACTTCTATGGAGAATTAATGGCTCAAGCAGATGCCTAATTCTGAGTGTATTCAGCCTATCATAAGTACAGAATTTAGAAGACTATCTGACAGTCATGTAAGCTGGGAAAAACTGCTAGACTTGTTAAGCCTGTTTGTCTGCAGCTCAATGGCACAATTATCTCACCACTGCTGCTACTTACACTACAGTCAAAGTAGTGACCTCGCCTGCCAAGAAATCTACCAGGTAAGCAACAATGTGGCAAAAAGATGCAATCCTCTTGTATTGATTATGTGGTAGTTCCATCAACAGCAGTGCAATGAATGGCTGTTCCAGCCACTGCTCATAGCCTGCATCGTTTTCCTCCAACAAGCTTGAATGCCAAGGATGAACTAAAATATATGGGAGCTTTACCCTCAACCACTCAGATCCATCCTTGAGCATTTCCAATAATGTAAGTTCCAGAGGCTTCAACCTGGCCAATTGAATCTGGTAGGAATAATGTGCAGTGTGAGAATCCACTTGCATCAATTTCACCAGTTTTATGCGACGAACAACACACGGTAATTTGAGTGTCTGATTGTAGAATTGTGGCAAGGTCAAGTTGGACAGAGAACGATACTTCTTGCATGCAGCTCTTTTGGTCATGCATTTCCACACCTTCAACAATGGCCATGATGTAGGCTTTTCCAGAAATGGCTGTGGCAGGAAGGACGCCACATATGAGGTGATGCTTGCTGGGAGACAGCTATGGAACGATGAAGGCTTTCCAACCCAATCCAAGATGGAGATGTCCCAGGACTGCAAGATTATTTCTGCCAGGAGACATCCAAGGGCTATCTCAGCAGATTCTCCATAATGTATAGGCAAATGGAGCCCAAAAATTCCAAACAGTGTGTATGCCATGTCCTCAGGTAGGGTTGTGCAACATGCCAACACCCACTGCAGCCATAATTGGGCCTCGTCGATGCCTGGATGAAAATCAGTGAGGTAGCACAATGCTATCCCTGTCGCCTTCTCCAGTTCATAGAGGAAAGTCAAATCCGTTTTATGGTTAGATGACTTGTGGCCCACATAAGGCGACCAATCTTTCATGTAGAACAGTATGGTGCAGGGTGCCAGTAACTCTAAGAGTGTCCAACTTCTCCTTAGCCAAGTACTGTGACAGAGTGAACCAGGTTCAGCAACATCTGATAGATAGACCAATGTCAAAGCAGACCACCAGTACCATGAAAACATCAACTTGATCATCTCCTGTAGTTCCATGATGTTGTCCCTGTCAATACAACATGTGTCGCTCCACACCCACAAGTAGCCTTGCTGCAAAATGACAGTGCAAAATGCTTGGAGCTTTGACAGACCATCTCCCCCAGCTAGGTTGTAAACAGAGTGACCTTCGATGTCATGCAATGATGACTTGCTTTTACCCCATATGTGTGAAAGCATAACACACTGGAAGTGGGCATGGATCGCTGAACGAATGCAGCTAATTTGCTGATAAGAACCATATCTTGCAGCAGACAACAATAGTTCTTCATATTGACAGCTGCTCTTGAAGCTTGATAGTTGTGCATCCCAGTCACAGAGCATGCCAGTGCATACATTCAGGAGTCACTTCAGAATCATTTTGAGACATTCAAATGTGACTTCCATGATTGTTCACCCACCCTGAGGACCTAAATATGGACACATCCCCACCCATTGCTTCCTCGTCTTTGCTTGGATGAAGCGTGCCAGGCAAGAGAGAGAAATCACATAGTCAGGAGATCCTGGAAGGCAAAGATCCAGTGCTGATTGTTCAAGTGCAATGGCATCGTCTAAGTTGGCCACAGTACCCTGCTTTGTGAACCTGCAGTTAAGACACACCGCAAGTCCATGCAACATAGAAGGTTGATCTGGATGTCCTTGGGGACGTAACTCCAAAGCCACTCGAAGCAATGTAACAGCCTCATTGATATTGGCACTCATATTCTGCTTCTGGTACCTGTCACAAAGGCAAAGTGCAAGGGTATGAAGGCAGGAAGGCCGAGTAGGATGGTCTGGTGAACAGAGTCCCAATGCCACTCGGCCATGCAGTGTTGCCTCTTCTAAATCACCGTTTGTATCCCTGCACCAGTTCCTCAGAAAAAGTGTCAGAGTCTGGAGTGACTCAGCACGTCTGAGGTGCCTGGGTGGATGAAGTACAAGTGCAGCCTTCTCAACAGCGATTGCTTCCTCCAACACAGCATTTGGTCTTTTGGACCTTTCACTGAGGCAGAGCGCCAATTCATGGAGTAAGGAGGAACGTGTGGGGCAATCTGATGGGCACAGTTCTGCAGCCTCCTTACACAGTGCAATGCCCTCATCAAGATCACTGATTGTGCCTTGCTTGCGGAACCTCTTCCTAAGACAAGTCGACAGACTCTCAACAGCTACAGTATGATCTGGATATCCCCATGGGCACAGATCCAGGATGAGGTGTCCATGTGTGATCACATTATCCAATTCAGTGCTTGTGTCATGTTTCTGAAACCAATCTTGGATGCTCAATGTGAGGCTGTTCCACAGTGCAACAGAGTCAGGGTGTCCCACTGGGCAGAGTTCCACTACTGCTTGTCGCAGCATAACTGCCTCCTTCAAGTCGGAGAGAACTGACTGTCATTGGAAACTCTGCCAATGACAGCTCACAAGAGTGTTGAGACAGAATGGCCGATAGAGATGACCTGGCAAGGTGAGCTCTGGCGCAGTTCTTGAAAGCGTCATGGCCTCATCTAATTTGGCTAGAATGCCTTCTTGTCGGAATTTGTCATAGAAGCAATTTGCGAGCAGACCAAGGTATACTGGGTGCAGAGGACACTTCGGTGAACTGAGCTCCAGTGCATCTTGTACAAGCTTTATGGCCCTTTCCAAATCAACCATTGAACTTCGCTGTTTGGATCTATACCAAACCACTTTTGCAAGGGTGCAAAGAACTAGTGGTCTCTCTGGACAGTCCAGTAGAGTGAGTTGCAGAGCAGCTTCCCCAAGAGCAACAGCTTCCTCTCCTTCTGCATCAGCCACTTCTCCCTGGACCCTGTATGATTCGCTGAGACAGTGTGACAGCATACAGAGAACATGCAGCTGGTCAGGGCTTTGCTCCAAGGTCAAGGCCAACGCTGCTCGGGCTTTGCTGCTAGCATTATGCAGATCAGTGATTTCACCCAGCTTCTTAAACCTGCTATAAAGACAGCTTGCAAGGATATGAAGGTTAAATGCATGCAACCAATGCTGTAGCAGAGTCATTTCCAATCCAGTGCATGAGAGGGTAATAGCTGCATCTGAGTCTGATATTTTGCCCAAACTCATAAACTGACCATCAAGGATCAATGTGAAATTGCAGAGAGTGGAAGGGTGGCAGAAATGGCCAGGTGACAAAGGTGCCTGGGGTGTCGGCATTCCCTGTAACAATGGTTTGAATGATATACTGCCCAGTACCCAGTCAATCGACAGATTGAAGCAGGTGAGCCAGTTGTGTCCTAATACCAGCAAACAAGAAGAATCCAACAGAGTGACATAAAATGAAACAGAGTTGACATCGCCGGAAGGAAAGCAGTGTGAGTCAAAGTGTGGTTCAGTGGTGAAAACCAACCAAAACCAACACAAAAGACAATGAAAGCGAGTGGTGGTGTGCCTATGTGGTACCTAGATGGTAGAACCTGTTCTTTGGGAGGGTTTTTGCAAGCTACAACACTCAAAGATGAGTGCTGAGGGTTGGGGGTGCTCCTGATGAAGAGGGAGCAAGAATGTGATAGAAAGTGATAGGGTAGACTGCTGTCAGCCTACAGAAGGATGGATGGTGACTTAATTCAATGTCCTAAGCTGTACTGAGCTCAGGGAGGGCTTGGAGCAAAGTATATGGATGATAGATGATGATAAGCGAAGTAGATGATAGCTAGACCCTTAATAAGGTCTCAACTATTGAAGCTGATGAATGATTTACTGAGAGATGATAAATTGCGAGCAAGAGGGGCTCTCTGATGTCTTTTTTTTTTGCTACCTAAGTACAGTGACTTATATACAGTACAGGGGCATTGCCTATGGAAAACAAGGTGCAAACACCTGGTAAGTGATTGGTAACTGATGAGTAAGGAATGTAAGCGATGGGTAATCATCTTGGAAAGCATTGGTAAGCATTGGTAAGGATAAGTAAGCCAAAAAGCAAAGAATCAGTAAGCAAAGTCAAAAGATTGGTAAGTATTTGCAATAGGTGAGTCAAAGACAGTCAGAATGTCACAGTATGAGTCAAGCAATGTCAGGTACTGGGAAAGTGCACTGGAATCACATCAGGGGGAGGCTGTGCATGTCACATCTCGAAGAGATCGCTTCTAGGCCAAAGTGGGATGACAGAGAGGCAGTGCTGATCTGATGCCAATATAGTACATCCAAAAGTGGACAGGGTGAGTCAGATGTCAACAGGGGTCAAGCTTTGGGGGTCTGTGGGGTGACAGGAGCATAGGGGATCACAACTTTCCCCCCCAAACCATCCTCTCAGTGAAGCAAATAAAAACTTCATGAATGAGGCTCTGTTGGAAGAGAGGATGAAGGGGGAGTGTCTTCTGCTGTATCTTGCAACAAGGAGGCAAGATGTGCATCATACTCATCATGGATGCGATCAGGGAGAGTGGAGAACAGTAGATCATACTGTAGCTGTCACAATTTTGGAAGAATGACGGACAAGACTGGTATGAAGACATTGCAGGGGGCAGGGAGGAAGGATCCATATGCTTCTTGGACCGGAGAGACTGAAACAACCACATAAGACCTTTCCAAGCGAATGACAGACCTGAGGTGACCAAAGAACATCCTCCTGGAGGTCATACTGACAAAAAGAACACACTGTCCAAGCTGGATGGGCTGAGAGGGCACAGATGAGGGTGGGATGTACCAGGATGCTTCAGGACAGAAGCTGGTAGGAACTCCTGGTAGATATATGTAGCCATGGTCCCTAGCAAAGGGGACAAGCGAAATGACTGATGTGGAGGCAGCCATATCAGAAGAATTAGTGAAATGAGCATCTTTTGGAGGGAGTGCTGTAGAAATGTGTGGAGTGTGCAAATCCTTTCCAATCTTGGAAGGTAGGATTGCGTGGCTGAGCACTACAAGCGAGTGTGGGAATGGTTTCGGTGTCTGCAGAACTGGTGGAGATATGTCAAAAACCGGAATGCCGTACATGGGCGCTTAAGAATTTTATTGGCACTTAACCTGCCTCCTCCTTTTTCTTTGGCATCGACAACTTGTTCTTGTGCGAGGGATGACTGCCGACATTGCTGGCTGTCCTTCTTTGCATGAGGGCTATGGTCTTCACCTCCATTCATCAGCTACATCCATGTCCACCTCACCAAACACCTTTGGTGTGTGACAGTGGAGGGATAGATCTACCTTTTGGGAAATGACAGCATTTGTACTACCATCAAACAAGTGGAGCAGAACTGGTGGGGAAATGGAGGAAACAGGGATAGCATATTTTTTGATTATGGACAGGTCTACAAAACAATGAGAAGAGCCAGAGTCAATCAATGCAGAAACAGCATCAACAGAGTAACCAAGAAGAGTTACAGATGGAAGTAAGGAACCGGGACTAGAGAGAGTGGATGCATTGAGTTGGATGTCTGGTTGCACACAGTTGGGATCAATGCTTCCTCCAGGCTGTGTGAGCTCCCTGGAGGAGCAGACTAATTTTTTGGCTCTGCCTTCTCCACAGGTGGAGGAGGTGGAGTCCCAGCTGTAGCTGCATGGGCTTTGGCTGTGTCAGAGGTAGACCTGGGACAGTCCTTAGTGGAGTGGCCAGCCTCTCCACAGAAGAGGCAGAGGTTGTTCTTCATCCTACACTGGCATTCAGCAGAGGTGAGTTTGCCATCCTTGCCCAGAAGATGGGCATTATCAGACTTGGATGTGTCAGACTTGGGCAGATCCTTTTGCTTGCCCTTGCCCTTGGCATTGGACTTTGGAGCAGAGGCAGAGAACAACGATTTAGACTTGTTGTTGGAGCTGGAAGGCTGCAACCTGTTGGTGGTGGACTTGGTGGTGCATGAGATCTCTGCTTTACACTCCCAGTAGTGCGCATTGATGGTCTGAGCAAGTTTGCAGAGTTGTGCGAGGGTAGAAGGTTTTCCTACACAAGTGATTTCATCCTTGATGCAGTCTGGAAGTCTGCTATAAAAGTGGTGGCAGAGTGCACTGACACTGTAGTCCTTGACCTGTGAAGCCCAGTGATTGAATTCCATGACATATTTGGTAATTCAAGAGCCATCCTTCATAGTAAGGATCTTGAGTTGTTGGACTGCATCCACTATGGCATCATGTGGACTGAAATTAGTTGTGAGCTCTTGTAAGAACTTGTGATAGTCATCCATCCAGAGCAGGTGGTCATAATTGTTGGGGTTTAGTAGGTCTGGCTTGAACCAAGCCAGGGCCATACCCTTAAGATAAGACTGAGTGAAGGTAACCTTCGCTCTGTCAGAGCAGAATGTGCAGGGGCAGTCCTGGAAGCTCAGCTCACATTGTATGAGGAACTTGCAGAGTTTCTTAGGGTCAGAGCTGTTGAAAGTGTCAGGCTCATGGACTTGGGTTTTCAGAGCAGAGTCCCCAGTGCATGAACTAGACCTCACAAGCGCATGGACAGCTCTAGCAAGAGCCACAAGGGGATCCTCCAGCGGCTCAGCCAGGTCTTCAGGGATATCCCTGTCACCACTGCCCCCACTGTCAGGATCACCATCAGGGTCATCAGGGTCAGGTCCATCATCTTGGTTTTGAGGAGATGGAGTATGGAAAGTGGTTGGATGGAGGTCAGAGTGACCAGCCTGCAAAGTGCTTTCACCTTTGGCACGAGAACAGTGTCAAGCGGAGAATGACTGGAACTGTTCAATGACAGAAGGGAATTGATGTGGATTAGCTAGAGCAACAGCAAGGTTCTCAGCAACCTCTCTTTGGGACTGAGCTCAAGTTCTCATAATGGTGTAAGTTTTTCGGAAGACAGAAAATGAGATCATACAAGTGTGAGTATGAATATACTGTCAAGTCCAGGCCTACTCTGACCAACTCCGACACTTGTTGAGGTCTGGGAAGAGGTTCAGGAGCAAGTCTGATGGAAAGAGTAGAACTCTGACTGGTGGAGTGTTGGCAGGAATGAAATCCACTGAGGTAAGGGCAGAGTGAAGTGAGGGTGTTGGGTTTAGCTTGTGTGCTGCCCCCTTGCATGATCTCAGCCCTTGCATTTCAGAGGGGGAGTACAGACAGACAGTCAGAGGTAACTCCAACAGGCAGAAGATGGAGACAGAGGGAGTAGGAACTATGTTGATATTTGTACTGAGGAACAATGGAGTATGATACATGCTTTTATACTACCATGGAGGTACAGTAACTGGAATCGGAACTGACATATGGAGACCCAGCAATTTTCAAGTAAAACTTCCTAGACAACAAATGAAGGGTAGATGGAGGGCATATGAATGGGTAACATAGAACATCCAGAAAAGGAAACAGTCCAGGCACTGGACCATGTGGTGCACATGCTGTGGAGTACCTGACTGTGAGCTGTCAGGGAGGAGTCTGAAGGTAGTCACATGACTCCTCAGAGAATGGTCCATTCAGTCCAGTAGGGGAGCAGTGCAATTCTGACAGCAGCTGGAGCAGAGACAGTGTGAGTCAAAGGGTGGTTCAGTGGAGAAAACCAACCAAAACCAACACAAAAGACAAAAAGAGCAAGTGGTGGTGTGCCTATGCAGTACCTAGATGGTAGAACCTGTTCTTTGGGAGGGTTTTTGCAAGCTACAACACTCAAAGACAAGTGCTGAGGGTTGGGGGTGCTCCTGATGAAGAAGGAGCAGGAATGTGAGAGAATGCAATAGGGTAGACTGCTGTCAGCCTACAGAAGGATGGATGACAACTTAATTCAATGTCCTAAGCTGCACTGAGCTCAGGGAGGGCTTGGAGCAAAGTATATTGATGATAGACAAGGATAAGCAAAGTAGATGATAGTGAGACCCTTAATAAAGTCTCAACTATCAAAGCTGCTGAATGAATTACTGAGTGATGATAAAATGTGAGCAAGAGGGGCTCTCTGATGTCTTTTTTTTTTTTTTGCTATCTAAGTACAGTGATTTATATACAGTACAGGGGTGTTGCCTATGGAAAACAAGGTGCAAACACTTGGTAAGCGATTGGTAACTGATGAGTAAGGAATGTAAGCGATGGGTAATCGTCTTGGAAAGCATTGGTAAGCATTGGTAAGGATTAGCAAGCCAAAAAGCAAAGAATCAGTAAGCAAAGTCAAAAGATTGGTAAGTATTGGCAATAGGTGAGTCAAAGACAGTCAGAACATCAAAGTATGAGTCAAGTAATGTCAGGAACTGGGAAAGTGCACTGGAATTGCATTAGGGGGAGGCTGTGCATGTCACATCTTGAAGAGATCACTTCTAGGCCAAGGTGGGATGACAGAGAGGCAGTGCTGATCTGATGCCAATATAGTACATCCAAAAGTGGACAGGATGAGTCAGATGTCAACAGGGGTCAAGCTTTGGGGGTCTGTGGGGTGACAGGAGCATAGGGGATCACAACTTTCCCCCCCAAACCATCCTCTCAGTGAAGCAAATAAAAACTTCATGAATGAGGCTCTGTTGGAAGAGAGGATGAAGGGGGAGTGTCTTCTGCTGTATCTTGCAACAAGGAGGCAAGATGTGCATCATACTTGTCATGGATGTGATCAGGGAGAGTGGGGAACAGTAGATTATACTGTAGCTGTCACAATCTTGGAAGAATGATGGATGAGACTGGTATGAAGACATTGCAGGGAGCAGGGAGGAAGGATCCATATGCTTCTTGGACTGGAGAGACTGAAACAACCACATAAGACCTTTCCAAGTGAATGACAGACCTGAGGTGACCAAAGAATGTCCTCCTAGAGGTCATACTGACAAAAAGAACACACTGTCCAAGCTGGATGGGCTGAGAGGGCACAGATGAGGGTGGGATGTACCAGGATGCTTCAGGACAGAAGCTGGTAGGAACTCCTGGTAGATATATGTAGCCATGGTCCCTAGCAAAGGGGACAAGTGAAATGATTGATGTAGAGGCAGCCATATCAGAAGAATTTTAGTGAAATGAGCATCTTTTGGAGGGAGTGCTAGAAACATGTGGAGTGTGCAAATCCTTTCCAATTTTGGAAGGTAAGATTGTGTGGCTGAGCACTACAAGCAAGTGTGGGAATGGTCTTAGTATCTGCAGAAATGGTGGAGATATGTCAAAAACTGGAATGCTGTACATGGGTGCTTAAGAATTTTAGCCAGTGCTTAACTCACTCCCTTTCTTTTTCTCTGGCACTGATGACTTGTTCTTGTGTGAGGGATGACTGCCAACACTCCTGGCTGTCCTTCTTTGCATGAGGGCTATGGTCTTCATCTCCATTCATCAGCTGTATCCATGTCCACCTCACCAAACACCTTTGGCATGTGACAATGGCTTGCAACTGACAGAAGTTGGGTGGAGTTGGTGTGTTAGTGAGTGAATGACCAGCAGAAAGGGGTGTGGAGTGAGTGAGGACTTAGGATGAATGCATGACCATGACAAGCTGCACTTGATCAATTGCCTCCCTCCCACACATATTGGCTAACACTCTGAGGTTGCCTTCTTCAGTGGCAGTCCTCCTGGCCATTATATAAGGGGTGTAGATCACACCTGTAAGCCTCACAGACTTCTGATATCTGTTCAGGCACAAGTTCAGCCTCAGGTTGCTATAGATGAGCTGACTCACATGAAACCTAACTGAATTAATATGTCTTTATACCTGAGGGGTTCAAACCCTGGTGTGTCTATAAAGACAGAGTGCTTTCCCTTTTGGATGCAAGCAAAGGCACTGACAGTTCCCTTGCAGGCAACTGCATCTACACTTGATTGTGGTGGTATTCCAATAAGTTTGTTGATGATCTGAACTTGATTCATGAGTGATTGTCTAATGTCAGCACTTTGTTATCAACTCACATTGCTCTTTCCTGAACCTGAGGCACCCAGGACACTGATGAAAAGTAATATTAGTATAGTGGATGTATAAAAGACCAGAAGATGGTACATACACAATTACTGCATCATTGGCCATGAGATCATTGACTGATATCTGTGACAGTCTGCTCTATGTAAGCATTAGTAGATATGTAGCATTTCACAATTAATCAGAACACACCTGTCTGGACAATGGGCCCCTGATGTTAAGGTTAATCTTATCTCAGCAAGGCAGAAAGATTTGTTGAAACTCGACTGCCGGTGACTTCTGGTTCCAGCTTACTGCTGGGCAGCAGTAAAAGAATCTGGAATAGTTGGGACCAAACCGCTCCATGGTAACGGTTATAGGGCCTGAGGCTTTCCCAACTTCACAGCATGCCAGCATCACAGAGAAGAGCTCTGAAGCACTGGAGCTGGAATCATGTTTCAGGGCTTGCCTGGGTAACCATATTTGAATGCCATGGTTAGTGACAGTGAATGTCTGGAAATGCCCTTCTGCAGACATCAACTTGCGTAGCTCCTTCTTTGGTAAGCATTTTTTAAGAGCACCTATGAAGTCACTGTGAACCATCTGGATTATATTCGAGCAATCCCGAAAGCAGGTAGGGTCGTCTGCCAGGAAACTGCTGGCCCACCCAGTATCCCTTGTCCAGCCCCAGGCAAATATGCTTTGGTCATTGGTCAGCCGAATAACTTCTAACTGCAGACGGAGAAATGCATTTTTTCCCTCCCCATACAACATTGGCATATGCACGCCAAACAACCCCATTAATGAATATGCCCGATCCTCCTCTCGGGTCGTCTTCCGGTCCGCAGCCCACGACATAACTTGCGCTACACTGGGACTGGTCCCGCCCAAACCTTTCTCCAAGACATCAACCGAAATTCGCGTGATGGTATTCAGAGCAGCTGCACAACTTTGTTTGTCGGCAATGAACACCCAGTTCCGGTTGAAAAAATGGACGTTTTCCGGAGCTATCAGTTCCTGGAGCGTCCACCCACGCGAGAACCACTTGGGCCAACCATTGGACTCGGAAAATTTTTTGTCATCGGGTTGAGCAGGAAGTGAAGGAGCATCTATGTCGTGGAGAAGTGCATAGCAGCGATCTGCATTTGCATGCCACGCGTACATAGAATTGAGGGCCTCCGACAATTCAGCACTACTTTGCTTGTCAATGCAGCAGGTGTCCACCCAAAGCCATTCCAGGTCATCATGAAGGGCCTGCCGGGAACTCTCTAATATTTTCTTGTACCCGAGGCGCTCCCGTATTTCGTCTAGGGCGGCAGCAGGCATGCTCGTGAGTCCCGCCATCTCCGTATATTGTACCTCTTCCGCAGGTTCTTCCCAGCAATGGGATAATATGGCATACTCTGTCTCTTCAAGCCTGGTGCCACTTATGTCCACGAGAAGCTTTGTCTCCGGGCCAGCTTTCCTTGCGTCAAAGTTGATGAAAGAATTGACGTCGATGAGACGCATAGTATCTAACGGCACATGAATAAATATGTCGCACAACGAACTGATCAACGTACGAGGCAAGAAAATAGACGAGAGATTGGACGGTCTATCCAGTAAAAAGTGTAATCAGAGCCACTCGCGGTGACAGATGGAGGACGGTGTGACGCTAGAAACCTGAGGCCTGAAGGCCTGATATAGATATTTTGATATCTATCACGTAGATGCTGGCAGGGGTATGTACTTTGGGTTGCCTGAGAGGCAGTTTTCGCAATACGAAATACAGAAATCGAAAGACGTTTACACCCTGTAACCACATAGCAAACACGACAGTCACTACTAGCTACACTACAGCCAATACTCTAACCTCGCTTTTCAAAACGGCCGTGGACCCCATGGGGCAAGCAATGATGTGACAAGATGATGCGATTCTCGTATACTCGTTGTGGGATCGTTCTGCCAGCAATAGCGCATTGAATGGCCGTTGTAACTGAGAGAGCCATTCATTACTGGTTCCAGACCCAAGCAAGCTTGAACACCAAGGGCGGATCAGAATATACGGCAGTTTTGTCTCCAATCGCTCCGACCCCTCCTGGAGTTTCGCTGACGATGTAATTTCCAGCGGTGTGAGTCCGACCGCCTGAATTTGGTACAGGTAGTACGCAGTAACAGGATCCACCTGCTTCAGTTGGACCAGCTTCACACGGTGAATGAGGCACGGTAAGATAAGCCTGCGAGTGAAGAACCGCGGGAGAGGTAAGTTGGAAAGAGCACGATACATCGAGCGACTACGCGCATGGGTCACGCGCGACCACATCCTCGGCACCAGAGTTTGTGACTCCACTTGGCTCGGAGGTGGGTGGGCGGGCGGCAACATGGCATACGAAGTGATACTTGCAGGGAAACAGCTGTGGAATGATGATGCCTCTCCAACCCAATCTAGGATAGAAATGTCTCCTGACTGCGAAATTATCTCTGCTAGGAGACGCCCAAGGGCGTTCTCCTCAGATTCGCCATAGAGTACAGGTAAATGGACCCCAAAAACTCCGAATAATGAATACGCAACGTCCTCCGGTCGGGTCGTGCGACGCCCTGATGCCCACTGCAGCTGTAGTCGGGCGACAGCCATACCAGGAGAGAAATCGGTGAGATATTGCGATGCTATCCCCGTCGCCTTCTCTAGTTCATCGAGGATAGCTGGATCGGTTTTATGATTAGACGACGTGCGACCCATGTAAGGCGACCAGTCTTCCGTGTAGAACAATATAGTGCGGGCCGCCAATAACTCTACAAGAGTCCAACCTCTCGTCGGCCAAATGCTGTAAGAGAGTGAACCAGATTTGGCAACATCGGAAAGATACACGATCGTCAAAGCTGATTTTCGGTACCATAAAAACACCGACCCAATTGTCGCCTGCATTTCCGTACTGATTGCCTTGTCAATACAACACGTGTCGCTCCATGCCCACAGGTAACCGTGTTCAAGGGCGGTGACACAAAATGCCTGAAGCTTCGCAAGACCGCCTCCTCCGGTCAAATTATAGATCAGACGACCTTCGATGTCGCGCAATAACGGCTCTCCTGGACCCCACTTGTGTGATAGGGTGACGTACTGGAAGTAGGAGGAGATCACGGAATAGATTTGGGAAATCTGCTCAGGGGTGTCATACCCCTCCAGGGACGACAACAATTCTTTATACTGAAGACTGCTTTCGAAAAGTGATAACTGCTGGTCTCGGTCACAGAGGACACCAGTGCGCACGTTCAGGAGTCGGAAGGGAATAGTTTCAAGAAATTCAAGAACAGCTTTCCTGATTAATTGCCATAAGTGGGAAGAACGCGAAAGCGGTGGCGCTTCTGCATGCGTAGTGGGATTTGTTTTCTTAATTTTTGCTTGGAGAAAGTTTGTGAGGCTGGAGCGAGACGCAGCGTGCTCGGCACTTCCTGGGTTTATGAGTTCCAGTGCAGATTGTTCAAGAGAGATGGCCTCGTCTAAGTCGGCCATCAAGCCTTGCTTTTGAAACCTATAGCTAAGGCAAAGCGCGAGTCCATGAAGCGTAGAAGGTCGATCTGGGTGCCCTGAGGGACGAATCTTCAAACCTTCTCGAAACAAGATGATAGCCTCTTCGATGTCATCGACCATATTCTGCCTCTCGTACCTATCGCACAAGCAAAGCGCAAGGGTATGGAGGCACGAAGACCGAGTAGGATGTCCCGGTGGACAAAGCTCCAATGCATGACGCCCAAGCGCGATTGCCTCGCCTAAAACTCCAGCCGCATCTTCGCACTCGTTCTTTGACTTATTCTTGAAGCAAAGCGCGAGCAGTTGAAGAGATTCGCCACGGCCAGGGTGCCCAGGCGGACGGAGCTCCAGTGCAACTTTCTCCGCAGCAATTGCCTCCTCCAGATCAGCGTTTGCTAGGGATTTTTGGGACCTTTCAGTCAAACAAAGCGCCAATTCATGAAGTAGCGAGGAGCGTTCAGGATGGTCTGAAGGGCAGAGATGCTCAAGTTCTTGACACAATACAATGCCTTCGTCAAGGTCACTGCTTGAGCCTTGTTTGCGGAACCTCTTCCTAAGACAGGGTGATAGATTCATGACAGCTGCAATGCGATCTGGATGTCCCGGTGGAGACAGGCCCAGCAAAATGCGTCCAAGTGTGACCGCCTTGTCCAGCTCGGTGCTCGTATCCTGCTTCCGAAACCAATCCTGGACGTATGTTGCGAGGTTATTCCGCGAGATAACAGAGGCTGGGTGCCCAGCTGGGCGGAGTTTCACAACTTCTTGACCATGTGTGATTGCTTCCTCCAAGTCTGCAAAAGCAGAGTGTAGCTGAAAATTGTGCCAACAGCAACTGGCAAGGATGTCGAGATAGGATGGCCGATAGGGATGACCTGGAGAGCTGAGTTCCAACGCGGTCCGTGCAAGTGCCGAGGCCTCGCTTAAGTCAGCGACAGCACCTTGCTCTCTAAACCTTTTGTGGAGACATTGTGCCAGAACGCCAAGATACACGGGGTGGAGGGGGCGTTTCGGTGAACTGAGCTGCAGCGCAGTTCGAGAAAGCTCCGTGGCTTTCGCGGAATCAGCCATGGAACCTTGCTCTTGAGAGTTGTGGGCAAGCGCTTCTGCGGCAGTGCAGAGGAATAGGGGACGATCAGGATGCCCCGGCTGGCTCAGCTCCAAAGCCATATTACTGAGAGAAATAGCTTCCACTCCGTCCGAAGCGGTTGCCTCTCCGGGTATCCTGGACACTGCACTAAGACAGCGAGAAAGCACGCTAAGGCAATGGGGATAGATAGCACTCTGCTGCAAAGTCAAAGCCAAAGCAGCTCGTGCTAGGCAGATGGCTTCATGCAAGTCAGCCACTTCACCCAGCTTTGTAAACCTGTCATAAAGGCAGACTGCAAGAGTGTAGAGATGGAAGGCCCGCGACGGATGGTACGGGGAAGTAACCTCCAATCCAGTCCGTGAAACGGTAACGGCTTCTTCCAAATCTGATATGTTACCTTCCTTCTCGAACCGATCGTCAAGAATCGATGCGATACCAGAGTGTGTGTGGGGACAGTCTGGATGGCCGGGCGGATAAAGTTTCAAGGCAGCTTTACAGAACGCAATCGCATCCTCCAAATCCGACATTCTACCCTCTAACCTAAACCGTGCCTGAAGGTACCTCGACTGGTTGAGAAGTGAAGAGGCCCGATGAGGATGCCCAGGTGAGCGCAGATCCAACCCTGCTTGTCCAAGTGTGATCGCTTCGTCCAAAAGTATCGTCTGACCCTCTCGTGAGTATCGTGTCATGAGCAGCTCAGCGAGATTATGAAGGGCGAAATCCCGACCGGCGTCTCCTGATGGTCGGAGTGCCAGTGCAGCTCTGCTAAGTGAGATGGCCTCTTCAGAATCATGAAGTACACCTCCTTTTTTGAACCGGTCATTAAGGCAACCCGCAAGAAGGATGAGTGAGTTGGGCCGTTGGGGGTGCCCTGGTGGACGGAGCTCCAACGCTGCTCGGCTAAGGGTGATAGATTCATCCAAGTCCACCTCTGCACCGTATTCAGCGAACTTATTCCGTCGGATACTGGAGAGGTCATGGAGGAACGTTGACCGGTTAGGATCTCCTGGAGGATGAAGATTCACTGCAGCCCGCAGTCGGGCGATCTCGTCGTCGAATGCTTCCATTCCCTGTACCTAACGACGAATATTTTCCACTTAATCAATTCACGAAAGTTTGAACTACTCACCAAGACCCGTAGTTCACTCGAAAGTCGCAATCCTTGGGGATCTCTCTTGGCAGTCGACGGACCGATAAGTGTCGAAATCGCACGGAATGGAAAACTGGGTCCAAGTTACCACCAGAAGCTTGCAATAAAAACCTCAACTCACATATGGAATGACAGTGGCAAAATGCATATAGATGTCAGCCTCGTATGATATCCCAAGCTTTGGGCAGGCGATGGACACATTCCCACGGCTGTTACTCATGCTCAAGACTCAGAGCTCCAAACTTGTGCGACCCAAGTGCAGGATGACGGCGAACAAGGGTTGTAACACTGAATTCTCGTCCTGTTCGGTCCCTCGTCCTGACAGTTTACTCCCACAGTGCACAAAATACGATCGCAGCCTTACTGAAACGTCTTGCACACCGCTTTTTACGCACTTCCGCTTGCTGCGGTGCTTTCCGAGAACTGCAGCATAGTCCTGCACCGCGAGCTCGCATTGCGCGTGTTCACACAGGGACTCGAACGAATCGTTACTGACTGGGTGAGTAATGCGATTGTCTTGGCGCACTGCGGCGATCTGACACCGATGTTTCTTACCCATGACCGCGCATGACAAAGTGCACAAGCGTGCACTTGGCCCTCTCGCCATGTGGACTGCAGAGTTTGAGAATGATCCTTCATTAGGTATTATGGAGAAGTGCTATGCCAGATTAGAAGCTAACAGTGCGTTTATTGTTTGTCGGCATGCATACGTTCTACCCTAATCGCGCTCCTTTTCGTTGTTCAGACTACAAATTTGAAACACCGAATGAACCTCTCCCCCCGCTGTTGACGATGAGGTTCGTCTGCGAGAGGAAGAGGAACTCCAACGTGCTCTGGAAATGTAATTGAATGATCGGGGTGGTCGCAATGGTTACACTGGTTCTGGTGTTGTGTCTAGTGCAGGCCGGACGTACCCGTCAGGATACGTCCCAGCAAAGTCACCTCCCGCAGCAGTGTCTTCCAATTCTTCTCTCCCTGCACAGACTTCACTTGCACCATCTGCAGCTCCTGCTGCCTCAACACCGGTTGTGACACGCGTCCGCGCACCACATACTTTCGAGGCAACAGAACCTGGGGAACTTGATTTCGAACGGGGCGACGTCATCCGTGTGGCTGACCGCGCTTACAAAGACTGGTGGCGTGGACAGCTGCGCGGACGAACCGGTATCTTCCCGGTGAATTATGTGGTATGTAGATTTCCCTTTATGCCTCTACTTGCTGCATGGTTTCTGACATTCAATTACCGTATAGGACCTCTCCCCGAGCTTACTGCGGCCGAACTAGCTCGAGAAGCCGAACAAGAAGCCGCGATATTTGCACAAGCTGCAAATGTCGATCGGCTACTCATGTTGTTGCGCGATCTCGATTCCTCAGGTGAGCGACTGGCAGACAAGGAGATCCAGGTACTATTTAGTATGTCTTCCATTCTTTCGTGTGCTGACCAGTTTTATCATCTGATTTTACCGCAACGGTGCATGTCGGCATGGTAATTGCGTTACTTTTCGTTCATGCCGTCGACGGTTGACGATAATGGGTGGCGATGTCCGTGGTGAATGGAATATTTCTTGATAGGGATTGTACCAGTCATGTATGTCGTTACGACCTAAGATTGTGAAGTTGATCGACAAGTACAGCCAAAAGCGGGGTAAATACTTTTGTTTCTTTATACTAGACGTGATTTCAGTGGACATAATGCTAACAACGATGTTGGGCGTTCTGCAGCTGATTTAGTTGCAATGAACGAAGCCTTCGTTAAGGCCAGGACCGTGTTTGATCGGATGATGGAGGAAAGTTTGGCTCGACATGCAGCAGGCGAGTACCCCGACGTCCCACTAACCAAGCTCACCAATCTTTCATTGTAGCATACGAAAGTCCTGGGTATGGTTATCCTGCCCCCGTGCGGCATGAGTACGGGCCGCAGCTATACGGACACGGGTACGGACTTAGCCATCCTGAGGTGCCATTTTCTACTCCGCATGAGCTATCGGCCTTCGCCCAACCCTACAGCGGCTACCCCGCTCCTGCGCAGTCGCCGTACCCACAACAGCAGATGCCCTACACCCCGGTGCAGACTCTATATAACCAAGGCAAGTGCAGACTCAGCAGCTCCCCGCCCAAGAACCTTTACAATCGCATGAGACACTGCCACAAGCGCAGGCTCAGCCCCAGCCAACGCAAGCGCAGTCCCAATCAGGGGCGGAGTCTCAGACGCAGACTGGAAGTTCTCCGCAATCTCAGGATGGCCCTCCATACGTCTACAATCCGAATGCCACATACGCCGATCCCAATGTCCAGGCGTGGGCACAGTACTATGCACAGGGTGGTAAAGACCCCGCCGGTGCTGTATACTTCGTCTCTGTGCCCGGGGTGACAGACACCGCAGAAGGACCGGCGCCAGCAACAGAGCAAGTACAAGCCGTGCAAGGACAGGAACAATGGAGTGCTCCAGAGCAGTATGGACCAACGGCCGGGGTCTCAATGACGTTGGGATCTCAACAGCCTACTGGTTCTACAGGCGGTCCGTTGTCGCCGCAGAGCGCCCACCACGGCTGGCAACCGCCACAGCAGTCACCCTATGGCTACGTTCCTCCACAGACGCAACCGCAGTCTTCGCAACAGTATGCACCACCTGCAAGGATAAGCGGTTATGGTTCCTCGCCCAGTAGTGCAAGTGGGCATGCGCCACCTATGAATGGTACAGGTGGCCATCAGTCGCCTCTGCCGGGTGGCGGCTATGGGGGTGGATATGATTATGGAGTAGGGGCGCTGCAGCATCAGTTTGCTGATATGGGTGTTAGTAGGGTAGCACATCAGACACATGCGGCGTCTACTGAAGGATGAGCTAGGTCGACGTATGTTGTGTAGTAGGTGACCTGAATAAAAGGTGTACAGACTCTAGTTTACTTCACTGTTACTTCATTAAATATATCTTTCTTTGGCCTACTCAGGAGAAACAAGATCCTACTTTTGTCCAGGTTGGTGATTTATTCAACACATACCTGATCAGTGACTCACTTGGTGGCCAATAAGCTCATTGCGGGAAAAATAGAAAGAGCCTTTGAGTGTGACTTGCCATGCAATTAGGGAACTGGATAACCAGCTAAATCAAGTGATGGTCGATAAGGCACTGGCAACTGATATGGGATATGACTGATTGATGTGTAAGGATTTGGTCCAACACTGTTGACCATATGGTTAGATGTTGTTTTCCTTATGACAGATCTATTGGTCTCTCAATTATTTGTTTGATCCTACTTAACCAATACTGATACTCTGACATATTTCATGCCTAACCTCTATCCTATAAAATAGGCCATGTAATGTACTGTATGGGGACTTCTTTCCTACCTTGAAATAAGACACTATTGTCTGGAAGCCTGAGTAGAGTGAAGAATCCTTCTCATTGTGCCACCATTAAAAGTACTACACTTCTTATCAGTGTTACATATTTTTTTCCTGAAAAACAAGGTCTTACCTCAAATTCAATAATGAACACACCAGATACCTTCTTGACCATTCACAGAACTGATCTGCTGTGAAGACAAGAGTAAGTATCATATACTTGATAAAAAGAAATGGTTAATACCCATGCAACTGCCCACTGAGCTACAAAGGCTTGAGCATCATCATTACCTCCTAGCCCATCAATGACTCAGCCTGGTACTGATATCATTGACAAGTCTCTGCTCCCAAAACTGACTCCAATAGGAAGTCAATACTCCACCCCAATTGAAAGGCCCATCACTGATAACATTGTCACACACCAAAGGTGTTGTGGACATGGTTACAGCTGACTTTGCATAACTTGTCAACAAGTTGTGTGCCATGCCATGCATATGAAGACTAAAGCCCTCATGTGTAGAAAGACTGCTGGACATGAGCAGTCATCCTTCACACAAGAATGAGTCATCAGTGCTGAAGAGAAAAGAGGAAGTGAGTTAAGTGCACATCAAAAGTTTTTAGTGCCCATGTATGGCATTCTGGTTTTTGTTGTATCTCCATCATTTCCAAAGATATTGAATTTGTTCACACACTTGCCTAAAGTGCTCAGCCACACCATCCTGCCTTCTGATTTTGGAAAGGATCCTTGCACCCTATGCATTTCTACAGCACTCCATCCATCAGACACTCATTTCACTAAGTCCATCAGATATGGCTGCCTCTTCATTGATCATCTCACTTGTCCTGTTTGCCAGAGACAGTGGCTATGTATATCTACCAGGTGTTCCCACCAACTTCCATCCTGAAGCCCCCTGGTTCATCTCATCATTGTCAGCCCCATCCCATCACATGCAGCTTGGTCAGCATGTTCTCCTTGTCAGCATGACTTCCAGAAGGATGTTCTTTGGTTGCCTCAGGTCTGTCACTCAGTTACAAAGGTTTTATGTGGTTGTTTTGGTCTCTCCACTTGATGAAGTGTATGGATCCTTCCTGCTCCCTGCACTGTCTTTATTCCAATCTCATCCATCACTCTCCCCACATTGCAACAGCTGCAGTATAATCTACTGTTCTCCAGCCTCCCTAATCACATCCATGATGAGTATGATGTGCATCTTGCCTTTTTACTGCAAGACCCAGCAGAAGATGTCCCCCCTTCTCCCTCTCCTCCATCAGAGTCCCATTCATGAAGCATTTATTGACTTCACTGAGAGGATGAATGGGTGGGAGATGTGATTGCCTATGCTCCCATTACCCTACAGACCCCCAATGCCCTAGCCCTTTGACACCTGACTCATGCCATCCTTTTCTGTAGTTAATACTTCCCCATCTGGAAACACCATCCATCTGTCATCCAATCTGTTGGTCCAGTGATGTCACTGCCAAGATCTGATATGCATTGCCACCCCCTAATGTGATATCAGTGCACTTACTCAGGTTCTGACATTCTTTGACTCATACTGTGATATTTTGACTGTCCTTGACTCATTTATTGCCAATACTTAGTTTGAAAAATTGGCAGTGGCAGTGAAGCAGCCTTGCCAACTGCAGTAGGTGCACACATGTGACCTGAGAGGCTGGGAATCCATGATGTCATGGGCCTCAGCCACCTCAGCACCATTGCCAGCCAGGGTCAGCATGGCCTTGCATGCTGTTGTTTGGGCACCTTGCCCCACATTTAGGTCCAGTGTATGTAAATGTCACAGTGATCACATCTTGTGATTGAGGACTCCTGAAGCTTCTGCAGGATTGAAGCAGTTATGTACTATGGTAGGACTGTGTTAGGTAGAACAATACATGATGGTATTGCATGCACATGCACACACTCAGGATCTGTGATGATGGGTGGATGAATGATGCTTGTGATTCATGACATTTGTGTTGTGCATTGTGTATGTATGACAAGTAGGCTGCTGCACATGTACGAGTATGGCGACTAGTGGTGTAGTACATCACAAGCTGGGGTGATGCTGGGGTGATAGTATTGACAAGTGGGTGATAGATGTATTAAGAGAAAAAAACCAAAAAAGAAAAAAAGAAAAAGAACAGGATGGCAAGTGTGATATGCCTCATCATTGCTGCTTGCTGATGCCTTGGAGCACTGAAGAAGAATCATTGCAGACTTCTTCACTTGTGAGGCGATGACAACGATCCCCAGCTCCACAATACCATTTGCAGGCAGCCAAGATCACTTTGAGGAGCTTCATGTGTCCTTGACTGACAGCACTTCCATAAATCTTGAGGGAGGTCTCATCATCCCCATGGAATCTGGGGACCATGTCAGAGAGACTTGGGCAAGTGGTAGGAAGTGTGACAAGTCAACTTACTCATTGAGGAATTCTGTTGCAATGACGTGTCACTGAGAGTACTTTGTGTTGAATTGACAGCCACTCTTCCCATTGTAGTAGTGATAAGGCCAATCCTTGAGCAAAATGTGCAGGCCAAGCTGTGGCTCACCCTCTGTCCAGTGGTGCACTATGTCCCTCCGAGAGTCTGATTTTGGGGTCTGTGTCCCATTGGGATGCAAGACCGGCATGTCCAGGATGACAACTCCCAGAAGGGAAGTAGACATGTGGGTCTTGATCCTCTGGGGTCTGATACATGAAGGGAGGGACATCAAGAACAAGACATCTGATGGCTGGACAGCCTGTGGCATCCTGAACTGTGTTTGAGTTGGTTGTAGATCAGAAGTGGATAGGTATGGTTGGGCTGCTGAGGTGGAAGTGGGCTGGATCACTGGGGGGAACAAAGTCATGGTCTGCACAGGTGATCATTGGTGGGCTGATACATGCAGCTGGTCAGTTGGCATGGTGGAAGTGACTGAATGAGCAAGGCTCACCTATTGCTGGCATTGCTCAAGTGTCAACACCAGTGGTTCCCTGGCATGACACTGGGACTGGATGTGTGGAGGTTGAGGTAAGGAGAGCCTTGCAACTAGGTTGCTCATGTCATTGAGCTGTTGGCAGATCTCCCTTACATCTGTTGATAGTGAGCACGAGGCTTCTTTCACTTCCCTCACAGTCATGTGCAGTGATGCCACATCAGCTGTTATTGATGCATGAGCCATGCTGAGCACCTTGGTGGATGCTGGTTGGATGAGCACAGCTTTGCCTGCAAGTGAATGATCACCTTCATGAGGGACTGGTTGCAGTGTGTTGCTGTGGCCATTTTCATAACAATTCAGCTCATCAAGAAGGTAACACATAAGTGTGTCATGCTGTGTAGTGGTGTGAAGCAAAAGGCAAGGAGTCAGTTGTTTGCTACACACCCAGATAGGAAGACTCACATGCTCACCTTCTGACCACCTGCCTCACCACCAGACCTGTGCAAGGGTCCATTGCTGCCCCACTGGTGTGAACATGAAGCGGTACTGCACTCCACCACAATGGTAGCAATGCATTGTGAACATTCTGGGAATTCTGGACCCCACCACTGCCTTGTCGATCCATTTTTGGATTGTGTCATGGGAAAGTGGCTCACCTGGCTGCAGCATGTCATTTGTTCCAATTGTGTGGAAAAGGAAATCCTCTTCAGTCATTGGCTGGCCAAGATGGATGAGTTTGACCCATTTCATCCAGGACATGAGGTGCAGGAGGGCATCACATACCTTGCCCATATCTGGGCATGGATAAATCTTGTAGTGATTGCCTAGTAAGTACCAATGCAAGAGATCAGATAGAATGATATGCAAAGATGGATATAAAGACAGACTTTGTAGGTCAGCTTCCCTCATCCCCTTATCCAACTTTCTCTGCCATCCCTTATGGTTTTTCAGGTGGATCTTGAAGTAAGTGTTGTGCTCATTAATGGTGAGAGAGAGTTCCTTGCCTCAGAGATATTTCATGAACATGCCATCTATGACAGTCATGTCAAGCTTGACATCCCTGCATTTCAACTTCAGGAGCTCATAGTTCCTGTCATAATCCACAATTGAAAACATTGTTGGTCAAACCACCTGCCAGTACTTACCTTGTCCAAAGTGTAAATGCAATTGTGCTAAAAGCAAGGTGTTTGAAGTGCTGTGTGACTGTTAGCTTCACTTTCCTGTTCAAGGACTTGCCCAATGGCAGCGCTTTGTAGCCTATCATTGTGAGATGAATGTATTGGAGCAGGGTGTCAAGTGGACAAAGTGATTCCAACCAGGCAAGTATCTTATCCATGTATTTCTTCTTCATGGCACCCGAGTGCCTCTGTTCAGTGCCTTTGGAACTAACCTTGTGTCTGATAGATGCCATGACATCATCAACTTCTGCTGACAAAACTGGGTTGCCCTCCCATCAATGATGGGCATCATTGTGATGCCATTTCCAATGGAATGTCACACTGTCACTATTCCAAAGGTATTAGTCTATGAGCATCAAGGAAAACTGAGCAATCATGCCATGCATGCTTCATCCCACAACATCTTGAATCCTGCTTGAGAACCCCATCAATAGTACTTTGGCTGCTATTCTCCTGGAAGCCTCTCCAAGAAAGGTAAAGAGCTAATGCTTTATCTGAGGACCTATTTGGCACATGCTGTCACACACCAAAGGTGTTTGGTGAGGTGGACATGGATACAGCTGATGAATGGAGATGAAGACCATAGCCCTCATGTGAAGAAGGACAGCCAGAAATGTTAGCAGTCATCCCTCACACAAGAATGAGTCATCAGTGCCAAAGAAAAAGAAAGGGAGTGAGTTAAGCACTGGTTAAAATTCTTAAGCACCCATGTATGGCATTCCAGTTTTCGACATATCTCTGCTGTTTCTGCAGATACTGAGACCATTCCCACACTCCCTTGTAGTGCTCAGCCACATGATCCTACCTTCCAAAATTGGAAAGGATTTGCACACTCCACACATTTCTACAGCACTCCCTCCAAAAGAAACTCATTTCACTAATTCTTCTGATATGGCTGCCTCCACATCAATCATTTCACTTGTCCCCTTTTCTAGGGACCATGGCTACATATATCTACCAGGAGTTCCTACCAGTTTCTGTCCTGAAGCATCCTGGTACATCCCACCCTTGTCTGTGCCCTCTCAGCCCATCCAGCTTGGACAGCATGTTCTTTTTGTCAGTATGACCTCTAGGAGGATGTTCTTTGGTTGCCTCAGGTCTGTCATTTGCTTGGAAAGGTCTTATGTGGTTGTTTCAGTCTCTCCAGTCCAAGAAGCATATGGATCCTTCCTCCCTGCTCCCTGCAATGTCTTCATACCAGTCTTGTCCATCATTCTTCCAATATTGTGACAGCTACAGTATAATCTACTGTTCTCCACTCTCCCTGATCACATCCATGACAAGTATGATGCACATCTTGCTTCGTTGTAAGATACAGCAGAAGACACTCCCCCTTCATCCTCTCTTCCAACAGAGCCTCATTCATGAAGTTTTTATTTGCTTCACTGAGAGGATGGTTTGGGGGGGAAAGTTGTGATCCCCTATGCTCCTGTCACCCCACAGACCCCCAAAGCTTGACCCCTGTTGACATCTGACTCATCCTGTCTGCTTTTGGATGTACTATATCAGCATCAGATCAGCACTGCCTCTCTGTCATCCCACCTTGGCCTAGAAGTGATCTCATTGATATGTGACATGCACAGCCTCCCCCTAATGCAATTCCAGTGTGCTTTCCCAGTTCCTGACATTACTTGACTCATACTTTGACATTCTGACTGTCTTTGACTCACCTATTGCAAATACTTACCAATCTCTTGACTTTGCTTACTGATTCTTCACTTTTTGGCTTGCTAATCCTTAGCAATGCTTACCAATGCTTTCCAAGATGATTACCCATTGCTTACATTCCTTACTCATCAGTTAACAATCACTTACCAAGTGTTTGCACCTTGTTTTCCATAGGCAACACCCCTGTACTGTATATAAATCACTGTACTTAGATAGCTGAAAAAGGAAGAAGACATCAGAGAGCCCCACTTGCTCACATTTTATCATCACTCAGTAATTCATTCAGCAGCTTTGATAGTTGAGACTTTATTAAGGGTCTAACTATTGTCTACTTTGCTTATCCTTGTCTATCATCAATATACATCACTCCAAGCCCTCCCTGAGCTCAGTGCAGCTCAGAGCATCAAATTAAGTTGTCATCCATCCTTCTGTAGGCTGACAGTAGTCTACCCTATTGCATTCTTTTGCATTCCTGCTCCTTCTTCATCAGGAGCACCCCCAACCCTCAGCACTCATCTTTGAGTGTTATACTTTCAAAAACCCTCCCAAAGAACAGGTTCTACCATCTAGGTACTGCATAGGCACACCACCACTCGCTCTTTTTGTCTTTTGTGTTGGTTTTGGTTGGTTTTCACCACTGAACCACACTTTGACTCACACCACAAAGCCTTGATGGCCCAAATTGCACTATCCAACCTTTGGTCCAACACCATCTGATGCAATGACAATGCTGCATATTCATCAGTGATCTGCCTCACCACTGTGTGTACCTTCTTCTCAGATGACTTCTGATGGGACATCACCTCTGCAACATCATCAGCCATGGTTCACATCTGTTCTTCAAACAGGCCAGGTGTAGCAGCTTGTCAACGACCATCAAAGACATTCAGCCTTGTTTTCACTTCCAGCATTTGTGCTGATATCATGTCATGGAATTGAGAGAGCTGGTTGAGCTTGTCACAGATGTCAACTTCAAATAGTGATGATGGTTGTTGCTGAGGTGTTGGAGCAGATGGTGGGTTGGGGACTGATGGGATGGGAGTGGAATCAGTTGCCATATGTTGATTACATGTCAGATATTTCAAGCTTGTCATGAATAGAGGGAGCACAACATATGATTTGTTCTTTGATTCTGCATTATCTACATCATGGTGACAGGCCCATCCATATCATGCACCATAATCCATAATATGTCTGACAGGCCATCCGTCTGATGCAGCATCATCAGTGATATCATGCACAGGCCCATCCATTTGATGTAACACCATCTGCAATATGCTGGACAGGCCAGTATATATGTTGTGATCTGGCTAATCAAACCATCAATGGGCCCATCTATTTGTTCCTGCATCATTTGTGATGGGCCCATCAATTTGTTGTGACACTGCATCCCCCAAATGTCAGAAGGGCCTGCACATAGTTATGACAGCTCTGTCATGGGCCCACTCTTATGTTGCTGTCACTCTGGGTCCTCAGGCCTGTTTATGTGTCACAGCTTAATTAATTTGATGGGCCCACACTGGGCTTTATATGAGTAATGTTAATTTGGCATGTGGGCTACCCATATGTTGTGACTAAGCATGACTACACCATGTGGTACAATGACATGCTACTGTTTGGCATGACCTACATTATATGCAGGTGAGTCATTCATTCAAATATCTGGTGCAACCAACCAACTCTAGAAATAGTGACACCCCTTACTCTACCTGGTATGAAGACATTCTAGTTTACTCCTCCAAAGACATAGCAAACTGCACTGATCTCAAATTGGGGGACCTCATTCTGATTTTTTTGATGAGCAGTGTGGACAATGAGGTATGTGCCATCCCCAGCATGCTGAAGGTGCCACCCAGTCTCATTCAGTTCATAGACAGGTAATTGGTGGTGCAGCATGGACGTTGCCTGTTGGCTGGCAAATTATGGCTTTGGAAGGAGTCTCTTGCAAGCCACTGCCACACTCCAGTTTGTTGATTTCATGAACTTCATTTCCAAGTGGTGTGACAGTGTCTGTGAGGTGCTAAGAACAGATCCTCGACATCTCCTTGGATGTAGACACTACAAACTTGCCTGCATCATTGTGGAGGAGCATATTGAGTTCCCTGACCCTGCCATCCTGGTGATGTATCTGTTACCTCTTACCTCGTGGTTGGACAATGGACATCCTCCCATTGCCATTGTGACATCTCACCAGGCTGATCTCACATCCTTGGCAGAATTTTGTTTGCAGCACCTTAACTGGCCACCAGATGTCATTCAGTCCAGATTGGCAGATGCTCATGCTGGTGTGGCTGCACATGCACTTATACAGGTAAGTTCTGTGATTATAAACACATCCACCCTGCCCCATCATCCACCATACCCAGCTGCCAGGCAATCTTGATGGTGAGAGACTGCAATGTGATCTTCAAGTCACAGGCTATTTCAACAAGTCACTGTCCTCATCCACACACAAGCTCTTTGTTCCAATCCAACCCCTTGCAACATCAGGCAAGAGGAGTGATGGTGATCCATTCTATGACATGGAGATTGTGGCAGTCATGTTGGAATACTTGAGGCCTGACTTGGTGTCAGGCTCTGTCTGTCCATCTTCCCCATTGTCTTGTGTGGAGTTGGCAGATGAGAATGTGGAGGTCAAGGATACATTGTGTCTCAAGGCTGGAATTGATGATCCCATGAATGAGGGCTAGTCAGGCTTACTACACACTTTTTGTAGCATCATATCAGCTCATGAGTGGCACATTATGTGCACTTTTCAATCCATCCCTTACAACCCATGGGTAGAGATGGCTTCAACCTTGCTTGTGACTACAATCTGGTTGATATGGTTAACATATGATGTATGCAAGAGTGCTTGGAGGAAGACAACATCCTATGGATGAGTGTTCAATTTTTCAGGCAGCAGAGTGTAGAAGGAATGCATACACTGTGAGACCATTCAGCTTCCTTGTCTCATGATATCTGTACTGTCTTAGCCAGGATACTCCTCAGTGGAACATTGTATCCCATATTGTCGAAGACAAAGATGTTTGTGTTCACATCACCTGCCACTTGGTAAACAACTTTCAGCTCTCCATGCTGGCCAAAACTATGTCCACATTGTCTTAGCTCCCAATGGAGCATGTATATGCCCTATCATTGAAGACCAGCCAAAAACTGTGTCCACACCATCTTAGCCAGGGTACTCCTTGATGGAGTACCTACATCCTTTATCATCAAAGATGAAGTTTTGTTTGTATTTGTGTCACCCACCATTTGGTCACTAATTTTCAACTCTTTACAACCAAGAATCATGCCCACATTGTCTTAGCTGGGGTACTCCTTGGTGGAACACATCCATACCCTATTGTTGTTTGCACTTGCATCATTTGCCATTTGGTAAATCAATTTCAGCTTTCAATGTCAGCCAAAACCATGCTTACATTGTATTAGCTGGGGCACCCTGCAATGGAGCACATACACTCACCTATTGTCAAAGAGGAAGATGTTCACATTACATTGGTAAACAACTTTTGGCTCTCACATTCATTTTGCCAATATTAGAACTGTTTCAGTCCACCTCAATGATGGCCCCAAACATATTATATGTGATGCTGTTTCAACAGTTCATGTGCAAACTACCACTACTTGGCATTGAGTTCTCCCAATGCATACTCAGCCACCTGCCTTACAGCTGTATAGTGGTGCAAACTCACCATTCAATGTGACAGCAGTAAAGGGGTTACATTACCAACATATTCCCCAATGTCACCTGCTTTTGACATATTCACTGTCCAGCCCACTGTGAGTCAAAGTGTGGTTCAGTGGTGAAAGCCAACCAAAACCAACACAAAAGACAATGAAAGTGAGTGGTGGTGTGCCTATGCAGTGCCTAGATGGTAGAACCTTTGATTTTGGAGGGTTTTTGCAAGCTGCAACACTCAAAGATGAGTGTTGAGGGTTGGGGGTGCTCCTGATGAAGAAGGAGCAGGAATGTGAAAGAATGCGATAGGGTAAACTACTGTCAGCCTACAGAAGGATGGATGATGACTTGATTTGATGCTCTGAGCTGCACTGAGCTCAGGGAGGACTTGGAGTGAAGTAGATTGGTGATAGATGATAATAAGTGAAGTAGACAATAGTTAGACCCTTAATAAAGTCTCAACTACCAAAGCTGATGAATGATTTACTGAGAGATGATAAACTGCAAGCAAGAGGGGCTCTCTGACATCTTCTTATTCAGCTATCTAAGTACAGTGATTTATATACAGTACAGGGGTGTTGCCTATGGAAAACAAGGTGCAAACACTTGGTAAGTGATTGGTAACTGATGAGTAAGGAATGTAAGTGATGGGTAATTGTCTTAGAAAGCATTGGTGAGCATTGGTAAGGATAAGTAAGCCAAAAAGCAAAGAATCAGTAAGCAAAGTCAAAGATTGGTAAGTATTGGCAATAGGTGAGTCAAAGACAGCCAGAATGTCAAAGTATGAGTCAAGTAATGTCAGAAACTGGGAAAGCACACTGGAATCACATTAGGGGGAGGCTGTGCATGTCACATGTTGAAGAGATCACTTCTGGGCCAAAGTGGGATGACAGAGAGGCAGTGCTGATCTGATGCCAATATAGTACATCCAAAAGCAGACAGGATGAGTCAGATGTCAAGCTTTGGGGGTCTGTGGGGTGACAGGAGCATAGGGGATTGCAACTTTCCCCCCCAAACCATCCTCTCAGTGAAGCAAATAAAAACTTCATGAATGAGGCTCTGTTGGAAGAGAGGATGAAGGGGGAGCGTCTTCTGCTGTATCTTGCAACAAGGAGGCAAGATGTGCATCATACTCATCATGGATGTGATCAGGGAGAGTGGAGAACAGTAGATTATACTGTAGCTGTTGCAATTCTGGAAGAATGATGGATGAGACTGGTATGAAGACATTGCAGGGAGCAGGGAGGAAGGATCCATATGCTTCTTGGACTGGAGAGACTGAAATGACCACATAAGACCTTTCCAAGCAAATGACAGACCTGAGGCGACCAAAGAACATCCTCCTAAAGGTCATACTGACAAAAAGAATGTGTTGTCCAAGCTGGACAGGCTGAGAGGGGGCAGATGAGGATGGGATGTACCAGGATGCTTCAGGACAGAAGCTGGTAGGAACTCCTGGTAGATATACATAGCCATGGTCCCTAGCAATGGGGACAAGTAAAATGATTGACATGGAGGTGGCCATATCAGAAGAATTAGTGAAATGAGCATCTTTTGGAGGGAGTGCTGTAGAAACATGTGGAGTGCACAAATCCTTTCCGATTTTGGAAGGTAGGATCGCATGGCTGAGCACTATAAGCGAGTGTGGCAATGGTGTCAGTACCTGCAGAATTGGTGGAGATATGTTGAAAACCAGAATGCCATACACAGGCACTTAAGAATTTTCATCAGTGCTTAACTTGCTTCCTTCATTTTTCTTTGGCATTGACGACTTGTTCTTGTGTGAGGGATGACTGCTGACATTTCTGGCTGTCCTTCTTCACATGAGGGCTATGGTCTTCATCTCCATTCATCAGCTGTATCCATGTCCACCTCACCAAACACCTTTGGTGTGTGACAGCAGTTGGAAGTTGTTGCATTGGCTGTGGGTTGACTACCTCCTCCTGATGATCCAACCTCTGGACTTGTCACACCACCTCCCCCCAGTGATGATGGGAATGATGTGGTGGTGGGTTCAGGACATCCTGTCGATGCTGAGATGAGTGGATTGGAAGGTGACCCAGCCATTGAGTCCATGTTGATGCAAGAGGGCCAATTCAATTGAGGGCACCCTGGAGATGGGGAACTGTGACCAGGTGCAATGTGAGTCACAACAGCAGCCTCAACAATGCCAAATATTTGCTGCAATCCTCCACCTGAGGAGTGCCAATCCAAGTTGAATGTTGCTGGCCAGACTGACAGAGGACTTCAGCCAGGTGAGGGCATGGTATACTCATATCATGGAAGGGCTGACCTGGCAGATCACCCAGTGGGGTTGGAGTGGGAGTGCCAGAGCAAGGATGTAGGTGCAATGGGTAGATATGTCCAAGGTGTATTCAGCAATACAGAGTTCCCCCCCTCACAGTAGAGAGATAGGTTTGCTGTTATGATACCCACCTTCTGTATTGTCATATCCTGACAATACCATACTGCTTCTATTTGAGTACTGTTCAGAAGATACGCTCAGATTGCAGAAAATGGAAGATTGCTTAAGGCTGATATGGACTTCTGCAACTGCAATTTAATTTCTATCAATGAACTTGACCTGAATGGTTACATTGCATGATAGACACTCGTCCGACTATGGCTACACATTGCTAGCATCAATATCCATCAAAGCTGGGATATACTTCAAGCTCATGCTCTGTTGTTTCAACTTAGCATGCTCCAAAAGCCTCTCATACACTGCTATCTGCCTCGCAGCATAACAGCTGGCACTGAGTGCATCGCATTCCGAGTGGCAGGTGCACCATTGGACAGCTCGATAATTGAAGTAATTGATTGTCCATTGAAATTCAGCTGTCAGCAACTGTTCCTCTTCCAACCAATAGTCCCACACTGCTTTGGCTCAAAGCCAACGAGTGCAGTAAACTATGTGTAAAGTCAACATTGATCTATACATACATAGATGAAAGGCATACATTCTGACATCCAAGTGATGGATTCCATATCCATCAGAACATCAACAGGCCAAAACCAAGGCAAATTGCTGACCCAGTGCACATGTGCATTCTGAGTTATGGTGGCTGTGGTCATGGTGAGACCCAATGTCTGCAATTGCTGGTAACAGGTAAGGGTCTTGGCACTTGCACCCAGAGTGACCATTGCCTTTTGGCATTGCTTGTATATTGCAGCTTGCTTCCAAACTGCTCTGTTAATTGTATGGATTGCATCCCATGTGTGTGTTTTCATACTATAGCTTTTGGCATGTCGCACCACATTCCAGAAGACCACAGCCTTGTCTACCAAGGCAAGCCAAAGCCTGTTTAGTGCATCATTTGCTTGACCAATGTGAGTCAAAGGGTGGTTCAGTGGTGAAAACCAACCAAAACTAACACAAAAGACAACAAAAGCGAGTGGTGGTGTGCCTATGTGGTACCTAGATGGTAGAACCTGTTTTTTTTGGAGGGTTTCTGCGAGCTACAACACTCAAAGATGAGTGCTGAGGGTTGGGGGTGCTCCTGACAAAGAGGGAGCAAGACTGTGATAGAAAGCAATAGAGTAGACTGCTGTCAGCCTACAGAAGGATGGATGGTGACTTAATTCGATGTCCTAAGCTGTACTGAGCTCAGGGAGGGCTTGGAGCAAAGTATATGGATGATAGATGATGATAAGTGAAGTAGATGATAGCTAGACCCTTAATAAAGTCTCAACTATTGAAGCTGATGAATGATTTACTGAGAGATGATAAATTGCGAGCAAGAGGGGCTCTCTGATGTCTTTTTATTTTTTTGCTACCTAAGTACAGTGACTTATATACAGTACAGGGGCATTGCCTATGGAAAACAAGGTGCAAACACCTGGTAAGTGATTGGTAACTGATGAGTAAGGAATGTAAGCGATGGGTAATCGTCTTGGAAAGCATTGGTAAGCATTGGTAAGGATAAGTAAGCCAAAAAGCAAAGAATCAGTAAGCAAAGTCAAAAGATTGGTAAGTATTGGCAACAGGTGAGTCAAAGACAGTCAGAATGTCAAAGTATGAGTCAAGCAATGTCAGGAACTGGGAAAGTGCACTGGAATCGCATTAGGGGGAGGCTGTGCATGTCACATGTTGAAGAGATTGCTTCTAGGCCAAAGTGGGATGACAGAGAGGCAGCACTGATCTGATGCTGATATAGTACACCCAAAAGTGGACAGGGTGAGTCAGATGTCAACAGGTGTCAAGCTTTGGGGGTCTGTGGGGTGACAGGAGCATAGGGGATTGCAACTTTCCCCCCCAAACCATCCTCTCAGTGAAGCAAATAAAAACTTCATGAATGAGGCTCTGTTGGAAGAGAGGATGAAGGGGGAGCGTCTTCTGCTGTATCTTGCAACAAGGAGGCAAGATGTGCATCATACTCATCATGGATGTGATCAGGGAGAGTGGAGAACAGTAGATTATACTGTAGCTGTTGCAATTTTGGAAGAATGATGGATGAGACTGGTATGAAGATGTTGCAGGGGGCAGGGAGGAAGGATCCATATGCTTCTTGGACCAGAGAGACTGAAACAACCACATAAGACCTTTCCAAGTGAATGACAGACCTGAGGCGACCAAAGAACATCCTCCTGGAGGTCATACTGACAAAAAGAACACACTGTCCAAGCTGGATGGGCTGAGAGGGGGCAGATGAGGGTGGGATGTACCAGGACGCTTCAGGATGGAAGCTGGTAGGAACTCCTGGTAGATATATGTAGCCACGGTCCCTAGCAAAGGGGACAAGCGAAATGACTGATGTGGAGGCAGCCATATCAGAAGAATTAGTGAAATGAGTGTCTTTTGGAGGGAGTGCTGTAGAAATGTGTGGAGTGCGCAAATCCTTTCCAATCTTGGAAGGTAGGATCACATGGCTGAGCACTACAAGCGAGTGTGGGAATGGTTTCAGTGTCTGCAGAATTGGTGGAGATATGTCGAAAACCGGAATGCCGTACATGGGCGCTTAAGAATTTTATTGGCACTTAACTCACCTCCTCCTTTTTCTTTGGCACTGACAACTTGTTCTTGTGCAAGGGATGACTGCCGACATTTCTGGCTGTCCTTCTTCGCATGAGGGCTATGGTCTTCCCCTCCATTCATCAGCTACATCCATGTCCACCTCACCAAACACCTTTGGTGTGTGACACCGATCCAGAGCCTCAGCTCCATATCATGGAGACAGTCTGAATTGCAGGAATGGAAAGCAGCCATTCCAACATTCAATGGAAGCAGACACATAGCTATCCCTCCAAGGTCAGTCGTATCAGCTGTGAGTGTTTCATCAGAGCTTCCATTTGGGTCTTCAGCATCCAATAGATATCCATTGGACATGCACCAGCCATCCCAAAGTTCATTTCCTTCCTCATTGATTGGATTCCAATCACCTCCCACATTCACATCTTGCTGTAGACAGATGTATATGGCAGCATCTGCAATAAACCCTGACTGCTATGATAATAAGCACTCCTTGTGTCATGCAATTACCAATCTTTTCAGCTCTGGTGCATGTACACCAACATTGTGATGATTGATGTGCAATGTGATTGCCACTTCTTCCAACCTGAGACTGCGAGCAAGCCAACTTCCCATCCCATGCTGTGCTCTGCTTGATGTCATATTGTTCAAAAACTCCAGTTCAATGGTATGCACTGTTGGGGCTAATGAACATTTCAGATGTATTGCAAAAGGAGGAGCAGGTGTGAACCTTACCCTTCTTCATTTGCACTTCAAAGATATCCATGGTGGAGGGGTCAACCATTTGGTCTCTGAAGGCCACTTGCTCTTGGTAGGTCCACATATCACATTGCATTGCAGACACTGCTTCATCCAATGTCTTGAATGCCCATTTTGCCATCTCCACCACTACCCTCACAGTTGTCAGTTTCCATATCAGACTATTGACTAAACACAAACAGTCAGGAAGGTTAGCACATGAATAGAAGCTCATACCCATGCAAATCATCTTCATGAAGTTGCAATCGCTGATCTGAAAATCCAACAGCTCCTGGTGGTGTGGGGAACTCATGCCCCAGGCTGAAGTGGATGCAATGTTGAGTAGTGACCACAAGGTCTTGATGATTTCTCCATCTACCCACCCAGCACCTTGCATGAATAAGGGTGCATGTCAGGCATAGCATTCATGTTTGTGACCATGTACATGCCACATGTTATGCTGTGCTCACATGTGTTTCCTTTTTAGACTTTGTACCATATCATTTGGGCTTGTCATGCTCTCGAGTGACAATGTTCTCACCCACAGGCCACTGCCTATGCAGTCAGGCCAGCATTCTCTGTATGTTTCCTTTTGTGCCTTACCCCTGTCTACCCTGTGTTGTACCATAGCTGGACCATGTCTGTTTACCCTTCCCTCTGTGATCTGCTGGTGGCCCTGATCCATGCAGTCACATGACATGTGTACCCCTGTATGTCATGTAAGCAGTTACCCTTCCTTCGTCATACATTTACCCCTGGTTCCTTCTGCTGTGCAGACTCAGTTATACATGTGGTCCTGCTGCATGGTGACTCACTATGACTCGGTGATGCCTTAGTAGGAACTCAGGTGTATGTTTAAACATTTTCAAATGTTTGTTATGCAGTACTCCATAGATGTATATAAACTGTTATGCTGCACTCACATTATTTCCTTTTATAGACACTCCATGATATGTTTGCACTCATTGTGCTTTCGAGCAATGATGTTCTGCCACCTGCGAGCCACTGCCTACATGGTGAACTCGCATTCTGTATGTTTCCTTTTATATCCTACCCCTGTTTACCCTGTGTTGTACTATAGCCAGACTACTACGTCTGTCCACCCTCCCTTCTGTGATCTGCTGGTGGCCCTGATCCATGCAGTCACGTGACACATGTACCCCCAGTACTCATTTATGCCCATATGTCATATACACAATTACCCTTGCCTCACTGCATGTTCACTCCCAGTCCCTTCTGCTGCACAGACTCACTCACCCTTGCACCCATGTAAAGGTGACTAGATGATACCTGTTCAGGACTTGGGTGTATGTTCAAATGTTTCAAAGTGTTTGGATTGCAGTACTTTACAATATGTATATAAACTCACATGTATCATACTGCTCACTCATTCAAAATCTACTTTGCAACCACCCTTAGCTCTGCTCATTGTACCTGAGAGGACTTGACAGTATGACTTTGGTTGGCAAAGACTAGTGTCCTGCCACTAGTGAAGTTAAATTACACATCACTTCTCATGTAGTCACATGCTTGTACCTCATTGTACTCAATTTTTGATGTGATACAAGTCATCAGCATAACAGAAGATTTTGAATCACCCAGCCACATCAAAGACCAGACTACTCTTTGGATACCTGTGCTCTGGAATCCTTGCTAGGCAAAATAGCCTGCAAAACAAGCACCTCCCACCACCACTACAGGAACCACTAGTGTTAATCACCAGTGAGCTAGCCCCTAACTTTCAGCATTAACCTTCCTCTTTGTCAACATGTCTTTGCACCAAGAAGAAGGAAGTAAGAGGCCTCCATCAGCAGCCTCTTCATTCAAACCCCCCATGCCTTCTTGTAAAGGAAAAGAAGTCCTCCAAGCAAGGCCACTTATTCATCACCCTTCAGTGCAAACTCCACACCCTCATATAAATCTTGAAGACCTGCCTGTAAGGCCCCAACTTGGGCAAGCAGCAGAATCAACCTCACCAATCGACTTTATTACTTATTGCAACCCAAAGCCTATCAGCTCGGACATTGAAACCCAACCACAAGGAACAGCCAAACCAGCAGACCCCTCATCATCAACTTTGACAAATATATACCTTCCAACTTCTACCAACCTGATGGCAGAAGAACTCACTCAGGCAACACCTGGTCTTAACACCCAAGACCCCTTTGCCAGCCAGACTAGGGTAACCCCCAAAATTGCTGCTGAATTCTACAAATCCATCTTCAGCAGAGATGTGGTAAGGCCTAAAGGCCCCTCCTGAGGTTCTGAGGGGAAAGGAAAGGAACATGACTCTAAGGGAGGGGGACTGAAAGAAATTGGCCTGAACAAACCTTTCTCATATACTGGAGCTCACCAGGACTTTCCCACCTGGCTAAGCAGCATCAAGCTTTACCTCACCACAAACAAACACATCTACTATGAGGACCAATCCAAGATCATGTTTGCCCTCTCTTACATGGGGAGTGGCTCAGCTTGTGCCTTTGCAGAAGCCTATGTCAATGAAAACATGACTGCTCTTGGGGACCTCAGGATCTTCAATGGCTGGGATGAGTTTGTCACCAAGCTCAAGGAAACCTTCCAAGTAGGAGATGCAAGGAGACAGCATAAGGGAGGTCTCTAAACATGTAAGGATTGGTACATGGTCAGTATTAGGTCCATGGTTTTCAGGGCTTGTGTCACAGCTGATCAGGTCTTCAAGCATGGATTCCATGCAGAAGGCATTATCTGGTCATGTCCAGTTACCTGTGGACAACAACTGTAGGGTGGGTATCCCTTTGGGCAGCATTTGGGTCATTCCGTAGTCAGCTACCAGCTTGAGTAACTTTTGTGCCAATGTGAGTGCTGTTGTGGTGAAGAGGTGGTGATTGTGTGTTTTGTCCCACAAGGGGTGATGTCTGTTGAAGTTGCCCAGCCATAGCATCTGGTCACTCATCAATCACCATATGTCCCTTATGTTGGTGGCTAGAAAAGTGCTCAGGTCTTCCATTGTGTGATCATGTGTACAATCATTGTATATGTTGAACAGGGTGTATGTGCCCTTAGTGGTCCTTAGTTGGGTTACAACTATGTCTGTGGAGGGGAACTTGACCTATTCCCAAGTGTTAGTGCTGATTCTGCAGTTTACAAGAGTTACTGCTCATGGCTTGTTCTGTGTCATTCTCTTCATGGGGTAGACTACTCTCCAGTGTGCATTAGCTTGTGTGTTACCAATTTGATCTATTGGAGGTTCTTGTAGCATGATGATGTCCCATTCATGCACTAGTTGACTGTTTATTAGTAAATGTAGAGCTATGTGAGATGTATTGAGATTTTGTTGCCACATACAGAGTTTGGTTAGTGCATTGGCTTGCAGTGGGTCTTCAGGCATTAGTTGGTGAAGGGGTTGGGTTTGGGTCCTCTGATTGATTTTCTGTCATTGGTGGGGGGTGGGGTGTTGGGAGGGAAGTGGGTGTGGGGGCAGGTGAGGCATTGTGAAGAATGTTGTGTTGTATGGGCAGGCCACCTCTTCTGCCTTGGATTCTGTTGGGTTGTCTGCATCTTGGCAGGCTGGATCATAGGTTCATTGCTTCTCCTAGTGTTATTTGTCTGAGTGGGCCATTGATTTTTTGGGGGTACAGTCATCCATAGTGTTGCATCTTCCAATAAGGTCAGGACAATTTCTGTCTTTGCTGGTGTGGGTGTTGTGTTGGCAGTTGATGCAGAAGGGGATGGGGGAGGGGGCATTGCAGTCTTGTGTGCAGTGTGATTGAGCACATATGCCACATGTGTCTGATGTTTGTTTGCAGTCCCTTGCAAGATGACCAATGCATTGGCATCTGAGGCACCTGACCAGTTCTCTCTTGTCTTTGTGCAGGCAGAGTCTGTCCAGGCCCCAGTATAGGCCATCTCTGAGGAGCTGGTTAGTGATCTCAGGGGATGTGATGGAGGCAAGGGCATGTGCTATGTGCTGGTTAGGAGTGCATTTAGCTGGGTCTTTGATCCATTTGATCTTGGTGATTGAGCCTTGTGGGATGTTATTCTTGTTTTCCATTTTGTGTAGGGTTTCTGGTTTGTCAGTCTCAGTCATTATTGGAAGGAAGGGGATTACTATGTTAAAGTGTCTGTCCTTGATCACAACTTCTCCACCCAGTCTCTCAAGGAAAGCTGTCTTGTTGGCCTGTTCTTTCATCCAATCTACTGCTTCTTGGTTGTTGAATTTGAGAAGAATTCCATTGTTGCATAGTTGTGTGATTGATCTTAGTTGCAAATCAGGGCCATCAACCCAGTCTATAGTTTCTAGGGCTTGTTTGACGAGGTCATGGCCTCCCTTGTTGCAGCATTGTTCAGAAGGGGGTGGTTGCTATTGGGGTCAATCAGTAGCTGCCAATCCTTAATAGCTGCATGGGCCTTAGTGTATTCTGGTGCAAATCATTTCCTAGTGGGATATGGTTTGGGTTTGGTGGTGCTGATGCTAGTGTGTCCCTGTATGGAGTGGGGAGAGTGGGGGGTTGGGTCTTGAGATGGTTCTTCATGTCTGCTAGTGCCATTTCATCACTTCCATTTCCCTGATCAGATTTTTAACATGGGTCTCCAGTTGGGTGGTGTCTGCATGGCCAGAGGAGTTTGTGATCGATTTGATCATCCTGATGGTGTTGCCACTGGCAGTCCTCATGTTTTTGTTGGTTTTCTCTAGGTTTTTGGCAGCTGAGAGGATGTTGTCAACTTGTGGGGAGATGGCAGCTATGACTGAGTTCTCTATCTTGCTTGAGACTGCTGCAATGATGGATTCAGTAAGTTCTGATGTGGCGAGATCTCTGACCAAATATGCCATGGTGCAAATTGCTGAATGCAGGGTGTTGTTCACCCCCTTGGTCTGCAAGATGTAAAAGAGAGCATGCAAGATGTGTTCCAGCATGGTTGGTTCTCCCTGTATTGTGTAGAGCTGATCCAGGAAGGTCCTGGCTGTTACCACATCTTTGATTTCAGCTTCCAGGTCATTGATAATTTCATCAAGTGATAAACCACTGCTTCTAGTAGTTTTACCAAGTTGGGTGGGGTGTGACATTCAGGGTCCTGGCAGGGGGCCTGGCATGGCATGGGAATGTGACCTCACAGACATTTGTCCTGTCAAGGTCATAAAACAGGGGGATGGGGGTGTGGGTATTGTTTTTGCATCTGTTCTTGTGAGTATAACTCTGTAAGAATGCTGCTATACATCACTATAACCTGCAATGGGCTCAGCTGATCCTGGCTGGGGCAAGAAGGTCAAAGAAAAATTTCTTTTGGGGTCCTTGTCAGGGTGCCACATGGAGTGGAGTCAAGAAGTGTTCTACCAATCAGTTTACCAACCATCACTGTACTGGCACAGACTGGTCTCTGGTGCTATGTTACACTTAGGTTACCTCTAGTATTTAAGCC